TACCCTAATTTTGAGAATGATTCGTTAGTAAACCATCAAACTCATTAAAAAAATTCGATACGTTATTTCAAGCCCTGTCGGGGTCATCATGCAAAAACTATAATGCAGGGTGTCTGTAAAAGGTCTTTACAAAAACATACCACATATTCCTTAAACCGAAATAAGTCGATTTAAGTAAAATTACCTCAGTACAAAGTTGCATTGTTTGGGCTCCAGAGGGCCTTGAAGTTACAATTTTTAAATCGTTCTTCCCATATAAATTTTAATTAATTGCACCTTTAAGAATTCTACGCCAATGGAAGAAAAGGAGTTTGAGTATGAAATTCAGATTGCGCAACTCATTTACTTTGAAAAAGCTACTCGTGATAAGACTCGATTGCTCTCATGGTTTTGACGAAATTTGCATTTTAGTAATTTTAGTACATAAACAATAATTATTAAAATACAAACTTTGTCAGAACCATGAGAGTTAATCGAGTGTTATCAAGGGTACTTTTTTGTAGTAACTGAGTACCCAATCCAAAATTCATACTCAAACCCCTTTTCTGCCATTGGCGTAGAATTTTTAAAGGTGCAATTATTCAAAAAATCAAGTTCTACGCCTATGTATCATTATCGGACAAAATTTTAACACCATTTTTTTCGCCACCTAAAATTCTATCAATATACCAAATTTCAGCAAAATCGCATATGTTGTTTTGAATTTATATGGAAAAAACGATTTAAAAGTTGTAACTTCAAGGTCCTCTGGAGCCCAAACGATGCAACTTTGTACTAAGGTAATTTTACTTAAATCGACTTATTTTGGTCTAAGGAATATGTGGTATGTCTCTGTAAAGAACTTTTACAGACACCCTGTATATTCTCTTGATGAAAAACAAGGTGAAATAATCACTTCTAAACCTTTCATAATAATTCATCTTTGGAATCTTTGAATGAATTTTTGACATTCTGATGGTTAGACACCATTCCTGGTATATACATTTGTTTATTATTTGTAGCGAATCGTAATTAAAATTGTAAGTGCTGCAGATCATGTTCATGACCTCAATATCTTGTTATTATGTGAACCAAATTTGATATAGTACAGTCGGAATCTAAGTAATATATCGTCGTGAATTTCACAAATAAATCGTGACAAAATGTGAGTTTCTCCAGTTACGTTAACTCGGAAATGAGTTTGTACAAGACAGCAATCGAGAATAATGTTCAGAAAATTCTTAGTAAGTCTCCAAACGGATATGTGAACTAATCCGCCCCGTGTATGACATTGGGAGTTTGAGGATTTAGGTTAATGTTTCCGAAAATGTCACTCATATCATGTCATAAATTCCTGTACATCGCCATCACCATGATTGAATTCGAGAAGGAAATTTAAGTGAGGAACTAAACTATCATCAAATGTTCCAAACGGATATGTGAACTAATTCGCCCCGTATATGACATTGAGAGTTTGAGGATTTAGGTTAATGTTCCCGAAAATGTCACTCATATCATGTCATAAATTCCTGTACATCGCCATCATCATGATTGAATTCGAGAAGGAAATTTAAGTGAGGAACTAAACTATCATCAGATGTTCCTAACGGATAGGTATGTGAACTAATTCGCCCCGTATATGACATTGAGAGTTTGAGGATGTAGGTTAATGTTTCCGAAAATGTCACTTATATCATGCCATAAATTCCTGTACATCGCCATCACCATGATTGAATTCGAGAAGGAAATTTAAGTGAGGAACTCTAAAACTATCATCAGATGTTCCAGAGAGTTTCACAGATACCAAGACCATTCAAAAGCAAGTATTTATGTTTCACATCAAAAATCGGTATTGTTCATTTTAGTAGGAGAACCGGCTGCAGATTTCTACCGTCACGTGATAACGAAATGATAATTATACAGTTCTCAACACACTAATTTGACTAAATGGACCACTCATAATATGACACTTTCGAAAACTTGTATTTCTTGAAAAAATTGACCGATCTTCATGCGGTTTTCGATATCAGATGAGATATTTCATCGGCTTCAAAGAGAGCTAGAACACTCTGAGAAAGTCCGCAGAACAAAACTTACACAGGGTGTAAAGTGGAACCATTACACTATGGTCTACATTTCCAATGCTGCCAGAACTCGAGAAATTTTTTCTGATCAAAGTCAGTCATATTATGATACACTGGGACCTCATCTCGGGACGTTTTAGTGATCTCTCCTTAATTGGCCATTGGAGCAATAATTCGATTTTTTTTCGAAAGTTTTGCATTTCTTGAAATTTTTCTCTAGAACTCCACTTGAGCTGACTATTGGGAAGAACTGTTCTCATGTTTTGTGGAGGAAAATGAAAGACGAAAAAAGCACTATAGTGAAATACGCAGGATGATAAGAAAATAGGACAAAATCTCATTTCAGTAAAAAAATTGAAAAAATGGTGACTTAAACCATGGCCCATCGATTCAGTATATTCAGAAGCGGCCTCCTTGATATCCATTATTTATATTAGACTATCAACTGGAGACGTTTTCGAAAATTCGCCTCTAATTGAAATACAGGATGAAAATTTTCAATTCAAACTTGTTTCCTGATATCGATGCCTTTTTGCGATACGCCGAATAGTCCAAATATTTCTGTATGTATGTATGTAGGTATGTATGTATAACTTGGGGGTAAACTGCCTTTTCCCCCCTTGCATGATTACTGCCCTCTGCTACGTGCCAGGCAGTAAACTTCATCCTCGGGAGAAAAAGTAGCACTTTCCTCTCTTGTTATACAAATAGCTATAGTTACATGTAATATAATAAAGTTTTGAAAAGGAATATTCTCAGATATATTTATGAACACAAAAAAAATGGATAATATATAAAGAGATACATTGAGAATTCGCATTCTCCATGTGATGAAAATATTAATTCTTTCTCGGTTTATTCAACAGAAAACAACTACTTTCCTAGCTATATGCCACGACGGACATTGAATTAAATCTATTGAACACACACGATAAGAATTTGTAAACAAAATCTTCTGAAGTAGAGAATTTTCATTCTCCTTCACATTCTGAATATTCAACAGAAAACAACTACTTTCCTGGCTATTAGCCACGTCGAACATTGAATTATATCTGTTGAATATCCAAAAAGAGAGCATGAAAAATCAAAATCCTCTGAAATTGAGAATTGACATTATCTCTCAAATCGAATAGAATAATATGATGTATTATGATATAAAAATATAACTTACCAATATGTTCAGTATTGAAATGAAAATTGAAATGTATAGGATGTCTATTCTCAATTTCATAGTATTTTGATTTTTCATGCTCTCTTTTTGGATATTCAACAGATATAATTGAATGTTCGACGTGGAAAATTCTCTACTTCAGAAGATTTTGTTTTCAAATTCTTATCGTGTGTGTTCAATAGATGTAATTCGATTTTCGTCGTGGCATATAGCCACAAAAGTAGTTGTTTTCTGTTGAATAAACCGAGAAAGACTCAATATTTTCATCACATGGAGAATGCGGATTCTCAATGTATTTCTTTATACAGTCATTCCAAGATAAGGTTGCACAGCATGGGGATCTCGGAAACGGTAGGAGATACGAAGTCGGTTAAATGGGGAAAAAGTTGCGCATTCGGAGGCTCATACCAACAGCCTTCGAAAATTTTCAAAATTTTTTTCAGTTTTTCAGGTATATCGAAAAAAGTGAAATTCTGGAATATCTATTTTTTTTTTCTCCGTTATAATTAGAGATACAGGAACACTGAAAATACTTTTTCATAGCAACTTTTGATGACGTTTAACGTGGTGATACCGATTTTTCTATGCGACGTTTCGTATTCGTAGAACCATCATCAACTTTTATTTTTTAAATACGGCCCTGATAATTCTTTCACAGATTCTGAAAGCTTTTTTTATTCTGAATTCAACCATGTATTATACAAGGTGGTTTGAATGTGATTCGAACTATTTTTAGCCATCATCAATGTTTTTTTCGAAATTCCAAAGGAAAAATGCCATCAGTTTCACTTATTTCTGATTGTTCAGTGTCAAACATTGATGGACTAGTTATTCAATACTGAAAAGTGAAAAAAAATCCACTAAATTATTCAATGCAGCGCTTCGAATTGTTTATGAATTGTATTCATATTTTAATCCGAAGGAGCTTGTCATAATTAAATTTTTCGAACTAATTATTTCTATAAGTCTATCAATCGGAACTAGTTGATGAGGTATTAGTTTGTTGGCTAATTTTCCTTCAGAATAAGTGGAACTGATGGCATTTTTCCTTTGGGAATTTCGAAAAAAACATTGATGATGGCTAAAAATAGTTCGATTCACATTCAAATCACCTTGTATAATTCATGGTTGAATTCAGAATAAACAAAGCTTTCAGAATCTGTGAAAGAATTATCAGGGCCGTATTTAAAAAACAAAAGTTGATGATGGTTCTACGAATACGAAACGTCGCATAGAAAAATCGGTATCACCACGTTAAAGGTCATCAAAAGTTGCTATGAAAAAGTATTTTCAGTTTTCCTGTATCTCTAATAATAACGGAGAAAAAAAATAAAATAGAGATTCCAAAAATTCACATTTTTCGATATAACTGAAAAACTGAAAAAAAAATTGAAAATTTTCGAAGGCTGTTGGTATGAGCCTCCTAATGCGCAACTTTTTCCCTATTTAACCGACTTCGTATCTCCTGCAGTTTCCGAGATCCCCATGCTGTGCAACCTTATCTTGGACAGACTTGTATATATATCCATTTTTTTGCGTTCATAAATATATCTGAGAATATTCATTTTCAATACTTTCACCCAATCAAGGGGTTCAAACTTGAACGATGGAAGCTTGTTATTTTTATAGACCTCAATCGCAGATTCGTGATCAGGTTTCCTCAATTCAGAATTTCATTCCGCGTCCTGTATGATGAATATCAATTTATCATACAGACAAAAATAAAGTTTTCTCAAAAAATACTGAATTTTTTGCGTCGTTTCCAGATGAGATGCTCGAAGCGGAAAACAGCGGCGTCGCCTCCAGGATGATCGACCTCGAGCGCAAAGTGCTCGAACAGGGCGACGAGCTAGTTTGCCTCAAAGCCACCCTGGCCGAGGCGCTGCGCCGTCTGGGCGCCCTCGAGGCGGGAGGGGGAGGGATGGGAGGCGCCCACCTGTCGTTCTGCGGCCGGCCGAACGGCGTTTCGCCGGCGCGCGAGCCGGTCGTCATCAGGCAGCGGCCGCAAAGCTATTCCGCTTCGAAGGTTGATGGCGGGGGCGGGGGTGGGATGGGAGCGGCTAGGAGGCAGTTTGGGAGCGGGTCGGCGTTGCCGCAGAGGAGGGCGGTGCATTATCAGTCGACAGGTGAGACAGAATTGTTTCTTTTTTCACAGTAAGAGCTTTTTGTGTATCTTGTAAACAGTTTAGTTTCATTAAATAACATGAATAAGCTACTGGTAGCTAGAGTCCCTGTATGTATTTGACACTTTTGCTGTAATAGGTCGCGTGCAAGAACTGTCAGATGACCGACCCTGGAGGCAAAACATATTTGTTTACAAGTGATCGAAATAGTTTTCCACAATTATTTTGGCATATGAATCGTATTTTTCCGCTATTCATCAATTCGCTAATGCCATCACATTGTGCTGTTGTGAAATGCACAAAAACTGCAGCTGAAGATGAAGAAATCTGGATGGTACATTATGATTCAAAAGTAAGTACATACTATAGTCACTCACATAGTTTTCATTTTTAAAATTTGGTTATTTCTCTGATTTCTCATCGGAATTCCTTCTGCAATAGGATCAGCTAATAGAAATATACCTGAAATTTCTAGAATAATGCAAGAAGATTGGATTCATGCAATCAATCGGGAGGACTGGTCTGACATGCTGACGATCGTGTGTGTTGTAGACATTTTCAATCTATTAGCAGTATTAGCTTGTATTGCAGAAGTGGCAGAAGGCAGAAGGAATTTTAATAAGGAATGACAACATTTCATAATGATAACTATGTGAGATTACTATTTACCTGAAAAATCATATTCCCTAGTCTCTTGCTGCATTTTTTGTGCATTGTACAACAGGACAATGCGAAGGCATGCTCGAATTAATGGATAACGCAAGAAACACGATTCGTATGCCAAAATATTGTGAAAAACTATTTCAATCCTTTGATTCCTCTGTAACCAAATAAAAAAGTGAGGTTGTGTTTCAATAATTTTCAGAAGAATGAGGTTGTGTTTCAATATTTTGCCTCCAGGGTCGGTGATCGTGCACGCGACCTATATGTTTTGCCAGACAAGGACAAGAAAATGTGTTTTGCTTGGATAAAGGATCCTCGCATCTTCCTTTCTCCACAAGTCCTAGGAAGAGTACATCCATTTATCTTTCTCTGTCTTTGATATTTGTATGAGAGTGCATAGCGTCTCCTCGAGTGGGTAAAAGGGTACGATAAATTGATGAGAAAATTATTTCTTCTCGAAATATTGAATGATAAGGCTGAAGGACCTCAATGGAGGTCGATATCAAGTTGGTATGTACATATATACCAACGAAATACATATACTTCACCTATGAAATAAGTCTCTTATATGTAGGTATATGTATAGGTTCAGTTGAATATTTTGTTATCACAATAGTTCAGAATGGACTAAAAACTGATAAATTTCAAGCGATGAAACATACTTTTATTTCATATGGAACCATTTCACTTGTACAAGAGTGGTAGGTATAATAAGTAATTAATAAATAAACAAATGATATGGCCACAATAACAGCTGATTTCAGTTAGGATAAATAATAAACGCTCTTTCCGAACTTTTTGCATCCCATCTGTTAAATTTTTTATTTTGAGATGAATCATGCTCATATGAAACAACATTTTCACTAATATTATTCAATTTGTGATTCAAATCTTCCATTCGGTTTTTCAAATGCGAAAGTTTTTCATAGTATTTTTCATCGAAACTATGAATTTTGCTCTTCCACTCGTAAACCTTGGATTTTTGAGTGTTCCTGCTCTAAAAATTCGATTCTCAAGTATTTTTCTTTCAAGATATGTTCGAAATGAATTTCATTATCTTCAAGTTTTTCGTTTCTTGTTTGTTCTAAATTGGAATGAGGTTCTTTTCGATACTCGCTCAGTTTATAAATTGTGGGTACGGCTCTTTCTCTCAATACGATCATATTCTTCAACATCAAATCTTCCGTTCTGAAGTGTACCTGATAAAAATGCGTTGGAAAATATTCTATATCCTACCAAGAAGTTTGAATACCTCGCAAATTTTGTGGCCTGAACCTGTATTCCATGCCGGCCGCATCATATTCTGTTTCCATTTTTGTAGAATTACGTTATCCGATGGAAATTCGAATAGAGTGAATTGATTTCCCGTGTTCTCACAGTTGGAAACTGCACAAACTTGCATCTTTCTCCTCATTCTCCCAATTTTTCAGACCTTCTAAATTTATGTTATGTTATGTTACGTCCGGGTACTGTCAGTTCCCGCTTTTTCCATCAATTTATTTGTGGTTATGTCTGATTGTCAGTGCTTGTCATAGTGTCCGTACTCTTAATATACAAAAAAAAGACAAAAGAGCATTGTCAAGTACATTTAGGAACTCTATTAGCTAGGTGAGTAGATTAAATAGAGTGACGACAATAGACCTCCAAGTAGCTGCCGTTTCCGATCGTGGTCAAGCAGGGTCAAGTCGCTGAATAGCTAAAAGTCTGAAGGGTATCTTCCATGCAATAATGAATTTGCGCTTTCGAAGTGCCCAACTGATGTTACGTTTAGATATTTGGTATTTTCGTTTCATCATCTAAATAATCTGAGACGAGACGAGTCAACAAAGTATTATCGAGGAGGAGCAGTTTTATCAATATAATACCGATTGATTGGCTAGAAATAACACGCATTGTTATTGGTTGATATCAGTTTGTGCAGAATATTTACACGTGAAGATATTTCGTTTCAAATACACTCAGCGATAAAATTTTGACATCGTGTCTGGTCAAGATTGCTTTGGATTCAAATCTGAGACAATAACATAAGTTCCTACTTCACTTTATTTACTTATATAATTCGCGTTAGTGAGATATTTTGTACGAGAGGCGAGACAATTTTATTCTGGCTGAACGTATCATGTGTAATTTAAAAAGTTTGCATATTTGTTAACGGTCTGACACAACAATAATATAATTCAAATTCCTTTTTGAAGTAATCTTTTTCAATTATTCAAGTTATTGTGACTGAATATCATATCCAAAACTACTCGCCTACAGCTCGTAGTTTTGATAACAATGTCATTCACGAAATTACTAGGCAACAAGCTGTCGTAACAATCACCGAATATTTCCGGCAAAATATTATCACTTGTGGTATTATATATGATTAAATTTCGATATTTTTTTACTTCTTTCCAGGTAGTTTACATAGCGACAGTCAGAGTTCGAGCAGCGTCAGTCCGATTCCATCCCCCTCTCCACGAGCCACCCCTCTGCCTATCAACGGAAAAAGATCTGCCAATTTGAGTAGTCCCAGCTCGACGATCAGCAACAATTCTGCGCTACATAAAAGATGGAGTTCCACCATCGATTTCAACCAGGTGGCCCAAAACGGGATGCAATCAAAGTGAGAATTTGGATTGTCCTCAACTTTTTTCGGGTTGCTTATGTTTTTTATTTTTTGTTCCTAACTTTTCTCTGTTAGTGTATGTTGTAAGGAGTCCTAATTATATTTCGGGACTGTATGTAATTTTGTATAGGGTTGCTTATATTTTTGATTTTTGTGTTTGCTTTTTCGTTTTTTTTTTTGTTTTTGTGTTGCTTGACGATTTAATTTTTTGTTATTTTTTTTTCTATTGTAGGTTTTCAACAAAATCATTCCTTAATTTATACAGCAAAACCGGAGCATCTCCGATGCCGCATTATAGACATGGGTATGTGTTAATTTTTTTTGTTTACCACTAGTGTATCATTTTGTAGAAGCTATTACTAACATCCTATACACAGAGAAGTGCACAAAAAACGGCCTCCCAGATAGCACAAGCACATCTTATGGATATACTATGGATATCCATCATGGATATTGTGGATGTCCATAAGATATCCGAAAAAGGCTCTGTTATATCCTATGGACGTCTATAGGATGTGACAGTGTGATCTTTTTGGATGTCTCAAAGATATTCATTATGGATATCCATAAGATATCAACTATGGATATGGATGAGAGATAGTATACACTATATATAGAAAAAATCACAAAAATTGGAAAGCACTCACGTCTCACTGCGTTTGAATAATGTAGTTACCTATCAGTTCTTATGCATCATCAATTTCAGACGAATTCGTAGGAAATTCACTTCCAATTGATTAAATATGAGAACAGATTGACATTATTTTACTATTCCAAGATTGGAAGAATCGATATCTATAAATAGTCATCAGTTCTACCAATCTTGGACTCTTCGAGACGTTACGCCACCTCGCGCTGTTTTTGAAAACCGAATTAATAATAATAGGAGACAGTGCATCACAATGAGTGCTATCTTTTGGAAGACCCACGCACAAGTGTTACTTTTGTGGATCTTCTTTTATTCATTTATCATTTCATTCATTGTTTATACTTGATTTGAAATTTCTAGGTATTGATCATTTGTCTCTGTATCTTATGGATGACCTATGGACGTATTCAGGTCGTTTGTTTCGGATATCTCAAGTACATCCGCAATCGGATATCTTATGGATATACATTTTATGTCCACGGATATCCCGCCTTGAATAGGACTTGAAATGGATATCCCTAAGATATCCTGTGCTGACTGGGCTGTAACTTTTGAACTATTCGAGATAGAGTTTTGAAAATTGGTGGGCAGCTAGTATACCAAATTGCTCATTAATTGACGAAATAATTTTTGTTCTATCACTTCCAGATTTACTGGAAACGACCCCTACTTCTGATTTTTAAATGGAACATCCTGTATTGTATTCCATAATCGGTTAGGGATTGTCATAGCAAATTCATCGATACTGGGTTTGATAGGGCAATTTCTAAAGATTGCGCAGATATTCGCGTTCTAATATGTTTTTCATCGTTTGTACTAACCGTATCAAACCTGGTATCATTGAATTCGTCATGATAATCTCTAATCGATTATGGAATACAATACAGTTGTTGGGGTCGTTTCCGGTGAAACTGAAAGTGATAGAAGAAAAATGGTTTCATCAATTACTGAGCAATATTTGATATACTTGCTACTCACCAATTTTCAAAACCCTATCTCGAATAATTCAAATGTTATAGTCCTGGCCGTTTTTTGTGCACTTCTCTGTATCATCTCATGCTGTGAGCCATCTTTAATATCATTATTTCGAAACTCAGAACAAAATTGATGACTTGAAAAACACTTCACACCAATAACAGTGTAGATTTTTCTTTAGCATCAACAAAAGCATCAACTGACGAATTTGGTACTATACATCATATTCCCTTTAAAAATTCGTCGAATTAATTTCTCTAGAGTTTCGGGATTTTCTGTCGTATCTATACTGTGTGTCCCGCTTTTTATGAATACACCCTAATATTGAAAAGGAATATTCTCAGATAAATTATGAACATACAAAAATGGATATATATTTATATAAAGCAATACATTGAGAATTCGCATTCTCTATGTGATGAGAATATTTACTCTTTTTCATTTCCACGCCCTGTATGATGAATGTCAATTTATCATACATCCAAAAGCACACCCTAATATCTCAATGAGGCGATTTTCTTGAAATTTCGGTGGTGATTGTATGTTAGAACAATGAAGAATTATGCAAAGTGAACAGTTTCATTCACCATTGGCGTGCGATGTTGAGGGCTACAAAAAAGCCTTCATTTGGGAAAAGGAGGAGGCTTATTTTAAATAACTTTTTCATCAGATTCAGAATCAGTATCATCAAAAACCGCCCAATTCGTATCAAATCTCAAAATCTCAAAAAAATCAAAATACCGCTTTTCATGATCAACTGAGATTTTAGGGTGTAGTCATTAAAAGAGGAATTTTGAATTTTTTTTTTCAGCTGTTGAGATCTTGAAAATATGAATTGGGAGGTTTTTGGGATGCTAAATCTGAATCTGATGAAATAAGTTATCTAAAATAAGCCCTAATGCCCTTTTCCCAAATAAAGGCCTCTTTTTGTACCCCTCAACGCACGCCTATTGTTGAATGATACTGTTCACTCTTCTGAATAATTTATTGTTCTAACATACAATCACCACCAACATTACAAGAAAATCGCATCATTTAACTCAGATATTTGGGTGTTTTTTCAACATAAAAATGCGAAATAATTATTCTTGAGACTCATCTCTTCTGTATTGGTAGAGCAAGTCTGATAAATTTTAGTTAACAAAAAATATCACTGGAATACAGTATAAAATTTTCGATTCTGATTGGTTCTCAAGAAAAAGAGTGGAATAGTCACAAAAAAAATTAGTTAATAATACCCAGGAAAATAGTTCTTTTCTGTTGAATATACCAAGAAAAAATCAATATTTTTTATCAGATAGACAATGCGAGTTCTCAATGTATTTCTTTATATGTATTCATGTATGTAAAAATATTCATTTAAATTTGTTTTTCTCCAAATGACATGGAAAGTAGCTTTTTAATAGTTGACCGGCACGAAAAGTGTACTTTCTCTGATGACAATGACTTTGGATGAACACAAAATGATGGTTTATTTGGACTTTGCGTGAAATTGGAACGAATTTGGAGAAAAAATTATATGTTTCACACGGCAGATTTAATGATGCGGCGGGTTTAGCCTCGGCTACGCCTTGGCTATGAAACGCCAGCCGCGGCATTAAATCTTGTTCTTTTCTGCCTAGTAAATCAGATAACTATTTTTATTCTTCGAAATTGGCAAACCTAACTACAGATCAAACTTTGTGAAGACCGCATTCGAATTGTTTCAAAGATAGTGGTCATCAGACGTCTTCAATTTGATTGAAAGTTTTCTGGTACCAAAATAGCACTAGCCTGCCTTCATGCAGTTCTTGCATACAATATGTTCACAATGCCTAATTGAATTTGGAAGCCGTATTGAAATTCCATTACCAGACACGAAATATCGCGTGTCATTTCCACTGCAATAGAACCAGAGTGAAATTCGATAGCCACACCGGATAAAACACTCAGTGCATCGTAGGTGGAGGGTCTTTTTTACAAATTATCGGCAGTTCACATCGCTTAGCGCAATACAATATTCACATGCCTAAAAAATACGAATATAATGTGATATTCTCAAAGTAATAATTATGTTATATGAAATTTCTTCAAATTATTTCTCCATATGTAACGTAAATATTTTTCTTCCATCCAACTGCTTTGCTAATAAAATTATATTTATTCCTTCGAAGGCTTATCAGCTGGTCCTTGAAATTTTGGTCACACTTTTGTCTAAACACTCGAAAATTTCGATCGCTTTGCAGAGAATGCGCGACATTGTATTATAGTAGCGCACTTCCTGGCCATTATCCCATCTCATAGATTGTACTGCTGTATTGTGTTGTGATCATCCATTTGTGAAGGCAATATTCTACGATTTGCGGTCGAAATTTTTCAGTTTCCGCTTGTCGTTTCCGCGATTAACAGACAAAGGTGTCGAGTTGCTTATACCTACCGCATTTTGGTGCTTGGAAAATCTTGCAAAATGTAAGAGGAATTGCTTCTTTAAATGATTATTTTCTCGTTTTGTGTTTGTGCACAATATGTATATGTGAAAGTTGCAAAAATCGGTAGAAGTCATTATTTGTTATAACTACGTGTGAATTCATAGTGAAAATTACTAACTGGATATATAGAATAATTCATAAGATAAAAAAATGCAGTTTTTACTCGAATACGGATTACTTTGTATTTTTTGGCAAGGATGCTTTCTGAATATTTTTTGTTTAAGAGAAGATGATTCCATTCCATTTTTAAAGAAATAATGCTTCAAGGTTCAGAAGACCTTGAAGTCATCATGTTTTTTTCTGATAACTAGTTACCTAGGAGATTAATTTTTTAAATACAAGTGGTATCACGAAATGTTCAGAATTATTTGGAACCTACTATGAACCTTTACAGGAGAAGAGATTCACTATATTAATTCAAATTAATATCGTTCATTCATTCAGTTAAACATTGTCAAAAGCATTCAAATTTGGTTTTCCAAATTAATAGTAATCACGACAACCATACAACTAGACAAGCAGATCATTTTTCTGTCAAGAAAATTAAATCAGATATTGGTAAAAAATCCATCTATTACAATGGAATGATACAATACAATTCACTACCGAATAACTGGAAGATGATTAATAGGATTGAAAAATTTTAAAAGGAATTCAAGAACTATCAACTGCTGTTCCTGTAATATTGACATCTTATCTCATTTTAATAGTTTTCTTGTACAATTACTATTCTATTGGGTACCTAACAGCTGAGTCAATTAAGAATCATTTTCAGTTGAATTAAAAAAAAAAAAAGATTTCTTCTTGAGTGTGAGTCTTATTTTACTGTCTCCTTTATTTTATTTTGTCAAATATATTTATATATCCACCATGTTCCCTGCTATAATAATTGGGAATAATAAAGTTGATTGATTGATAATCTTGGTTTTATAAACTCCATTTTGTTCACCAGAAAATAGTTTGTAAACAAAATATATGAGAGTATGCACCATAAATCGAAAATAGCCGTGCAATAATTTTGTAGTAGTCTTCATAGTTTATACCTACAATAATTTCAAAATGCCGGACAATACTGGCCTATTTAGATAATTTTTCAATAGCCAGGCCCCTGAATTGCGTGATAACCAACATGCAACGGAGATATAGTGAACAATAATTGAGGAAAATTCATTATTAACGAGTCCCAGTTGCTAAACTGTTTTCATTGATTATCGATCAATTTTTTTTTTTTCGATTCCCATGGAGGGTCGTCAGGAATTTGAATGTTGAAATATTCAATACTTCATTATTAGAAAAGTCGATTGAACTAGAGTATTTCTTGATAGTAATTAGTCACATATTTGCTGAAAACAGTACAGTGTTTCTTTTACTTCTTCTTGATGATGACTTTGAACTTTTTATGTGAAAAGAGAAAAATACCATTGAAGGCCTCCAAAATAGACCATGTTGTTTCAGGTTTTCTTGAAAACCCACCATCATCATAGGATTCCATGCTCTTTTGTTTCATAATTATGTAGTCAAAGTTTTTTTGATATATCAAAAACGATGAAAATCATCGCTCTCGCAAGATTTTTATGGGTTTTTATAGGGTATTTCAAAATGTACAACAATGATTTCAATGGCGTATTTATAAATTTCATTTTGTTGATATTTATCATCCCTAACCCACCTCCACATGAATATGGAGAGGACTTAGGACATTGTTTGTCCATGACTAGTATCATTTTGTTCAATAAAACCTCCTTTGTCACTTGTTCAAAATTTCTTCACCAGTAGGTATCGGACAAGAATTCTCAGAGGAATGCATTGATTTTATTTTTATACAAAATGTCATAAAATAATATCTATCCATATATCAAGACAGCAAATGTAAATTATTTCCTCCCGCGTGTGAATTTTGACGCGTTTCATTTTATTTCATTTGAAACATATATTATAATTCCTGTATACCCTGTTTATCAAAGAGATATTGCATCACTGTCAATATGAGTGAAATCTGTGCGAAAAATTGTCAGTCCTGGAATTTTTTGAAAGGGTGGAAAACAAAAAAGATAATGGAGTGTCCACATTAATGAAACTAGCTCTTTACCTTGATCCTCGATTTTGTACGCCAGGACCAAATATGACGTCTTCAACGACGAAAAGAAAACCCTCAAGTTTTTCATCGTGAATCTATTCGATGCCCACGGTCGAGATGAAATCGCAATTATTATATAGCTCGGTGCATTTCCGTACATACTATTATTGAAATGCTATTTTCACTTGAAAAATACGTCTTTGTAATTTTTATAGTGAATTTTCCAACGTCTTTCATCAGGAAACACACAAATTTCAGTCTGTCAATATTCAGCATTCCTCTATCCTATCGTTGACCTACCTTTCCACATAAATACAATGACAAGTTGGAAAGTTGAGAGACATGAACTTTGGGAAGAACTTAGTAGTCCTAGGACATATAGCTCGCCCATAACTGTAAACTCCTGGCAGCTGTTACTGTCAAATAAGTGTCCTAGAAGTTGCTTTTCCACTTCTATTTTTCAATAATTAACAATTCAACAGTTTTCGATCTTATAGAAATACAATAATTTTGACAGTTGCTCCGATTTTATTGACATTTGATATCTTTTTATCCAACCTCACTATGTGGGATCAGAGATGTATGTATAATCTCTGGTGGGATTCTTACTATTGAAAATATGGTCACTTTAACCACAACAAGCACATTTTTGCTCTAAATTGAACATTGAATATTTTCGTAATACTGATGATAAATCGATTGGGTATATTATGACTATTAGCAATATTTGGTGAATGTTCAATATGTTGCTGAGGTTTGTTTATCATACTGTTGAATCAGATGTCACAATGTATTTTCATCAGTGGTCTAGTATCTAGTCATAAATCTATAGGATTTATCTTCAAAATGAAAAAATCGCATTCAAATGTGTGGAATTAATGCGGAAATATTCAATGTCTAAATGAACCCAAAAAGTGCTTGTTGCGGTACAATTGATCAGCATAATCATTTTGTACCAGAAAATCTCCCTCCCCCGATCGCTAGTGGCCGACCAATCTCAGAGAAACGCATTGACTTCATTCGTTTTCCACCACTAGCTATAGAACATTAATCAAAATTCTGCCTTATAGGTCTCGTGCACGATAACCGACCCTGGAGGTGAAATATTGAAACACAACCTCACTCTTCTGTAAAACATTGAAACACAACCTCACATTTTTAATTTTTTTACAGAGGTATCAAAGGATTGAAATAGTTTTTCACAATATTTTGGCATACGAATCGTATTTTTGCGCTATTCATTAATTCAAGTACAATGCACAAAAAATGCAGCGAGAGGCGAAGGAATATGATTTTTCAGGTAAATAGCAATAGATTAGATAATTAGATTGCATTCTTTTAAAAATTTCACGAGTATTTCTATTAGCTCCTATTGCAAAAAAATTAAAACTATACAGGGTGTAAATTTGAAAACTTTCAATGCGAATATCTCGCGAAATAAAAAAGTTGGAAAAACGCCACTTGGCAAAAATGCTAAAGAGTTAAGGGGAACTAGAACTACCATATTTCAGTGGAGGGATGAGTCACCCTGTCAGCGCAACACACCCCAACTTTGAAATGTCAAATGGCACTACCTCTTTTATGATACCTCAAATGAACGGTCTCCGTCAGTAGTATTCACCTGTACAAGACTTTTTTTCCACCCACTACAGGGTGTACGAAAAACATTAATTCGAGGGTCTTAATTTGAAAACTTTCAATGCGAATATCTCGCTAAATAAAACAGTTAGGAAAACGCCGTTTGGCACAAATTCTACAGAGTTAGGGGGAACAAGAACCACCATACTTCAGTAAAGGGATGAGTCACCCCGTCGGCGCGACACACTCCATCTTTGAAATGTCAAATGGCACTGCCTCTCTTGTGATACCTCAAATGAACGGTCTCAGTCAGTAGTATTTACCTGTACAAGACTTATTTTCCACCCGCTACAGGGTGAACGGAAAACATAAAGTCAAATAAAATAAAATGCAGAATGCCGATATATTCCAAGAGATGTGTTCCAAAATGTTAGAATGGCATTTGAACATCGATTATACTATTGCTTACAACAGAATGGAATGCATTTTGACCATCTGATCAAATAAAATATCCTTTTAACACAATTCATTTTATTTTATTCGACTTTATATTTTTCGTACACCCTGTAGTGGGTGGAAAAAAAGTCTTGTACAGGTGAATACTACTGACTGAGACTGTTCATTTGAGGCATCACAAAAAAGGTAGGGCCATTTGACATTTCAAAGTTGGGGTGTGTCGCGCCGACGGGGTGACTCATCCCTTGACCGAAATATGGTGATTCTAGTTCCCCTCAACTCTTTAGCATTTTTGCCAAACGGCGTATTTCTAACTTTTTTCTTTCGCGAGATATTCGCATTGAAAGTTTTCAAATTTACACCCTGTATGTGAGTGACTATAGTAGGTACTTACTTTCAAATCATAATGTACCAACCGGATACCTTCGTCTCCCGCTGCATTTTTTGTGCATTGTACAACAGCACAATGTGATGGTATACGCGAATAAATAAATAGCCAAAAATCACGATTTGTATGACAAACATAAAAGTGAAGTTGTGTTTCAATATTTCACCTCCAGGGTCATCTGACAGTGCTTGCACGCGACCCATATTCCGAAACAGATCTACAATTTGGTCGAAATTTCATTAAAATATGACAAGAATCGTTACAAGGCAATCAAAATTTCATGAAAACAAGAAGTTTGCATGTCTGTATCTTGATCTAGGACCAGAGAAGCCGTCTTCAACGACGAAGACAAAACCCTCAAGTTCTTCTTGCGCGGCCGGCCCGTCGTGCTGCACGCCCCTACCGCCCTAGCCGACGGCCACGACCTCGCCAAGGTGTCGCGAGCGCCCTCTCGCCGTCTGAAGCTCGACTGGGCCTACGGATACAGGGGGCGCGACTGTCGCTCGAATCTCTACTCGCTGCCCACGGGCGAGATGATCTACTTCGTGGCGGGGGTGGTGGTGCTGTACGATGTGGAGGAGCAGAGCCAGAGGCATTATTGCGAGCACACCGATGATGTCAGAAGGTGAGGGGATACGGAAGAAGAAGAACTAAACTACTCAACACTAATTTCGTCGCACACCAAAATGTCGCCCCTGTTATAATGTGAATAACTTTTTTCAGTTTAGAACAATTTGAATTTGGTTCACACTGTTCGATAGCCCAGTCCTTCAGCTATAATCTGGTAGTTCATTGAAACATAAGGGTATTCACATAAAATCTCTACATGGTGTTTTCCGACACTCTGCGAAATTTCGGAATATTCAAAAGGCTCTCAAATGGTGAAAAAAAAATGTTTCTCAACTTCGACAACAGAGTCATGAAGATGATCTCATTACCTCGAGATATTTCGCGAATCAACTTCCTATCTCTCTTATTTACAGAGTGATCTCAAAAAATCAACTTTTTGGTTTTGTAGCCATAACTTTTTTCCACGTCAACCGATTTTGGAAATCTTAGGCTCATTTTGAAGATAAAACTTCAGATGAAGAGATCTGAATATCAGAATTGACTCAAGATGGCTATCAAATATCTAGAGTTTTCTTGAAAGTGACCCAAATCTGGAACGCCCTTCGAATCTTGGTTGGGAGGAGAATTGAATGAAAATCAACTTGTTCTCGGAAAAACAATTCATTCTGGATGCGTCCACATTTTCTTCGCTCTCAGTACTTAAGAATGTGCGTGAGAAAACACAATTGAAACATGTTCTTGCAAAAACATCAGACCATTTCTCCTCTGTAATGCATGGCCCGTAACCAACGTTACAAGAATCACAGTAAGTGACTGACAAGTCAGGTTAGACGCCGTTTTCGAATCATAAACAGATTTTGATAGTTTCGATGCAGCATCTAACGCCCGACCAGGGTTATCTTCCCTCCAAATCGCGGATCTGCTAAACACGAGAGTCCGATCCATTCAAAGGGCTTATCTCCGACACGAATTGTTTGGTTATTATACTGTCGATTCGTTCGGCGCATTATTGCAACTGAAAACTTTACGTAATTGGCAAACTGTTTTCGTGAAACTTTCACCATTTTTGAAATGCGTTTTTACAATAAATAAACGTTGTTTGCTTGAATACTTCTTCATATTCTTAAATCGCATGTTATGTACGTGACAACTGGTAAAAAAATCACTTTATTGGAATAAACAAAATCCGTTGGTCTTGTTGATACACCTTTAATGATGAGCCTCAGCTGGTCGGGTTTGTCAGTCATTCATTGTGATTCTTGTAACGTTGGTTACGGCGGGCCATGCATTACAGAGGAGAAATGATCTAATGTTTTTGCAAGAACATGTTTCAATTGTGTTTTCTCACGCACAATTCTTGACTACTGAGAGCGAGGAAAATATGGACGCATCCAGAATGAATTGTTTTTCCGAGAACAAGTTGATTTTCATTCCATTCTCCTCCCAACCAAGATTCGAAGGGCGTTCCAGATTTGGGTCACTTTCAAGAAAACTCTAGATCTTTGATAGCCATCTTGAGTCAATTCTGATATTCAGATCTCTTCATCTGAAGTTTTATCTTCAAAATGAGCCTAAGATTTCCAAAATCGGTTGACGTGGAAAATAGTTATGGCTACAAAACCAAAAAGTTGATTTTTTGAGATCACTCTGTAAGTAAGAGAGATAGGAAGTTGATTCGCGAAATATCTCGAGGTAATGAGATCATCTTCATGACTCTGTTGTCGAAGTTGAGAAAAAAAATTTTTTCGCCATTTGAGAGCCTTTTGAATAATCCGAAATTTTGCACAGTGTCGGAAAACACCATGTAGAGATTTTATGTGAATACCCCTATGTTTCAATGAAGTACCAAATTATAGCTGAAGGACTGGGCTATCGAACAGTGTGAACCAAATTCAAATTGTTCTAAACTGAAAAAAGTTATTCACATTATAACAGGGGCGACATTTTGGTGTGCGACGAAATTAGTGTTGAGTAGTTTATGATATTTCGAGCACAGTACCGCACGCAACACTCCCTAGGTGGCGCTGTAGATGTGGCGATAATTTCAACTTCTAGCTGGCTTGTATAGTCGACTGAGATTAAGATCGTAGCGCCAGAACAGCGAATGTCGGCACTACTCTATGGGCCATTGGCGGATTGTTTATATTGATTGATAATGGTGTTTATGTTCAATTCGTTTTGAGTTTTCAAACGTTCAGCTTTGTTATTTGTCTATTTTCGAACTTTGTATTTTCCAGTGGTCAATTGTGTTTCGATTGAGGACTATATTATCTCTGTTCAACATTAGATAACCTACCTACCACTAGTTGAACTTCATATATACCAACATACATAAGCTGAAAGTTTTTATGTTTCAGTCTGGCCATCCACCCCAACAAGATGTTGATAGCTACAGGGCAGTGTGCTGGACATGACAGGAAAGATGCCAGGGTAAAAAATTGTAGACTTTTGTTTAAAATGAAAACGCTTCAAGAATTATGTTTCAGCCTCACATAAGGATTTGGGATTCGGTATCTCTGCACACCCAGGCGGTGATCGGCATTAACGATTTCGACATTTCGGTCTGTTGCCTGTCGTTCAGCAAAGCGGACGGTGGCGCCCTCTTGGTTGCCATTGACGAGGCTCCCGATCACACGATTTCCGTGTGGGAGTGGCAGAAAGGCGAGGGCGGACACAAAATCACGGAAACCAAGGTACATTTCTTCATTCATTAATTCCAATGGACATCAGAGGTATCTAGAAAAAAGGAATATCAGTACTAAAATCAATAATCGTGAATCTGAAATACTATATATAAACAAAGGAGTTTCCCAAGGATCAGTGTTGGGTCCAATTCTGTATATTTTATACATTCAAAACATTTCAAAAATGAATTTAATAGGAAACTATGCCATATATGCAGATGACACAGTACTTTTATGTGAAAACAAAAATCCTGTAATTTCAGAAAACAACATAAATGAGGATTTTAAGAAAATGGAAGAATGGCTATACTCCAATCTTCTTTCCCTCAATTCTAATAAGACCCAATATATAACTTTCCATCAAAGAAATGAACAAAATATTGATTTGAATATTAGAATAAAAAATGAAATTGAAACAAACTGCCTATACCAAATACCTTGGTGGATTGATGAAAAGTTAACATGTGACAAGCATATTAGCATGCTCAAAGAAAAAAATTCTCCCATACTTGGTGCCCTAAGGAGATGTCCAAAACTTATCCCAGATATGGCAAATACCGTTCTATAATTTCACATCCTTAGTAAAATGAACATCTCATTAATATTTGGGGTTCATGATCCAAGAATAATTTCAACAAAATATCTGTACTATATAAAAAAGCATTAATACCACTGTATCGTCTTCCATATGACACCCCATCAAATCAACTTTATGAAGAAACAAATACATTTTCTTTGGAAGAACACTATCTGATAAATACTCTCAAAATTTCTTTTGATATTATCAACAAACACCTCAAATCTAACTTCATATTGGTAAGGAATTTTCAAATCCATGAACATTATACTAGACAATATGACTTGTTTCATCTTGATGCTGCTAATTCTACACCACTTGGCCAAAACATGTTTACTCACGGAGCTATCTCAAAATTCAATAAATTATCTGATGATATCAAAAGTTGCACAAATATCACCCAATTCAGAATTAAAGTCAAGAAACGTATCCTCTTGCAAAGAGAAAATCAAACCTGAGTGAATGATTTCTCATTCACTTATTTATTTTATCATGTCATAATGTACTTTTCATGAGCTTTTTGTTTTATTATTATTATTTTTGAATCTGCTGTTTAAACTTAGATTTAATAACGAATGAATAATCTCATACCAGATATGAATCTGTCTGATTATTCATGTCATTTCATTGTAAATCTTAATAAAATAAATTTATGAGATGCAATGTAATGTTTATAGCAAAGAATGAAATAAATTTTATCATTATTAATCTCACTACACTGTTTTACCACTAACCAAACCGATTTTTTAACGCCTCGACACGTGTTTCGCTAACTATGTTAGCATCTTCAGGAGAAGATTCTCTCTTCTCCTGAAGATGCTAACATAGTTAGCGAAACACGTGTCGAGGCGTTAAAAAATCGGTTTGGTTAGTGGTAAAACAGTGTAGTGTATTATCGTGCCAAAGGTTCCAGTCTTCGATATATTATTAACCTCGTTGTCGAAAGAAATTGACTTCGAAAAAATTTCATTTCCATAAGACTACCTATTTTTTCTGGCAGTTTTTTCCTATTTCCTAAACGCAACAAAACTTGAACTGACAACTGGGACAACTCAACGCGTCATCCATATCGAAGACGCCGGATCATACATGAGGATCTAGTCATGGTATCGCCACCTAGTGGCATAAGTTCTTAGGTAGGACCTTTCGATCGCGTCATGCTACCATCTATGGTCATTACGTGCAGACCCCTAAGTCTACAAAACCTGCAAAGTGGAAAACTTGAGTGGAAAAACCACCAGTCCTATTCATTGAACTAGATCTCATAACTCAGAGATCTGGGATGAAGTATTCAGGTGGTGCCATCTGTCAGCAGTGTGGGTTACTTGTAGTATCACTTGTTGCAGCGTTGTAGAAGACGCGATGGCCATCGCTCTAGCTTCTCAGGTAAGGCACTAGCCGTTCGATAACTGTGGTACTATCGAGCGCGATTAGTACTTGGATTGGGTGACCATTCGAGGAAACGCCCGCACATCTGTAGTGAAATAGCATATCATAGCTACAGCTACCATATCAATGAGCACAAGATATGTACGGATATGCCGTCCTTCGGAGGGGACGTTAAGCCGGCGGTCCCGAGGCGATGGATATTGGACTCGTTAAAAGATCCTTACCTCTGATTGGAACACCAGACGATTCGGCAAAATTTCCGGTTAGGGGTAGTGTGCCCATCGGCGTCGATGATTAGCATCAGTAGCAGAAAAAGGCCGACTTTAAAGAAACAAGGAAGAAGAAGAAGAAGATGACGCGATCGAATGGTCCTAACATAAAACCATATATCTACTATTCTATATCTGGCGCATCACCTATACGATATCTCAACAAAAATGGGACCAAAATGAGAGGTACTTTTTGAATCTATAAGGACGGAAAGTGAAGGATGGAAGCATGAAAAAAAAACTAACGTCACTAGGTGGCGAAAGTTCGTTTGTCGCTGAAAAAGTTAGGGCAAAGTTCTTTGGCTGTCATAATGACAAAATCACAGCGGCTTATAGGATTTTTTTATACATGAATTGAATTGTCCTGGCAATTGGTCCTATATTAGAAATTGATGTCTCGAAGGTACTTGAATTTTTGTCAACTTGAAAATTCGGATCATAGTTTCGTAAAGCGACATCTTGATTTTTGGTAATTGTCTTTTCAGTGTTCTGTGGACACAATAGTTTCCGCGGAATTCCACCCTTTGGACCGCAACACGATAGTGACCTGCGGCAAGTCTCACATAGCATTTTGGTCTTTGGATCCCAACGGCACCTTGTTCAAAAGGATGGGCATTTTCGAAGCGAGAGACAAGCCAAAATACGTCACTTGTGTGGCTTTTCTTCAAACTGGAGAAACGATTACAGGTAGACTATTTGACTCAACCACCCCTCAACGTTCGCCAATAATCCTTTCAATCTTATCCATTTTGTATTTCCTAAACTGGCGATCGAGTCACGGGACACCTCAATACACTATCACCAAGTTTATTCTCATTAACTTTTTTATTCCTAAATTGAAATTCTTTTTAGGTGATTCGAATGGGAATTTGGCCGTTTGGGGTAGAGGAACCAACACGATATTCAAATTCATCAAGGGGGTGCATGAAGGCTCGATTTTCTCCATTTGCGTGCTGAAAGACGGCAGTTTTGTCACGGGAGGCGGCAAAGATGGCAGGATCGTGGAATTTGGTGCGAATCTGGCTATGACAGGAGTTGTCAGTGAGGTAAACAAAACATTAGACCAAATAACCCTAATTCACACAATATTTCAATTGGCAGGAGTTTGACATTTTGTGATATTATGCAACTACTGTTGAATACATTTTGCTTTTATCAAAAACAAGGGGTCCAAAAACTTGTTCTTGGGAATTTCTTGCTCTTAATATCAATATTCAACAATCCACCTTTTTATGACGATAGAAATACAATGATGTTGAATACGAAATATCTTACCCTTGAAAATATGGTCAATTCAGTTGAAACAATGTTTCATAATCGTCATGATACAGGGACTAGCAAAATTGAGATATACCGAATTATTAAAAAATAAATCTACCTTTCGGTTTTCTATTTATTTTAGGCAAAATTGAAACCAACTTTCCACATGACATGGATATTATTCATTGATTATCCCGACACTTATTCACTAAAAACTTTATTAACTCTACTACCGATATGAAATAGGTACACCAAAAAATGATACTGGAAATAACTAATATGTTGAAGAGTGATAAACAAAAATGGATAAACTACAAAACGGGCTTATATGTGCTAATTCTTGAAACGATTTACTTCATCGAATATAATTTTATAGTGGATAAAGTCAGTTTAAAATATGTTTGAGTTGGCAATTGGACTTTATGAATTTTCTCTATTATGTTTTCTGATTCATGAGCTCGATTTTGATATTTTCTTTGAATTGTATGTTCAGATTGTTCACTTAGACTGGCTGATTTTCGTTGAGGAGTCTGGTGAAAGTTTTGATGATTTTTGCGAAAATTAGAATTGATTTGTTCCTAGGGTTTGAGTGTGTTCTACTCGAATTTGTTGTGTTTTGATCTGAAAAGCCCTCTAAATCTCCATATATATATATTTTCGAGATGCCTCTGCTAAGATATATCGGATTCTAATTGACGTGTTTAAATCACATTGTAATCAAACCTCAGCTGGTGAGTCGACTTAATAGTTGTATCAATCAAAAACAAAATGACCAGTTGAATCGCATGACAACTGATGAACAGGATACCAACACCATTCACTAAAAGCGTACGAGCTACATTGATAGAAAGTTTATTCAAAATTCGATTGAGAAAAGAACAAGCAATCCGAGGCCGATGTGTCTATTCTGTCATTCCCTTTATAGCTGTTCTACTCTTCTTTTCCTCACCACCGGCCCCGTTTCACCAAACTTAATATTCCTCGAAGTATCAAGTGAGTTTTTTTCTATCCTAGACCATAGATCCTAGACTAAACATGGTAAATCATACCATAAGTGGGCTCCAACACGACCATCTCGTTAACAGTTTACGTTAACTCAAACTGGTGGAAAAAGCAAGAGTTACAGTTGTGAAAATTCAAATCTAACGGCGCCGATAGATATATGAATACCTAAAATATCTTCAGGTCGAAGGTCAATTTAAGATCTTTTATCATAAATCAACTTTTCCAAATTAAAACATTCAGTACATTGTGATTTCGATCATGTCACCGGAGTTCAAAGACGTCAGTTCCTTTATAATTTGCAAAAAAATCGCTTACCGTGCGATAATACCTAGGTAAGCAGTATCGAAAGGCAACGACCATTCCCATTGCGGAAAATATAAATAGAACCCGAGTCGATAAGGCATGGTCATTATTGGTTCAATCGTTATTCGATTCATGACTACCAATTATTATATTAAAATCAGTACATGACACTCATTTATCGATTGCTGACTTCCAAAGTGGCACTATGCCACTTTGGGGGTGTGACATCTCCTCGACTTTGGTGCTGCTACCCATAATATAACGTAAGTACCGAAACCCATCATCTTGTTTTTGTTGTTAGCTCGTTTCATGTTGGTTCTTTGCTGTTTCTCCTTTTTGGCACATTTTTTTGTTTTCGTCATTCAATAAATTGTTTGTTGTACTTTCGAAAAACAATTCTCTTTATTTGGGGATGAATGTGGCTGGGTGGTGAAATACTGAAAATCCTCTTGCGAAATAGCCAAGCGTCGAAGTAAAAGCGATGTCTGAGTTGCGACACGTGGTGAAATTCCATCTGAGTTGAGACAATATCATTTTCAAGAATACCTAAAATCTTTTCAGGTCGAAGGCCACTTTGGGGAAATCCGAGTGATATCGGAGGGACGTGGTTCTCAACTCCTAGAGGGCTTGACGTGCATAGCTTAACAATTTTTTTCGGATGATTAGATAATGAAAATTGGATAATATCAACTTTTTCTTAGAGTTCGTGTGAGTGTCCTCGAATTGGTTGTCTTTTGATCTATATCTGCTGCTGGAGGAAAATGGGACACGTACATTGACGAAGAATACCTAAAGTCTTTTCAGGTCGAAGGTCACTCTGGAGGAATCCCAGTGATACCGGAGGGAGGTGTTTCTCAACTCCTGGTGGGCTCGACGTGCAACTGCATTATTATAGTTTAAGAATTTTTTCGGATGATTAGATAATGAAAATTGGATAATATCGACTTCTTCTTAGGGTTTGAGTGAGTGTCCTCGCATTGGTTGTGTTTTGATCTAAATCTGCTAATGGAGGAAGATGGGACTCGTATATTGACGAAGATGTATCTGCTGAGATATCATTTTCATGAATACCTAAACTTTTTTCAGATCGAAGGCCACTTTGGGGGGGTAGGGCGAGTGATTTCGAAGGGACGAGGCTCCCAACTCCTGGTGGGTGGGCACGACGCGCAAATGAATTATTATAGTTTATGATTTTTTTCGTATGATGAGAATGAAAATTGGATAATATCAACTTTTTCTTAGAGTTTGAGTGAGTATTCTACTCGAATTGGTTGTGTTTTGATCTAAATCTGCTGATGGGGGAAGATGGGACTCGGTACATTGACGAAGATGTCTCTGCTGAGATATCATTTTCAAGAACACCCAAACTTTTTTCAGGTCGAAGGCCACTTTGGAGGAATCCGAGTGATATCGGAGGGACGAGGCTCCCAACTGCTGGTGGGCACGACGCGCAACTGCATCCTGAACGGCACCGCCCAGCTGTCGTTCAGCCCCATCATCCTGGGTCACACCGACGAGCTGTGGGGCCTGGCGGTGCACCCGACTCTGCCCCAGTTCGCCACCGCCGGCTACGACAAGGTGCTCCAGCTGTGGGACTCCATGTCGAAGACTATTCTGTGGAGCAAAGATATTGGGGTAAGAGCAGTGGAATCTCTCTTTTTACTTCTGATATTTTGGTTCTGAGACTGTGACTCGATTTTTGTTCAGAGAACCTTGTCAACCCTCATTTGTGGCACAGAAAATATGGACATTGACTTGCATCTTCATTTTAGAGAGTTATTTATTTATTTATTTATTTATTTATTTATTTATTCATTGAAAATGTTACTTCCAGTCAGAATCAAGTTCTGGTATAAGGAAGTATAGTTAACAATAATACCTAAAACTATACAATTATATTAAACTGATGAATAATAAAATATTTGAAAACATTAATTATTAAATTTTGACAAATCATTTCATATTGGTGAGCAAAAATCAATTTGAATATGAATCAAAAGTTGGAGAAAAAAAAAAAAAAAAAAACAAGTCATCTATTTCGTTCAGAAATGATAAATTTTTTAAGATGGTATTTGAATTTTATTGTATTTCTGCAATTTTTTATATTATCTGGTAGTTTGTTATATTCCAAGGAATGTTGACTGTACGGTTTCCCTACTAATTCCTAGGAGTACATCAATAAAAATAGTTATTTATTATACAAGGGAAAAAAGTTGTAGTAGACAACACAACCTAGAGCTAAAATCTAATATTTTTCCCGTGTATAATACACTATTTTTTTCTGTGACAGAAGAAAGGACGAATCAATATTGAGAAGACATTACATTATTTTGAAATCTGAAAGCTATCTTGGCGTGAAATTTTAACTTTTTAACAGTAGGGACACTTGCGTTGTAGGCATCTTTATCATTCTTTTGAAGTAATCCAATATCTGATGTCACTTCTGTCAGTCTAATTCTGTGATTTGATTTTAAAAAATTGCGAATTTAGTGGTTGTTTAGTAATATACGTAACCGCGAAGTCGAATGGAAGATAAAAGGACTTGCAGTTCTTTCTGCGAGACGGTATTATTGACTCATTTTTCGGTACTATAGCAAAACAGAAGCCATCAACAGTGTATATATATGTGAACTGTGTTCGGGAAAAATGTACTCACTTTTTTCCCACGGGAAAAAAGTAATTTATGAAAAGTGACATTTTATAATCTGCCAACAGAGATGAAATGCCAAACTTTTTTCCCGTCACAAAAAAAATATATTTATATTTATATGAGATGCAATGTAATGTTTACAGCAAAGAATGAAAATGAATAAATAAATAAATAAAATTTTCTGGCAATATTGCTCAGCGTTATCCCCACCATTTGTGATTTCATTCATTCATCTGTAATCGTCGTTTAGGATTCTTAGCGTGTACTTTTTAATGATTTATGAACGAATCGCAGTGTCACAGCCGTCTTCAACTATCAAGCCGTGAAGAAGCAGTCTGGCAACATTGTCCGAACGACCGAACTTGCACCTGTCGGCCATTCAAAGTGTATTGTGTAGGAAGTAAACAAGGAGTTTATGGAAGGTTTTTTTGAAGTTTTCAATTATTAATTGGTGTAATATTGAGATCAAATAATTTTAAAAGTATTAGCAACAATCTAGGAATCGACTCGAGACTGAAAGTGTGTAGCAAGTGCATTCAAAATTGTGTTAAATTGGAGGTTATTGTGAAGTGTACTAGTGCTGGTGTATTTGCAAGGGAATTTGTCTTGTTTTTTCAATTTACTCCTGGAAATAAGTAAGTTATTCATTATTCCTTATAAAATATGCCTTCTCATTGTTGTGTGCCAGGATGTAAGTCAAATTACAGCTCTGAAAAAAAGCTGGGAAAGGATCATGTCTCAGTTTTTTTATTCCCAAAAGGGGAAGAATTGCGAAGTAAGTGGATAACAGCAATACCTCGAAAAAACTGGACACCATCTCAACGTTCTACGGTATGTGCAATTCATTTTATTGAAAAAGATATCATCAGGTATGATACATTCCCTCTGCCAGATGGATCAATTGGAAAAAATTTGTTACGAGCACCAAAGTTAGTCAAAACAGCAGTTCCTTCAATTTTTCCAAATTTACCAAAATATTTTTCAAAACCAGCCAAACCATCAAGAACTGATCCAAATGAGAGACGTCAGAAATATTTAGATATTTAAAGTAATATAATAGAACAGTTTGAAAAATCAGACCTCATCCACAACTATGAACAGTTCGATATCTTCATAAGTTTTATTTTATCAAAATGTTCAAAATTACGGCTTCAGTTCATGACCAAGGGAATTATTCAACCACATTATTCCTCGTTCTTCACTCTGTAAGTTCACTCTCCAGTATTTTTTACACCAACCAATCAATTGTATGAAATAACAAATACGTATTCTTTAGATGAAATATATAGAATTGAAACTCTCAAAATATCATATAATATCATAAATAAAAAATTGAAGTCGAATATTATTTTGATACGGAATTCTGAAATTCATAATCATGAAACTAGACAATATAACTTGTTCCATCTTGACGCCGCTAGCTCCCTAATCGGACAAAAAAGATTCACTCATTTAGCCTTAACTGAATTCAATAAACTACCTGATAATATAAAAAATTGCAGAAATATAGGTATATTCAAAAATGAAGTAAAAAACTGATTATTTCTGAACGGACTGGATAAAATTAATCATGCCATTTTTCTTTTTTTTTTCTTTTTTTTTACAAATATTATTCTTTGTTTGCCAATTTACAGTTGTTGATATATTTTGAATGATGCTATGTTTACCTATAGGTATATAATTATGTACTTCCTTATACCAGAGCCTATTCTGTCTGGAAGTTATTTGTTCAATAAATAAATAAATAAATAAACAAATAAATAAATAAATAAATAAATAAATAAATCCGAGAAAACCAAACATTCAAAGCTTGCGCTCATATAAAAACCATTGTATTGCTAGGCTCGAATGGGACCGACGGTTTCCGTTCGTGCGACGTTGCCAGTATCTCAGCACGGCTTGATAGTTGAAGACGGCTGTGGCAGTGTCAATCTATTGTTATTTAGAATAAGCTTCCAGAATTTATCGTTCAAAATGTCGTTGGTCAATGTATCGTTAAGGTAACGATATCGTATTCTAACGATAAGTTTCTTACTCTGATGTCCAAAAATGTTGTGCTTCAGGAGCAGGCGCAAAGCGTCGCATACTCTTCGGACGGCAGTCGCGTGCTTGTTGGCTGTCTGACCGGCCTGTGGATGGTCTTCGACGCGCGCACCAGGGAGCTGCTGGCGCGCCACCGCGACGGCACCGAGGCCATCCAGGCGATCGCATTCTCGCCCGACGGCGCCGCCGTGGCGCTGGGGTCGCGCGACGGCCACGTCTACGTGTACCAGGTGTCGGAGGACGGCGGGAAGTACGCGAGGGTGGGCAGGTGTACGGTGAGTGGACTCTACACCTTTTACAGTTAGTTGTATGTGAGAAAGTGTGAATGGAGCAGCTTTCGCAGAATGTGACCCAAATGGGAACTAATTCGGGATATCAAATTGGGGACTTTGCCTCAAGTTGCCAGCATCTGATTGTAGGGGTTTACTCAGCTTTCTTATAGAAGTTATGCGAAAGAAATATTCAGGATAGTTATTGGCACAGGTGCCTTTCGATGAACTACAATATTTTTACTTTCCTTTGGGACATATATAGTCCAATAAATAAAGGGAGAAAGTTAACATTAATTACGCACTATTTTCATCTTCCGGTTGGAAGTAGCTTTTGGTACCTCATTAAACATGAGACAAAGTTTGACTGGAAAACGCGTGCGATGGCGGAGAAAATGGCCCCAAAAGACCAGAAAAATAGGTTTTCAGCCAATATCTCTTAAAATATGGCAGTTAGAGATTTTCGGTTCAGATAAAAATTGAAGTTCAGTTAATTTTCTACAAAAATGGTCCTTATCATTTTTCTCGAAAATTTGCCCGGTTTCGAGAAAAACGGCACGAAGCGCACCTCGAATAATGAGCTTCTCTTGTATGCCGGAGAGCACAGTCCGTGTATTTACACATCGGCGGGGGGACAAATTATTCAATAACTTTGTTAAAAATGCATATTTTCTCATGATTCAAAGTTCATGTGAAAGAGGAATTCTGCTGCTATCATACCCTGTGAATTGAGTCACGCTTGACTCTTTTGTCCATATCGGAACATGGGTCAAACTTTCTGCTCCCGGTCAATTTTGACCTCGCCAGGAATTTGTTCCTATTTTTTTTGTATTGCACTAATTTACTCAAAATTCTCTTGATTATGGATCCTCATAAGATCCTTTGTCATCCCTGAAATTTGTATACCCTAATTTTTTTTAATTTTCATTTAATCTTTGTTTATTGAATCCCAATTTTTTGCTGTTTTTGGGGCGCGGGGAAATTTTGTGAACAACCATCAATTAAAAATTTATACATGATCCGATTGGTTTCTATGATACATCATTTGGAAGCTAAGAAGGTTTACTTTCCGATTGTGCAATTACTTTTTTAGACGAAGTCGTCCATTTTTCAATAAAATTAGAAAAAGTGGGGTCAAGGAAAAAACGCACTTTTTTTTTCGGTGTTTTTTTTTTCTCCGTGCTCTTTATTTCTAACATTTTAACACCTTAACTAGTGTAACGGGGAAATTCCCACCCTTCCATCGATGTATATAAGTCATACCTTTGATATCCCAGGAAAAAACCAGTATATCTAAATGTACACGCTATAATTTATTACTTTCGTTCCTCCGTCGTTCGCCGCGTGTGTGCTCTACGTGGCGCTCGGGTCGTCTGCTACAAACCATGCGGCCACGCAGGGTATGATAGCAGCAGAATTCCTCTTTCACATGAACTTTGAATCATGAGAAAATATGCATTTTTGACAAAGTTATTGAATAATTTGTCCCCCCGCCGATGTGTAAATACACGGACTGTGCTCTCCGGCATACAACAGAAGCTCATTTTTCGAGGTGCGCTTCGTGCCGTTTTTCTCGAAACCGGGCAAATTCTCGAGAAAAATGATAGGGACCATTTTTGTAGAAAATTAACTGAACTTCAATTTTTATCTGAACCGAAAATCTCTAACTGCCATATTTTAGGAGATATTGGCTGAAAACCTATTTTTCTGGTCTTTTGGGGCCATTTTCTCCGCCATCGCACGCGTTTTCCAATCAAACTTTGTCTCATGTTTAATGAGGTACCAAAAGCTACTTCCAACCGGAAGATGAAAATAGTGCGTAATTAACGTTAACTTTGCCTTTTTTTCCTCCTTCATTTATTGGACTAATATCATTTTGATATCAGATGACGGTGGAAATCTGCAGCCGCCTCTCCTACTATTAAATGACCGAAAATTAACATATGGGTGATTTTGGTAATTTTGATATTATCGATCACTGATAATTTTTCATCTGAAATTTTCTCTATTGATGAATTTAGCGATCTCTAATTGCCTCTATTTTTCTAGGGTCATTCGAGTTTTGTAACTCATATAGATTGGTCAGTGGATAACCAAACCTTGAGAAGCAATTCCGGGGACTATGAACTCCTGTTTTGTAAGTATTTTGCTTTCATGTCAAAATTCACAGATTGAATATGGTGAAATATAATATCATTATTAATGAATTATTTCAAAAAAAATTTTCTTCTTCCTATGTTTAAAATGTTTTCATTCTCGTTCTCGATGGATTTTATGAACTTTGATTTTATAATCAACAGAGAGCGTTTCATATTCGAAGTTTTCAGTATTCAATATAATTGAATAGAATTCACTTATTTTACAATACCAAACAATAACATAAGACAGGTCGAATATGAACAAACTTGAATTAAAATTGAAACTTGCGAGAACATTTACCTTACAATATTAAAATCAAACAATAATTTGGGTTAACAAATACAGTAACGTAATATACAGAAGGTATCACAATCAGCTAGAAACATACACGTACATAAAAATTTCAGAGGTATACTTTTATTGCAGTTTAGACATAAATCAACGAGTATTTTCAAAATTCAAAATATTCTTCAACCGAATATGGACACACATGTCAATGATTTAAGTTAAATTCCCATTACTATTCGTCGTAAATAACACGTCGCTCCACCTGACGGCAACAACTTGAACACTTTTGAGCGATTTGTCTCATTGATATGACCAATGGGTTGCGTGCAAGAACTGTCAAATGACCGACCCTGGAGGCACAACATTGAAACACAACCTCACTTTTCTTATTTGTTTACAAGTGATTGAAATAGTTTTTCACAATTAATTTGGCATGCGAATCGTATTTTTCGGCTATGCATTAATTCGCTCATGCCATCACATTGTGCTGTTGAACAATGCACAAAAAATGCAGCGGAAGACGAAGGAATCCGGTTGGTACATTATGATTTAAAAGTAAATACCTACTATAGTCACTCACATATAGTTTTCATTTTTGAAATTTGGTAATTTCTCTGATTTCTCATCGGAATTCCTTCTGCAATCGGGACTAATAGAAATACTCGTGAAATTTCTAAAATAATGCAAGAAGATTGGATTCATGCAATCACGGGAGGACTGGTCTGACATTCTGAAGAAATATGATCGTGTGTGTTGTAGACATTTTCAATCAATTAGCAGTATTAGCTCATATTGCTAAAGTGGCAGACGAAATTTTAATAAGGAATGACATTTTATAATGAAAACTATGTGAGATTACTAATTAACTGAAGAATCATATTCCTTCGTCTCTCGCTGCATTTTTTTGTGCATTGTACAACAGCACAATGCGAAGGCATGCTTGAATTAATGAATAGCGCAAAAAACACGATTCGTTTGCCAAAATATTGTGAAAAACTATTTCGATCCTTTGATTCTTCTGTAACCAAATAAAAAAGTGAGGTTGTGTTTCAATAATTCACAGAAGAGTGAGGTTGTGTTCCAATATTTTACCTCCAGGGTCGGTCATCGTGCACGCGACCTATAAGCACAAACAAAAAACAAATCTCAACCAATGAAAACAAAGTAAACAGACCGCTTTGACAGCTTCCAAGAACTCCGATAGGTGGTGCACGCTTATTTTCTATCGCCAACAAGTGATTTCTCACAGATTTTCATTTGCTGGTACGCTATAGAGAAGTCTGATTTATCTGTCATGAGCATGAATATCAATATTAGTATTAGAACTTCTGTTCTTCTTTTCACTATTTAATATCGTCTTTTTCTATATTATTTCAATAAAAATCTCAATGACAGATTTCTGACTCTGACATCTAATTTATTATTTTCTGTCTATCTCCTGTCTTTCAACATAACATATACAAGGTATTTATAAAATGATAAAACAACATTAACATTACCAATTCTTGACTTTCTCCAGCCCGTTTTCAGATGCTTGTGTTAAATTATTATGTTCAATGTCACTTTCATATTTACTTTCAATGTCGCTGAGTTTCATTTTCAACTCCAATTCTATAAGTTCTTTCTCTCTGAGATATCTCTTCTCCCTCAAAAGCTGTTCCTCTTGATCTCTTCTTTCTTCAATCGCTGCTAATCGTCTGGCAGCATCAAGATGAATCTCGATTGCTCTTTTACTGGAAGTATTCGATTTTCCGCTTACAGTTCTTAACGATTTCTGTGATTTCCTCTGTATCTGAGATAACCTATCAGCATTTTCGTGTCTCGGAAATCCTAGGAAATCCTCAACTGGACTATCAGCCTGTCTGGCTTCAAATTCATTTTCAATCTTTCCATTTTATGATACTGTTTTACCGAGTTGAAATTCTTCTTATAGCTCGAAGGACCACTATTCGAACTTCTGTTCTTCTTTTCACTATTTAATATCGTCTTTTTCTATATTATTTCAATAAAAATCTCAATGACATATTTCTGACTCTGACATCTAATTTATTATTTTCTGTCTATCTCCTGTCTTTCAACATAACATATACAAGGTATTTATAAAATGATAAAACAACATTAACAATGGGCTTATATCACAAGAAAATTTTATTTCATAATTCGATAGAACTCACCCAAACTAGCTCACCACCGCAAACCGTTTCTTGCTGTGAGCTCTCTACGTTTTATAAAAAATTATTGAAATCCCCGATTTTTCGGACCTCTGAAAACGAGGCGATGATGTGACGTCAAAACCCTAATACTGAAACAAGACTATTCCAGACAGAGATGAATGATACATGATTTCTCACAAAGCACCCAAGATCGGTGAATCGGCAAGTTGATTTTTGGGACATAGATGATAAGAACAAGAAGAAGATCAATTCTAACCTATATTAAGTTTCTGCAACTTTCGAATATTAAATTGAAATATTTCGACAAAAGTATGATCGAGACATGTTCTGTGCCTAATTGCAATTAAAAAAACCTCATTTAGCTGGGAATTTTGAGAAGAAATCTCGCCCCTCACTGGGTAAACACAATATTATAGTAGTAGTTTTGCTTTGCAGAAATACATAGGGAAATTGCTTGAAGAATGAATGATCCATCTCCTAGAAGAACATTCAGGAGGAGATGCAAGCAGTATCTAGTCTTGGGAATAACATTGTTTCATACCAATTGATCATATTGTTGCATAGGTAAACATATCGATCAGTGACTGATTTAATGAGGATTCTCCCTCGGAATCTCCATATGATGGGTATTCTGATGTTAAATATCCTTTTAGGTGAACAATTTTCCAATGCAACTATAATATAGGTACAAGCAATGAAAATATATTGTCGAACTTACCTTTCAGATTTTCTATTCCTCATTTCAGCACTGAGGAACTGTGGAGATTGTCTAGTATGTTAGAGACATAAAAATAATTAACCATTTCCAAATCAATTTTCGGTAGATTATCTGATGAGCCTTTTACAAATCCTGATTCAACGTTCATGTTTATATTCAATATATCAATAATATGTATTGATATGATATAAAGCAAGATTTGGAGGTTAATTTCATTATGTGTCTTCTCTTCTCATTTTAGACGACATAAATAACTTCGGAATCGGAATTCGAGACTCGATGCAAATGCAGCTCCATGTGAAACGGGTCAACAAAGCAATGTTGCTGCGTTCATGAAATATATTGGATTATTCTGAAATTGTCATGGTGCAATTGGTTTTGAGATTGAGAAATTTCGTTGTTTAGAGATTGTTTATATTCTAATGATTCAACCTACCATCGACAAGTTGAATATATTTTTCTGCAGTAGTGGTAGTTGATATCAAAAGATATTTCAATATCGATTTCGATCTCTCGGATATTTTGTTTAGATGATATGGCAACAGTGATAAGTGTCACACATGGGTCACGCTCATTGGTTCCAGGCGAGATGAGGTTTCTACGTCATAAAGAGGGTCCGTTTTCAGAAGGTACTATTATTTATGTCCAAAAATAAAACATTCCAGTTAATGTTTAGATGGAATTATGTCGCCAATCGTTATTTATGTATAAAAGGATCATTATAAACATGGTTTGAGTTGAAAGTTCTACTAAGGTGTACACGCCCATTAGTATATCCGTTTGATGTATTTCTTAGGGAACGCCGGCACTTGCAGACAGATCCCGCAAAGCGGTCTGGTCCGTGACGTCGAATGGGCGTCGAACACCTGCCCTTTGACCTTCACCACGGCCGGCGTCTGGCCCGAAAACGCCGACGGCACCGACGTGAACGCGTGCGACCGCAGCCGTCGCGACGCCGATCTGCTCGTCACCGCCGACGATTTCGGCAAGGTCAAGCTCTACTCCTATCCCGTCATACAGACCAAGGTAGGCGAGGTTTTTTCAATGTTTAATTCATGAATGAATGATGATGATAATGAATGATGAATCCTTTTTCACACTTATAACGAAATGGATCCTTTAAAATTCGGGAATTTTTGCATAAACCCTACAAAAATTTTCAAACTTTTAGGTTTAACTATAGACCAGGAACCCTATTCTCAAACGGTGAGATATTTTGTTGCATTCGGGATTTCTATATTGTCGAACAAAAAACGTGAGTACTCATTCACAAATGACGAACATTTTCGATGGACAAATTGTAGAGTGGTCTCCAGCAGCAGTCGACAATTTTGATTTTGGTTTTCTTCACTTGTTATTTTGAGAATGGCAGCTTCAATAAAAGGAATTGAAAATTTGGAAAATCAAGAAAATCATCAACGGCCACGAGAGAACGTCTATGAGAATGCGTTCAAATTTTTATCGGACAGAAAATGTATAAAATTATGGGGTGAGGAATTAGTGCCTTTGTGAAAAAGTCATTGCATTACCATGCTAGAACCATTTGTGGTAGGTACAGGGACATCAATCTTCTGCATTTTTTTTGCCAGATAAAAGTGGCTCATTTTCTTTTTCTTCCACCAAGTTGAGTGTTTCCTTTAGGGATGAAGCACAATATTTTTTTTTCTTCCACTGCCATTATTTCAACATAACATTGACATAACCTCTATGATAACAACAAAGAAACCACAACACATTGGCACAGATTGCACAGAACACATTCGGGAATCGTTAATTCGATGTTGCCAATTCATGCTATTTTAAAGCAATGGAGAATTCCACACTTACACTTTGTGCGACAATTTATATCAACATATTTCGAATTCGACATATTTCGTTTGACATTCAAGAATAGGTATTCAAATGCTTAGTCCCCTCCCTTTCTCCTTTGTTTTTCTAGCTATATTTCTGAAGTTTGGAACATCAAATGTGCTCAATAGAGGGCACTTTCTCACATTTTAGGATTTTTTTTCATCTTTCGGTTTTCCTGGAAATGACATCAACTTTTGATTTTCAAATGGAACACCTTGTATTTTATTCCATAATCAATTGGAGATGATTAAAACGAATTCAACTATACCGGGTTTGATTGGCTTATTTCAAAGGATTACGAAGATATTCGCGTTCGAAGTTTCCATAAGCTCAATGAGTGTGGAATCAACGGTGTATCGCACTTATTCGAAATAGTCATTTTCCTAACAAGTGCGGAAAGTGATCCTTTCCCGCACGCGAATGCCATTGACCCGAACGACGCGAAGCGGAGTTCGGGCAAGCAGTCGAGTGCGGGAAAGACACTTTCCGCATGAGTTAAGAACATTATTTTTTCTACTACTGCTGTGAAAAGTAGCGCATTGCTCATAGCTCACTTAGTTTTAAAACCATGTATTGCCCATACTATGAGAAATATTTTTTCTCACGGCACTTTGCCAACACCACATACTGCTGCTGCTGTTCAGCTTTGAATAGTTGTCACAACTGTCAGAAGAAGTTTTTTGAATTCTTTAGGGTAGTTCTTATTAGTGCTTTCGATAGAAATCGCAGTTTCGATCAAATATTATTCCAACAATTCATAATAAATAATATGATGTATATACCGACATGTGACGATTTAGATAAATACACCGCCAGAGACAGAGGTAATGGAAAACGCTGCGAAAGTTGGATTTGTTTCCGGAAATTTCAAGAAAACAGTATGAATTGGTATGTACGAAACATTTATGGAATCTAAAAAAAATACAGAAATAAAATCTTTTTCGGAAGGTGTACTTTGAAATACTGCGAGGAACTAGGAAAGGCGTCTACTCTTTGGTCACAATATTCTATGTGGCTTAGTGTCACATTATAAAATGAATACCAATAAGTTACATTACTCGGATTCTTTGAATAAGTGCCGTTGTAGAAAAAGTATACTAGTTACAACAAGCTTAGGAAATTGATTGATTAGTTCAATCAATTATTCCTGCAAATGGGAACAACTAACAATAGTGATATATCCTCTATCTTCTAATAATTAGTGATATATCTATTTTATGTACCGTTTGAAACATTATGTAGGTAAGCTTATTGCGGAAGCCAGCATGCCCATGGTGTTTGGCCTCTAGGTTTCAGACATTTCTATGAAATGAGCCAAAAATACTTCTTCCTTATTTGGTGCTTTCACTTTTTTACTATTGCACCATTCAATAAATCCTGTTTAGTGCTTCTCATACCTTTCTCAAGACTTCGTTGGCAATAACTTATCTGTATCGCATCTGTAGCTGGAAGTTTTTCATCGCAATTCCACTGCATTAAAAATGACAGTAACGCTATGTCTGTCACTCTGAGAATTACACTAACTAATTTGTGTTTTGATTGACATGACAACAATTGTTTCCCACATCAGATCAATTGAAGGCTTTATGGGGATTTTTATAACAATCAATTATTATTTTTCAATATTTCTTCATTTTCACAATAAATAGTGCAATTTGTTGAATGATTTTGTACAAACTTACTAAATACTGCAACAAAAAAAACTAAAATTTTCATATTGTGTCACCCACTACTCATAATTTGCGAGAATATTATATAAATGTTTTTTCCGCACTAGTGTGGGACACAGGGTGAATCACGTACCCTGTAACTGGAAAGTGGTCACGGTTCCTTTTTTTTTAAATAGGCAAGGGATCTCCTCATTTATTTTATGACACATGTTTTCATATTCCTTGTATACAAGGTGAACCGTTTGAAATATATTATGACCGATGATGTTCTAAAATGGATTGCTATAATTTTTTATAAAATATCTTTTGGAGGACATTTCATATCATCCTAATGGTTCACCCTCTGAGTATGAAACAAGAACAGGTACTTATAATACAAGATTAGGTACAGGGTGATTCACCATTAATGTCCCCCCATCTAGCTCAGTTATTTTTTAATCAATCGCAAAATTTGAGGCATCATTTAAAATAATTTTTGATAAAGTTTTTTTCCGCTACATCAGAAAATACAGGGTGCTCGGAACAAACGATCTACAGGGTACTAGTTGATTTTTTCAAATGAAACACCCTGTATTTCATTGCATCTCTAGATTCTTCCTGAAGAGCTGATCTCATCAATGTATCACACTAGGAGTCTAGCGTGAATGATTACAGAGATATAGGGTGTTCAAAATCGAAATTTTTCATCTCGAGGATTATTTTTCTGTTGAAGCTATTCATTGAACCACCCTGTAGTGTTCTGATTAAATGTCAATAGATAGTAAATCAAAAGTTGTGATAGGGACATATGACTCGTTTTGACCAATTAGGAATATTTTGGACACAAAGTAGAAAAATCTCGATTTTAAACACCCTATACCTCCGTAATTATTCCCGCTAGACTCCAAGTGTGATGCATCGATGAAATCAGCTCTTCAGGGAGAATATAAAAATGAAAGGAAATACAGGGTGTTCTATTTGACAAAATGAACTAGTACCCTGTAGATCGTTTGTTCCGAGCACCCTGTATTTTCTGATGTAGCGGAAAAAAACCTATTGAGAAATCATTTCAAATGATCCTTTAAATTTTGCGATCGGTTCAAAAATAACTGAGCTAGAGGGGGGGACATTTATGGTGAATCACCCTGTACCATATTATTGTGTTGAAACTCAAAAGACGTGGCGTTTTTCTGTCATCAGTGACAGTTTTAACAAATAGAAGTAATTGATAAATAAATTTTAATTTTCGTATTTCAATGAGCAGGCTGGGCCCTATTGAAAATTTCCATTATCCATATCAATTAAACTACTTACATTGGCAAACAATCTGTTTTTCACAATGGAATAATTTTATACGATTCATTACCGAATGAGTTGAAAAATATACATGATGCAAGAAGGTTTAAAATCAATCTTAAAAAATACTTGCTCAGGACAATTTGAATGAAAAATATGTGGCATGATTTGATTACTCAGGAATGAAATATAACTTTAATGTTATAAGACACAATATTAATTGATATATCGAAGACTGGAACCGTTGGCACGATAATACAATATTAATTCGTTTCCACTGAATGGAATTCATTATAGTTTATAGTTAACCCTTTATTATTATTTTTTTATATGTATTTATGTATCCCTATCATAAACAGAAATGTTTCTTGAGGTAATAAAGACAATCAATCAATCATTATATAACAAGGGGAAGCTTTCGTGACTGTTCTATAATAATATTCTTGGAAATATTAGTGGGATGCAGTCTGGACCAATGAATTAATTAGATTTCTTCGTTATTTGTCGAGCTTTCGAAAATTTTTATTTTCTTTATCAAGACTAACTGAAAACATCGAATGGAACAATAATATTAAAATATAAATGTACATCAATTGAAATTGGTATACTTACAAACATGAAATTCTATATAAAATTAGCACAAAAAGGAATATTATTTATGAAATTCCCTGCAATAATTGTAATCTAGTTTATATTGGTCAAACTTGTAGAATGTTAAAAGACAGAATCACTTCACATAAAAGTGATTGTAGAAGAAATTTAAAATCATGTAGCCTTGCTGAACATGTTATAGATGAAGATCATATAATGAATTATGATAATGCCAAAATTCTGGATTATGAAAAACATCTCAACAAACGCCTCTTTCTTGAAATGGTACATATTAATGAAAATGATAAAACGATGAACAAAAGAACAGACATCAACGATCTTAGTACCATTTATACATTCCTTCTAAAGAAACAAAAAGATAATAAATCAAACATTTTTTATATATCAGTATTTTTATATATATCAGTATTCATCTCACTCTGTATTCAACATCTTCAAATGAGTCAACCATCATCTATGACATTTTTTTGTCAAATCATTTCATTTCATTTATACACCTATGTTTCCTTTTTGTGCTAATTTTATATAGAATTTCATGTTTGTAAGTATACCAATTTCAATTGATGTACATTTATATTTTAATATTATTGTTCCATTCGATGTTTTCAGTTAGTCTTGATAAAGAAAATAAAAATTTTCGAAAGCTCGACAAATAACGAAGAAATCTAATTAATTCATTGGTCCAGACTGCATCCCACTAATATTTTCAATCATTATAAGTAGAGTCGTAATTTTATTAACGGTACACAACCTGTTCTGAAAAGTGTCAATTTTTTCAATGAAATAAGAAAGATTGTTTGTTGCAGTCTCTGTGCCATAGCTACGGGGGCCACAGCAGTCACGTGACCTCGGTCAGCTTCCTCTACGACGACACCAGAGTGGTGTCCATCGGAGGCAAGGATACGGCCGTCCTGCAGTGGACAGTCTCCTAAACGACAATTTTCCGTCCGAAGCCGGTTCACCAGGTTTTTTGCCTTTTCCGCGATACCGATTTGGCCTTCGATGTTTCACCTCGGTTTCCGATGGGTGTGAATTTTACCAGGGATCTTTTTAAAGTGTAAATTCGAGTGCCACATTCCTCATGAATATTTATTTTTCTTTTTAGTTGAGGTTGTCTGTTTTAACCATATACTTTTTTATAAAAAGTTTCTATACCATTCACGAGATTATTCGGAGATTTTATCTTATTCTTTGTATATGTGTGATAATAAATTATGTTATCTAGATATCTGAATGATATTTTTTTTCATTTCCCCAATGCAAATTAGAGTTCCGGAGTTCTTGTGATATACATACATTGGGAAACGGAAAAATTTCGTTCCATCAAAAGTACACCCAGTATATTCTATTGGAATTTGGTACACAATTCCGTTTTCTTCTACCCAAGCGACCCACCTATCAGTGGAGAGAAAAATCCAGGTCCGTATTAACATAAATTGATCATATTTCTGGACCCCAAAAAAAACACCCTTTAGAGGAATTCTTTTCAGAGAAATTCCTAAAATGTGTTTTGTATTGTGGACTATAGATATTATGTAAGTTTTATTTATACATTGTATATTTTGTAGGTACTCTACTTTATTTCTTTATATATTTATATATGCATGTCGACTTTGTCAAAGAGAATTCTTTTCTTCAGACAAAGTATATTTTGATTTGATTGATATTTTCGAATTTCCAAAATTCGGTTACATATTCGGAAAGTGCACAAAAATCTGAATCGAATGGTGTATCTTTTGTCAAAGAATAGTAGCTTTTATTTTCCCGCATGCTATACTAAAAAATTTCCGATTTTGAATTTGAGGTTTTATGCATTTGGATAGGTGAAAATGGAATATATTGAGTTATCAAGAGCCACCTAGTAAATTCTTCTGAAATTTGGTACAAAATTCCTCCCCTTTCTACCCAAGCGAATCACCTATCAGTCACGAGTAAAATCCTGGTCCGGATTTACGAAGATTGATCATATTTCTGGACGTCAAAAAGAACACCCTGTATTTTCGTATTCTTAAAATCCGCCCACATATTTGGATAGTGCACTAGAAGCTGAATCGAATGGTGTACTTTTTATTTTCCCACATGCTACTATTCAGTATCCTACTTATGTAAGAAGTGCCTAAATCGAACCAATCTCATCACGTGATATGTTGTGATTCGTGTTTTAATATGATTATTTTTGCAGTAAAATTGTGGAGGCTGAGTTTGGCCAGATAGTTTTATTCTGGTCCTCTAATAGCATGGTGTTAGTCCACTGTGGTCATTTGTTTGTGATAAGCTTTCAAAGATGTTTTTCCTTGCTCTCAAGACCCTGAGAGTTCTGTTGATAGTTCCAAGTTTCTCTACGAGCGAATGCGCATGCGTCCATAATGTATCACGTGATTCACTGTGACCAATCTTACAATGAGGTTTGGGAATGGTTCGAAAACTTGAGGCTCTCGTCTTATGTATTCGTGGAAAGAAATTGTTCAAATTAGTTGATATAATGACATATCACTGTTGAAAAAATTGTATTTCCTTAATTTTGGAAATTCGCATATACTGGGTGTTCTTTTGGGGCCCAGCATGTGATCAATTTTCGTTAATCCGGACCTGGATTTCACTGATAGGTGAGTTGCTTGAGTAGAAGGTAAGGTCTTGTGTACCAAATCCCGAAAGAATTGACTAGGTGATTCGTGGTAATTTTTGTTATTGGATTGGGAAAACTCAAAATATTCCATTTTCACCTCTCCAAATGCATAAAACTTCAAAATCAGAAATCCTTCAGTAAAATAGCATGCGGGAAAATGAAAAGTACAACATTTTGTGCACTTTCCAAATATGTAAGCGGATTTTGGAAATTCTAAAATACATGGTGTTCTTTTTGGGGTCCAGAAATATGATCAATTTCCTTCAACCCGGACCTGGATTCTTTACGTGATTGATAGGTGAGTCGAGGGTGAGTCGCTTGGGTAGAAGGAGAAATTGTGTACCAAATCCCAAAAGAATATACTGGGCTGTTCGCAAATTATGTCCTCAAAAAAATTGAGCAAAATTGATAAAACAACCTATATCTGGGATATACAACTTGTGAGACCCTACAAATGTGGTATATTCAGAGCCACCTTGACGAGCTCTACCCACCGCTGAAGTTTTTCCGTTTCCCCTTGCGACACCCTGTATAATTCAAAACAAAAGCAGTTGGGTAAACTTTGTATTGTTTAAAATTTTATGTACAGTATATAACTTATGCCATATAATATTCATATAAAAGGAAAAATGAATTCTATACAGTATGTTACACTTGGAAGTAATAAAATATATCTACATTCTGAAATAACGAAAATATATACAACAAACATCAAAAGCTATAGTATTAAACTCCAACTCTTCATGATTTTAAAAATGTTGGTGTTATTTTTCAAATTTACCGAATGTAAAAGAATACCCTAATATAAAAATGCCAAATGCATATATGGCCCCGAAATATAAATGATTTTGTATTACTGGTTCAATTAATGAATTGCATACTTAGATAAGGTAGGAAATACATTCTTCTATTGTCATTGTTGGGATCACAAAGTACTGAAGAGTTCAAATAAGAATTGAAGTTGAGTATCCCCAGCGATGCCAACAGAAAAACTAAAAATTCAACACTTATATTGAAATCATTCATAATTCCGTTGAGTAGACCAGTTTCTAAAAAAAGTTTCTAGGAATAAATAACATGTCTTAGGAGATTTTCATTGCTAAAACGAAATAATCAGCTAGACAACATCAAAAAAATCAGTCTATCATCGTATTAAGGCAACCATGTACTAATTCATCAACGAAGAAGCCTCTAGTTCAAATATTTTTTCCTTAAAACAATATTTTCCATCATATAAAATTCATTTCCATTAATCAACAAGGAAGATTGAACTCATTTGTTCGAAAGTCAGTGTAAAAGGAACTTATGGACAGGAATACCAACAGTTTGTGGGAATAGGAGTTGAACAAAACAACACTATTTCCGAATGTAGAGAACTACGAGAGTTTACATACACCCTCAGGCCAAAAACTCCCATCTCGTAAATTATCCTACTTTGCAAAGAACCCCGCACTAAACTATTCGCGAGATTCACGAAGTGGGCGCCATCTAGGTTACATAATAAGAACTTCAAACTGGGGGAAAACAAACTGTTGTCTATGGATGAAGTGCATAGACTACATTGCATTCAGCTTGCTGTAGCTGCAGTCAAACTTGTCAATGACATAAAGTGTTGGCACTGTTGGTAGTGATGATGGTTGAGATGGGTAATTTTTTTACACTATTAAATTCTCATTAGTTTAGTGAACAGTGAACGAGTGGAGAATTGGAGATAGTTCAAACAATTCAAACTAATTATGACGAGCAAATCAATTGACATATAAAAAAACAGCTACAACATGTTTACAATACCCAGATTGTACTGCTTTGAATGAACAAATACAAATCCATTGTTCTACAGGAGTTCCTCTGGACCCCAAATTCAATTTTACTTCATGTGGGGAAGATTTCATCGCCGAAGTTTGTAGACAAAGTGCAAAAATGTGCCTTTTGTTGAAGTCTTCTGCCTCACACAAAATCACATGATTAGTACGGAGAACTGCTTCTTCTTCCAGTACTGGTCGGCTTTTTCCATCTAAATAGAGCAAAATATCTGCCAGAACAACATCTCCAACAGACATTATTAGCGTTTTCGATCGAATATTGACAATTAATGTCAAGAAACTTATAAACTTATCACTCTTATCAGTACACAGTACACAAGCTAATGGCACTGATGGGATTAAGTCAATCAAGTGAGGATTGAGTTTGTTTTCCCCCAGTTTTGACGTGACGTGAAATGGAACGATGAAAACTGAGCGCCACCTGGTAACATTGATTCCCGCGAACAGGGAAAATGGCTCACTTGATATACTGAACAGATATTCCATTGAACTGACCTCAAAAAATTGACAGTTTTTCCGATATTGACTTCCGAATGTCATTTTTTCGAGAAAAAAAAAGTATCTGAAAACGATTGAATTTTTGGCATGTTGTAGATAGGAATAGGTCGCGTGCACGATGACCGACCCTGGAGGCAAAATATTGAAACACAACCTCATTCTTCTGTGAATTATTGAAACACAACCTCACTTTTTTATTTGTTTACAGAGGAATCAAAAGGTTGAAATAGTTTTTCACAATATTTTGGCATACGAATCGTGATTCTTGCGTTATTCATTAATTCAAGCATGCCTTCGCATTGTGCTGTTGTACAATGCACAAAAAATGCAGCAAGAGACTAGGGAATATGATTTTTCAGGTAAATAGTAATCTCACATAGTTATCATTATGAAATGTTTTCATTCCTTCTATTAAAATTCCTTCTGCCTTCTGCCACTCCTGCAATACAAGCTAATACTGCTAATAGATTGAAAATGTCTACAACACACACGATCGTCAGCATGTCAGACCAGTCCTCCCAATTGATTGAATGAATCCAATCTTCTTGCATTATTCTAGAAATTTCAGGTATATTTCTATTAGCTCCTATTGCAGAAGGAATTCCGATGAGAAATCAGAGAAATAACCAAATTTCAAAAATGAAAACTATATGTGAATGACTATAGTAGGTACTTACTTTTAAATCATAATGTACCATCCGGATTCCTTCATCTTCTGCTGCAGTTTTTGTGCATTTTACAACAGCACAATGTGATAGCATGAGCGTATTGATGAATAGCGGAAAAATACGATTCATATGCCAAAATAATTGTGGAAAACTATTTCGATCACTTGTAAACAAATAAGAAAAGTGACGTTGTGTTTCAATGTTTTGCCTCCAGCGTCGGTCATCTGACAGTTCTTGCAACCCATGAACTGATGAAAAAATCCAATTGACCTAACCTCAAAAAAACTGACACTTTTTCGATATTGACCTCCAAATGTACGTATGGAAAATAAGATGAATGGAACAATAATCAATAGACAAAGTTGCTGTTTTCGAATTAGTATTCGGCATTTCATTCTTCTAAAGACAAATTTTCTTCATATTGTGATACATCCACAGGTGGAGAAAGTCGAAAAGAGGATGTAATGAAATATTATATTATTTAAAAGTTGGTAATAGTCTTTCCGAAGTCAATGGGGTTGTCAATTTTTTGAGGTTAGGTCAATTGGATTTTTTTCATCAGTTCATTTTTATCTACAACATACCAGAAATTCAGCTATTTTCATGAAAAACTACATTTGGAAGTCATTATCGAGACAACTGTCAATTTTTGGAGGTTATGTCAATGGGTTGCGTGCAAGAACTGTCAGATGACCGACCCTGGAGGCACAACATTGAAACACAACCCCACTTTACTCGTTTGCTTACAAGTGATTGAAATAGTTTTTCACAATTATTTTGGCATACGAATCGTATTTTTCGGCTATTCATTAATTCGCTCATGCCATCACATTGTACTGTTGTACAATGCACAAAAACTGCAGCGGAAGACGAAGGAATCCGGTTGGTACATTATGATTTAAAAGTAAGTACCTACTATAGTCACTCACATATAGTTTTCATTTTTGAAATTTGGTAATTTCTCTGATTTCTCATCGGAATTGCGTCTGCAATAGGAGCTAATAGAAATACTCGTGAAATTTCTAAAACAATGCAAGAAGATTGGATTCATGCAATCAAACGGGAGGACTGGTCTGACATGCTGACGAAATATGTTCGTGTGTGTTGTAGAAATTTTCGATCTATTAGCAGTATTAGCTTGTATTGCAGAAGTGGCAGAAGGGATTTCAATCAGGAATTACAACTTTTCATAATGAAAACTATGTGAGATTACTATTTTCCTTCATCTCTCGCTGCATTTTTTGTGCATTGTACAACAACACAATGCGAAGGCATGCTTGAATTGATAAATAGTGCAAAAAACACGATTCGCATGCCAAAATATTGTGAAAAACTATTTTAATCCTTTGATTCCTCTGTTAACAAATAAAAAAAGTGAGGTTGTGTTTCAATAATTCACAGAAGAGTGAGGTTGTGTTTCAATATTTTGCCTCCAGGGTCGGTCATCGTGCACGCGACCTATTTAATTTTTTCTTCAGTTCATTCCTATCTACAACATGCCAAAAATTCAACCATTGTCAGATACTTTTTTCCTAAGAAAAATTACATTTGGAGGTCAATATCGGAAAAACTGTCCATTTTTGAAGGTTAGTTCAATGGAATACCTGTTCAGTATATCAAAGTCTGCAACATACCGAAAATTCAGCGATTTTCATCGAGAGCCATTTTCCCTATAGTTTAGTGCGGGGTCAATTTATCGTAACTCACAAACCTAAATTGTTCCTAAAGAAATAGTCATCACAAACGTATTCATAAAAAAAGTTGATATGTCGACGTACTAAAAGAAACTCACGCTCTGCCTCCCGATAATTAAGAAAAAATAGTCTTGTAGAAGAACGTTTCGAGCCTTCTGGCTATACCTCGGGCCCCAAATCTTGGCAACCGCTCTCCGCTATCGGTACGAACCTGTCTTCGATTTGGACCAGCAGAATGGTTCTGTCGACGTGAGATCTCTTGCTCGGGTCCTTGTGGCAGGGTATCCACTTATGCACCACCTGAAATTACATTCAGCGTCACTAGTCGAGGGTAATTTTGCACTTATCATGTGACGGTTTTGTTTTCGAATTTTTTTGTTACCTACGTATTTTTGTCTGAAAAACACGAATTTGATTAGGAATATGTGAACAATAGTTATTTATTATACAAGGGAAAAAAGTAGTAGATTTTAGCTCCAGGTTGTGTTGTCTCCCGACGCGTAGATAAAATCTAATATTTTTCCCGTGTATAATACACTATTTTTTTCTGTGACAGAGGAAACGACGAGTCAATATTGAGAAGATATTACATTATTTTGAAATCTGAAAATTATCGACGTGAAATTTTTTAGTTTTTAACAGTAGGGACACCTGCGTTGTAGGCATCTTTATCATTCTTTTGAAGTAATCAAATGTCTGATGTCACTTCTGTCAGTCTAATTCTGTGATTTGATTTCAAAAAATTGCGAATTTGGTGGTTGTTTAGTAATATACGTAACCGCGAAGTCGTATGGAAGATAAAAGTACTTGCAGTTCTTTCTCGGAGACGGTATTATTGACTCATTTTTCGGAACTATATATAGCACAACAAAAGCCATCAACAGTATATATATATGTGATATATATCCAGGCAAAAAAATAATCTATGAAAAGTGACATTTCATAACCTGCCAACAGAGATGAAATGCCAAACTTTTATCCCGTCACAGAAAAAACCATTATTTATCAAGATATTTCAGGGAATAGTAATTTATGTAGCAAGTCCGGAAAATAATGTTTTTTTGGAGGAGTAGACAGAATTCTAGGCCAAGCCGTAGGCGACTCCTGATGAAAGTCTGCGAGTCCAAACAAACTGTTTTTGGACGTGTTGCGTACACTATTTTTTCGGCAACCATGTAGAAGAACAAATCAATGAGACACATTTCCATATTATATTTCTTTGTAGAAAACAATTTCTTCTTTATCAATTCTCATTTGTATCAAATACTGAAATTTGAACAGAATACCTATACCCACTAACTGTTACATTGGGGACCCCGCACTAAACTATAGGGAAAATGGCTCTCGATGAAAATCGCTGAATTTTTGGTATGTTGCAGACTTTAATATACTGAACAGATATTCCAATGAACTAACCACAAAAAATGGACAGTTTTTCTGATAATGTCATATTTTCAAGAAAACAAAAGTATCTGGAAATGGTTGAATTTTTGGCATGTTGTAGATAGGAATGAACTGATGAAAAAATCCAATTGATATAATCTCCAAAAATTGACAGTTTTTTCGACATTGAACTCCAAATCTAATTTTAATAGATGGAAATAAAATAGATATATGGCATAAACATGAATACTATACATTTCATTACATCCTCTCAACAGCAACTTTGTCTATTGATTATTGTTCTATTCATCTTAAGTTTCCATACGTACATTTGGAGGTCCATATCGAAAAACTGTCAATTTTTTGAGGTTAGGTCAATTGGAATTTTTCATCAGTTCATTCATATCCAGAACATACCAGAAATTCAGCCATTTTCAGAGATTTTTTCTTGAATAAATAACATTTGGAGGTCAATATCGAGAAAAATGTCAATTTTTGGAAGTTATGTTAATTGGATTACTTCATCAGTTCATTCCTATCTACACCATGCTAAAAATTCAACCATTTTCAGATACTTTTGTTTTCTTGAAAATATGACATTATCAGAAAAACTGTCCATTTTTTGTGGTTAGTTCATTGGAATATCTGTTCAGTATATTAAAGTCTGCAACATACCAAAAATTCAGCGATTTTCATCGAGAGCCATTTTCCCTATAGTTTAGTGCGGGGTCCTTTCGTGTGGACATTATCAAACTCACTATCGCAGCTGCTTTCGATAGTTCATTGCGATAATTGCAACCAAACTTTCAAAAATCAAAATGTCAACTAATTTCATATCAAATAGCTGTCAACCGATATTTCGCTGCAATGGTGATTATCATATCATCTGCTTTTATCAAAACCATATCTACCAAGATTTCCATAGTTACAGTGACAACAACAATGTGATACTTCCCGGCCTAGGCCGAAAAAATGCTACTTTCTCAAAAAAAAGGCGTCCGGAAAGTGAGCACTTCCCGGACGGTTGCCGAAAAAAGTTGTTAATTTCACCTTGTTTTCCGCCTATCTTTGATACGCATTTATAACTATTCACCCTACTGTTTCATCATTGGACAATTTATACAGGGTGTCCCAAAATTGCTGGAACACAGAGCTACCACGTGTAATACAGGTCAAAATAAGTTGATTGGACCCCATTCATTTATATATCAAAATGTACCGTTTGTCCGTGCGACGAGTTCAAAATTTACATAGAAATAGTCATTCATTATACAAGGGTTTTTTGTCTCCCTCCGCCACTACGCGTCGGGAGACAACACAACCTGGAGCTAAAATCTAATATTTTCCCGTGTATGATAGACTAATTTCTTCTGTGACAGGAGAATTAAAATCAGAAAATTATCGACTAGAAATTTGAAGTTTTCAACAGGGATGGCACTTGTGTTGCAGGCATCTTTATGATTCTTTTGAAATTATCAAATATGTCAGTATAATTGAGACGTTTGAATATTGTAACATTCAAAAAAAAAATTAAAATTTGGTTTTTGGATAATGCAAAAGAAATTGATAATCTCTTCAAATAATTTTTTTTTTTTTTTTTTTTTGTTTGTGTGCTTTGTATATATTGAATTTATAATCAATATTTAATCTAAATATTTTTAAGAACTTGAAAATTTTTTACAAAAAGTTTATAATAATTATCTAATTCACACACAGGTCAATAACCTATGTGAAGTAGATAAAATTTAGAATTTTTATAATATTAGAATATGTATGTCTTTGTAAATGTATTCATATGAGAATAAATAAATAAATAAATAAATAAATAAATAAATTCTGTGATTTGATTTTTAAAAATTGCGAATTTAGTGATTGTTTAGTAATTTACGTAACCGCGAAGTCTAATGGAAGATAAAAGGACTTGCTTTTTACATTTATATGCTGAGAACGTGAGCAGATTCGTTCCCGAAACGTCCAAAGCTAAGTGAAAATTCGATATTTTTTCAATATTTCTTCTCTTCAAACTTTTTTCCAAACAAAGTGTCACTGACAAGCTAATGGATTTTTGTTTTAGGCTTCCTGATAGAAAAATTTGTTAAATACAGTGACATTTTGAGGCAAATCATCTGATTTGTCCTACTATAATATTACACATTTGAAATGATACTCATATTTTCATTTTGTAGAAACGAGGAGGAAGAATGCCAAGTAATCAAGTAAAATGAAAATATGATAATTTTGCGATTTTTCCATATTTAGCAAACGATTACATCAGCTAATGACGGCCACTCTACCATTTAATTATCAGAGATATATGCCTCTTTTATGTCAAACAACAAAATAAATATGAAAGGACTCACTTTCACCATATGTAAATAAGATAACTATTTTTTTCCTTAAAAGTCATATCACACAACTAGTTTCAACCATTAAAGTGGAAAAAAAGATTGAATAAGGAAGAACATCATTTAAAATAATGGCGGGTGTAACATCATTTGAAAGCAATTTGTAAGTTCGTGTTCTTGCACATCTGTTGACATTTGACATCACGTATTCGTAGGCTTGTCTTTGATAATTGAAAAAAATGGCCGTCAGCAGAGAAAAAAAATCATATTTCTTGTTAATTTTCCTACATAAAATGTGTAAAAAAGTACATCATGTGTCAATGACAAAATAAAAAGAGCAAGTATGAAGAAACGCATTTGATATTTGAATTTAGGAAAGGATTACTCACTGGGCCTTCCATTAGAGCTTCTGGCACCCAGTCTTTCCAATATGATCGCCCCCCTCGGATTCTCATGTACTCAGTCGGCCATATAACGTCTATTCTTCTGCCTAAATTAATAGCATCGTACACCAAGTTTGGATCGACGATCTACGAATGAAAATCAAAATGATCATTTTATTTTGCACTGCAGCTAACTAATATTGGCGGATTCTTGAAATTTCCCACTTTTCCTCTTAGGAAATGATGAGTGATAATTTTTCATCACGCCAATTTCTTCTATCGTTATCATTACCGCGATTACAATAAAATTAAAACTGAAAACCATCTGAAAGTAGTGATTCAAGTGAGTAATCGACATACTGAATATTTTCTGAAAACAAAATAATGGCACACAATCGGCAATAGTACAAGTAATACAGGCAATTAAAAAAGCACTCGATACCGGAGATTATGTGATTGCAATTTTTATTGATATCAAAAAGGCTTTTGATACAGTTCACCACATAACACTTTTGGAAAATTTAGAATCATTGGGAGACATGATAAGGTACCTTTTAGATTCATATCTTCACAATAGGTGTTCCCCGAGGCATATAACCTCCAGAAATTCAAGAAGAACACCAATTTCTACCTTATTTCCCTTGGTTCTCACGATGTTTTCTGAACATTACAGGATATCTTTTTTCGTGGGAAGCAGAACATAAAAATAATAAAAAATAGGACAATCAGTACCAAATCTATCAACTCAGAGTCTCATAGACTATCGATGAGTAAAGGGGTTCCTCAAGGATCTGCTCTAGGACCAATCTTATATTTATTATATTTATATTCAAAATAGCACCGAAATTGAAACAGAAAGTAATTATACTATTCATGCAGACATTAGGTACAGTACTTTTATATGAAAATAAAATCCTATTATTATAGAAAATATAATTAACAGGAACTTGATGAAATTTGAGAAATTGCTGCATTCAAACCCTTTATCAATAAATTCTAATAAGACTGAATACATAATTTTTCAACAAAAACATAAACAAAATATAAATCTCAATCTCATAATTAAAAATGAATCTTTGGAACAAACTAATGAGAAAAAATATCTCGGCATTTGGTTTGATGATAAAATAAAGTGGGACAAACATATGAAAGTATCGACAAAAAGTATCCTACAATTGGAGTCCTATGTCCCAAGCTCGATAAAGAAGTTGCGAATATAATTCTTTATTCTCACTCAGTCGCATTAACTATTTGATAAATGTTTGGGGATACTGTTCCAAGAACAATTTTAATATCTGCATTATATAAAAATACTTCAAGAGTACTGCATCATTAACCATATTATGATACATCAACAAATCAATTATATAAAATAACAAGAGCCATTCTCATTAGCAGAAATGTGCAAAATTGAAAGTATGAAAGTTTCATACAATATCATAAATCAAAGATTGAAAAATCCTGTGTTATATTATCAAGAAACAATGAACAATCATGATCTCCAAACTAGACAGCACGATTTATTTCATCTTGATGTTGCTACCTAATTCCACAAAAAAAAATTCACCACGCTGCTTCATTTGAATATAATAAATTATCAGATAATATAAAAATTGTAGAAATACAATAAAATTCAAATGAGACCTTAAAAAAGTCATCTTTTATGAACGAAATAGATGATTTTTTTCTTCAACATTTGTTTCCTATTCAAATTGATTTTTTTCCCCAACGTTGGTTTCCTATTTGAATCGATTTTCGTTCACCAATATGAAATGATTGGCAAAAATTTGATATTTGATGTATCCAAATATTATATTATGTATGAGTTTGTCATAATACGATGGTCTTTTTTTTTCGAAAATATTTTTTGGTACATACGTATTTTTGTCTGAAAAACACGAATTTGATAATGAAAATGTGAACAAACCATTATTTATTAAGATATTTCACTATAAAGTTACAAATTTCACCCTTTTTCGCCTGTCTTCTGGATCGCATTTAGAACAATTTGCCCTTCTTTTTCCATCATTGGACAATTTATATATCACACAATGTTGGACACATTTTTTTATCATATGAGTCAACTAGAAATATGATTTTTTTGTGATTTTTCCATGTTTAGTGAAATGAAGGAAGAATATAATTTGAAATAATGGCGTGTGTAATGTCATTCCAAAGCAATCTATTGACATTTGACATCTCGTATTTGGATTGCCTATGGATTGAATGGCCAGCATCTGGTATGCTTGCTCACTGAATAGGAAGAACTCGCCATAAAAACCATATTTCCTGTTGAATTTTCTATCTTAAAATGTGTCATTGAAGTACATCATGAGTATATAAAGTGTCCAATGACAAAATAAAAAGAGCAAGTACCTGTAAATGCATCCAACACAAGGGGGAAAAGAAGGAAAAATTTCGAACTTTGTCTTGAAATATCTCGATAAATAGTGGTTTGTTCACATTTTCATCATCAAATATTCGTGTTTTTCACACAAAAATACGTAAGTACCAAAAAAAATTTTCGAAAAAAAAACCATCGCATGATAAGTGCAAAATTACCTAAGGTATTATTGTTGACTATACTTCCTTATACTAGAACGTGTTTCCAACTGGAAATCACATTTTCAATAAATAAATAAATAAATTTATAAATTATTGAATAATCCAACTTCATACTGGTTCATATGCATACTGCAACACTCTGTTAAATTTGAGTTCATCATCACTCACCCGAATCCTAGTGGTGACGTATTCCTTCTCCCCCACCCCGTTAACATCCCCCAGTCGCTCATCCGCCCTCGCCTGGGCATCGGGCGTTTGTGAGATGGCCCTGTCGTCCTTCTCCTTGAAAAGCCCTGCCAGACTGGCCAGAGTGGAACTGGTCGGTTTGCCCATAGACACCTGAAAAAATCATGTTGGTATGAGTAACGATCAATGAACAATGTCACCCTTCGAGTCGTCCATAGAATGTTCGCATGTATCCCAATTTGGGCAATTTTGCAGGGTATCTCCCTTATCATTTTAAAAATTGTTCTATCCGTCATTTGGTTGCCCCCTTACGAGCAACCCTCAGAAGTCTTCGAAAGTCTTGTGCGAGCAAGGAATGACGGGGGCCTTACCTTTTAACGTGTGATCCCAAACACTTGTTTGAGTAAAGATAGATCATTGCGGTTTTCGCGACAGTGTGCTACTTTTTTATGAAATTAATAATGGCGCAAGCAGAATTGTGATAGCTCTACCAATTGTCGAGATACAGGGTGGAATTGAAAAATATCACTTTTCAGGCACCCCCCGTGATATTTCTCGATTCCACCTTGTATCTCGACAACGGGAAGAGCTATCACAATTATGCTTGCGCCATTATTAATTTCATAAAAAAGTCGCGAAAACCGCAATGCTCTATATTTACTGAATAGAATAGAATAGAATAGAATTTGATAAGGGAGATACCTCGAAAAAGTGCCCAAATTGGGATACCCTGTACAACAGTGTACAACAGTGTTTTGACCTTGATTATTCACACTAACAAGATGAACCATCCTTATGAAAGCAATGCAGACAGAAATTCTATTTAGTAGGTGGCCGTATCTAGGAGCGACAAGAGGCCTTTTCGGAAACCAAAGCTGTGTCAAGTCTGTGGTCTGACTGGGCACATACGTTCAGTATGACCAATCATTCATTATTTAAAATCACCGCAAATATATTTTTTTCGATAATTAAATTCTGAGACTTCGAAAAACGTAAGGTTCGATGACGTCATGAACCGAATTCTGGCTTTCCCATAAAAAGTAAGACCATATAGTTCGACGCTGCCAGATTTGTGACTGGTGATTACCTTATGAGATTCAATATGACCAATGACAATAGAATTCATATTCTCAGATGACAATAATTCAACCTGGTCCCTAATAATTACTTATTGAATACTTATATACTTGCAAGATTCTTCAGTACCAATAAAAATATTCTATCATTCCTAATAATGATTCAGATTTTATTTAATCCCAAATTATTTTGTGGCACAGTGTAATGTTCCCAGAAATACAAAAAAGAAGAGGAAGACAAATTACATTGTCCACCTAACTTCCTGACGTTAATTCGCGATAGAAATAAAGCGTACGCCACCTATCGGAGTTCTTGAAAGCTGTCAAAGCCACATGTTTACTTTGTTTTCATTGGTTTACATTTGTTTTTTTGGTTGTGCTTATTGACCATATCATCAAAACAAACCGCTCAGAAGTGTTCAAGTTGCTGCCGACAGGTGGGACGACGTGTTATTTTCTATCGCGTATATCGGCTGTCACCTTCATCGTCAAATCCTTGTTTCATCTAGTAAATACGAAAAGAAAACATGTCATGTTTTCGATTATCAACACAGATTTTCCACCCAATCAAAATTTTATATTGTTTGACGAGTGACGGAAGTAAAATTTTTGAAGCGAGAGACCAGTTTAGGTGCTTCAAACAGCGTGAAACACTATACATTTTATACAACGCCGTTGATATCATAATATTTTTTCTGTGACGGGAGAAAAGTTTGACAGGCACAGCATACACCCTTACGGAAAACAGTAATTTCACTTGTGTCGGAATGTTTGATGTTTAGGTTTATTTTTTGCCAGACCAGTGCGCATACCACCACGCACAGACTTGCGCGTTTCGGGCTTGGTCGAGCCAATGGCAAGCCAATGACGACTCGCTCGTCATCACTGAGGAATGCTGTGGAGTCCCTGAATTTTATGTGAACAGGTCCATCTTCAAATAAATAAATCAACTGTACCACTCCTGAAAACATTGAAATCTAGATTCAAACATCAGGTTTTATACCAGTGTTTATACTATTATAATAAATAAATAATGTTGATGTATAACAAACAGATCATATATGTCTGTGGATACACTTTTTCTTACCTTGGCTCATCTTCTGGAAATCTGAAAAAACTTAAACTGCAATCGGTCCCACTATTTTTGCTACAAATAAACCAGTAGGCAGCCATTATCTCCTAATGATAAACAGCTCGACCAGAAGCTGTGAGACATCAGTGACCTCACATATAAAGTTTATGAAGCACAGAAATTATACCAGCAATCAGGAATAAGTGGTTCACAAATCAATACTAGACACAATAAAAAAACCGTGGTACTCGTGGTTCCTATCACAGAATGGATCATAAAGGCATATAAATCATAGAAGTGTAAACAACACCTGCCCTGCTAGCTGAGCTACTGCGCATACTAGCCACGAGTGAACATGCGCATTGCGATTTTTGAGACACGAAAAGTGCTGACAGAAATAACTGTTTTCCGTAAGGGTGTCACACAGTTACAGGTAACAAAATGTCAATTATTGAACTTTAGTCACTAGAAACGACATTTAACGTTACGACAAATTCTCTCACTTGAAACGAAAATCACGTTTTTACCATTACAAAATGACGTCTTTTCGTAAAGGATTGTAGAAATATGTGTATTTTGTATTGAGTGGAATAATCATCATTATTCATGAACAGTTCTTGATTTGATGATAATCAATAATGAATAAAATCCCAAATGATGCGGACTTTCACGTGACACTGTAAAGTATTTTATTTCAAGTTTCTGAGGTTATATTATTACCAGACTGCCCCTGTTGCCGCCCAACGACGTCCTGCTGAGGCTCGAGCCTCTCCCGATGCTGCCGCCCAAGTGGGAGCCGTCAGTCGATTGGCTGCCCGCGTGATGGACCAAGGTAGAGATGGGCGTCATCGCGTAAATGCCTTCGTGACCCATACATATCTCCTCTCTGTTCGCCGAGCCGCTGGAGCAGCCTTCGCCACATCTCTTTCGAATCCTATAACAATAAATTGGGTTTCAAGAACTTAGGATGATACTGATTCGAAGAGGAATGTGTGGAAATATCTGCAATTCCAGTTATGATTCACAGATTTCTGAGATGGCGCATTAGGATTGCTCCGACCGAGGAAAGTCTTCGTGAGTTGATAGGAAACGATAGGAATTGCTTGCAACGAGCTGGAAAGTTTTATTTTCATGGCAAAATAATCCAGAATCAAGGGAGTGAAAAAATCGCGAGAGCTTGCTCACCAAAACAAATAAACAACAAACCAACAACTATCTTGAAATTACACAATCAAATCAAAATTGTAATTTGCCTGAGGTGACATTTGAAAACTTCAACTTGAAATTGTCCATGTTCATAAATAGTCGATTAAAAGAAATGAAAACTTGATGTGCCATTGACCGGCAGACAAATTTTGGGTCAATGAACATAGGTTTTCATTATGAACGACAATGGGTTAACATTCGAAAATTCCATCGACTCTTCCCAACTTATATTTAAAATGAAATATCATTTTGCCGTTTTAGACAGTGATTGAGTGAGTGATAATAAAAACGGTTCTTTCAAAAGTTATAGAAAAAATTATGAATCATCGTCTTCTTGATTTCCTGGAAAATAACAATTTGCTATACAGTGGTCAGTATGGATTCCGTAGATCGAAAGACACTGAAGTAGCCGTTATGGATGTTATTTCAGATATCCAATTACGAATAGATAAAAATGATCAATGCGGTTTATTGTCATTAGATCTATGCAAAGCTTTCGATACTGTCAACCATAACATTTTATTAAATAAATTATTTGCAATTGGTGTCAGAGGAAGAATTCATGATTGGTTCAAAAATTATCTATCAAATAGAAAACAATATGTTGAATTGAGTAGTACTTGTAGCTCCTTAATGAACATCTCATGCGGTGTACCGCAAGGGTCAGTCTTGGGACCAGTTTTATTTTTGATCTACATAAATTCAATATCAAACTTGGAATTGAGAGGAAAACTTAAATTATTTGCAGATGACACGACATTGATTTATTTCTCTAAAGATTCAAATAATATTATCATGGACATGAAAAGTGATTTAGAGAAAATATCCTCTTGGTTACAAGTTCATGAACTATCTCTCAATTATAACAAATCCTCATATATGTACATAGCAAAAAGAACATTGAACATTTCAAATAGAACACTATCCTTCAACAATAAACTCATCAAATATACAGATGTTACAAAATTTTTAGGTCTTTATATTGATGAAAGACTATTGTGGAATAAACATATAGATCATTTGAGGAACAAACTTAATCCTATTACAGGCATTTTATTCAAAATACGAAATTTCATTCCTACCAGATACTTGAAGAGTATTTATTTCTCTCTTATTTACTCAAAATTTCAATACCTAATATCTATATGGGGAAGTACCAATATTTCACGTTTGAGTCCACTAATGAAATTACAAAATAAAACATTGAAGTGTATTTTCAATTTAAATTTTCTCGAACCAACCATGAATTTATACAAACCTAGAGATTTATTAGATCTGACATCGCTATATAAACTTAAAATTTGTTGTTTTATTCAATTTGTCCTATATAAATTGAAAATTTCGAATTTAAATTTCAATGAAATCAATTCATTACATAATCATGGAACAAGACAATCAAATTTACTAATAGCAAATACGTTCAAGTCAAATATCGGCAAACAATCAATTTTTCACACAGGAATCGTTCTATACAACTCATTACCAAGTCATTTGAGGAATATACAGGAAGCAACTAGATTCAAAATTAACTTAAAAAAATATCTGCTTCAGAGACTTTGATAATTCCATTTCTTATTTGAATACCTACTTATAAAAGACTAGGTTGATATTGCATGATTATTTGCATTTTTTTTTTTTTTAACTTGTTATATCTTATTATAATTTCATAATTGTATGTATAACATTATGTATAATGTTTATGTATCCCTATTATAAACAACTATGTTTCTTCTGGTAATAAAGACAATCAATCAATCAATCAATCAAAATTGTTGTCATTTTAGTTTTCAATTCAATTCAAATTCATTTGGTAGGGGAGACGAGGGGAATAATAGATTAACTCCCTAATAGTGGATAAGGGACTGGCATATATCAAAAACCATTAGGTCAGAAAAAGTAGTATCCCGTATGTTAATTGTAGTTGATGTATGAATTAGAAAATCAGGACCAATTGATAGCATATCCCAACAGGGTAATCTCTAATTGAATTTTCTTTTTTTAATTATTCTTTGTCTATTATTTCGCTCATGAGGGTAAATGTAAACGTACTGAATAGTTTGTTCATTATTCATGGTAAATTTCTTCATGTCAATTGTGGACATATACAAATAGTCCACTATTGAGCGCCGTCTGATTCATTTTAATATCTTCTTGAGTGTGAATTCAACTTCTAATTTGGACATAACATCTTTACGATTTTATTCAATTGAGAGAATAACATTGAATGTACAAAATTCATTATAGGAGCTTTTGAAACTGTATTTGTCAGAAAATTAAGTGAAAAAAAAAGAACAATAATTCAAAAACATCAAAGAAAAATAAGAAACTATTCATTGTTGAAACTTCTGGTCTTCACCTTAGTGTATTCTTCTGAAGGTTTATATTCCTCTCACAATATTTAATATTTCAGCACCTACATGTATCTTGTACATTTTCAACGTTCATAAATTTACCTAAAGTTGACTCCGAATCATTGATCATTGATCATTGATTCAGTCACGTCTCTCAGCAAGTTTTTACGCCGAACTGCTGCTATGGCATTCTCATTGCCTCATGTTAATATCTAACAGGCTTATTGATATTTTTTTGAATATTTGGAGCATTTTTCTGAAATATATACTATGTTCTCTGTTATAATCAGCATTGTCCACTTTTGCACATATAATTCAAGTACTAATGTCCACTATTCCCAACAACAATATATTTTCAGAGGGTAATAATGGAATTAGCCCTATGTAAAACTGGCTTGTGATTTGAATTTTATTATTCCCTAGAAACATAACCTCACTGTGTGTTTACAAGTTTCTATAATAAGGTTTAGAGTAAATGATATAATTCAGGTTTGAGAAAAATATATGCAAGGAAATAGGGCATTTTGAATGTCAAGTTCAGATGTAGACGTAATTTGAAACAGAAATATTTTGTAAGATATCAGCACTTGCGGTTTTATCGCATGTAGCACGAGATTCACAACATACTAAAGTACTGTCGCCAACGGGACCGATGCATGACGCGGTAAATTTGAATTTTTCACCTAGTTTTTCCACATTTATTCCCCCCATGTCCCCTATTGGAATACAAAATATTCATTTACCTTCGGAAGAGACTCAGTACATTATTCCTGATCTTCTTGAAGCTGACCGATCCGCCCACCAAGCTGCAAAGCTGCTCGTTGGTCTCCGCGTAACTGGTCGTCAGAGGCGACACGTAGATGGGATAGCCGATGGGCTGATCGCAGGACGAATTGATGATGTTCCTGAGCGCCTGTTTGGCGTTCTGGATGCTGCCCCTTTCGGGATTGCGGTTGCGCAAGTAGACCAGCTCCTGCTGTTGGCCCGCCCACAAGCCTCGAACGCACTCTTTGTTGATTTTGATGACGCGGAAGCTGAGGAAACGCTTGTTCAGCATTATGATTTTGTATTCTTCTTTGCCCTCGTCCAAAACGTGCCTGAGGAAAACGATCACGAACGATATTATTTTTGAAAGCACACATGAGCTTCGGATAGATAGTCATGTTATCGCGATCTCATGGCATAGTTCTATGCGAAGTTAGGATTACGCGATCACGCCATATACTCAAGGTTGGTTGAATTGATGATTCAACCATCTGAGGCGATTCATATTACAGTGGAGTGAAGGCAATAGGATAGGGCGAGATTCATACAGTCTACTCCCCCAAAACTATACTTTATTTTAAGCAAACTTACGGGGACATGTTTCGAAGCTTTAAAGCTTCATCATCAGCGTTTTTGTTACATAAAAGTACTAAAGTGAGAGAAAAACAAAGAACAATGTCAGACCAACCCCTATCGTTGTTGAGGGGTTTGTCTAACATTGTTCTTTGTTTTTTTCTCACTTTAGTGCTCCTATGCAACAAAAACGCTGATGATGAAGCTTTAAAGCTTCGAAACATGTCCCCGTAAAATTGCTTACGATAAAGTATAGTTTTGGTGGAGTAGACTGTATGAATTTCGTCCTGTCCGAATTGATGATTATTTGTAGAGGAAGATTGCCTCGATCAGCTAAACCCGGTGAGTTGAAGTGGTAATTCATGACGTAATCCCATCGAAAATTCCATTTCTGAGTCATGGAAATCTTTATTCTAAAACTGTCTTCAAGTATGTTCACCTATCCAGCTGTCATCTAGAATTATTCCGGCTCTTCAACAATGATTTGACTGGATTTAAATTTTTTCACTGATGAAGCCTGGTTCCACTTATCAGGGTCAGTCAAAATTACCATACTTGGGCTACAGAAAATCCTCATGATTTCAGAAGGTCAAATCTACATCCTCTGAAGATTGGAGCTTAGATTGCAATTTCTAGAAGAAAATAGGGCACTTTTTTTTTTCAGGACACAGTGAGAGAATTCCTTGAGCATGTTGATGATGATGAACCTCAGTTTGGATATTTCCAACAGGATGGAGCTACAGCTCACACAGCAAGAGGAACTATTTAGATCCTCGAACATTATTATAAGCCCACAGGTTTGATCACCAAGATCTCCTGATCTTACCCCACTAGATTTTTTGTTATTCCGACATTCCAAAAACAGTATTTTTTAGAATCCATTACATCATCCCAATGAATGAACCAAGACGCCATCAGACGAGAAATTCAATTCAATTCAGACATGTGTTTGATAATCTAAGGAGAAAAGTGACAAAATAATGCAGGACATTTTCAACATATCTTGTAAACATTCTCTCTGGATGTCAATTCATCAACTGGTATCATTTTTTGATATATTCAATTGACGCTTCCTGAAATTCAATGACTATTCTGAAATACAATTGATGCTTTCTGTAATACAAGTGACTATTATGATTTTTCAGGTTTTGCCCATTTGAGCACTATTTTTGCCGATTTGCGCACAATTTTTGCCAGGCCAAGCATTCGTGCTCAATAAGGCAAAGTGACTAGTTTTTATAGAAAACAGCCCCTGACAGTTTTCGACCAGTTGGATAAATGGGTTTTCATGTTGTGTCAATCTGAGTGCTAATTTGGCCAAGCCTAGCACTTGTTTTTAACAAGAATGCCAACGTATTACAGGGAACAGCATTAACTGTCATTCGACCTATTGAACGAGCTTTTATCATGAAATACAATTCACGCTTTCTGAAATTGAATTGACGTTTTCCTTAAATACAACTGGAGAAGGTGTAGATCGACCTCCTTTCAATGTTTCGACATTTTCATGCAGTCATTACACTTCATTCCCACCTCAAACACCAGACTCACCCTGTGTACCACCTACCTTAGAGCGAGCAAGCTGGCCGTACCGCTGAGCACCCCCCTCCTCCACGCCGGATCCCCCTCGTGCGAAATCACCAACTCCTCCTCGTGCTTGCAAATCGCCTCGTAGAGGGCCGACAGCTCCTCGTACTCGTCGGGCGACATGAAATGGTCCTGGTGCAGCTTCAGCGACATCCTGACGCCGGGCGCCACCACGGTGCGCAACAGGTCCATGTCGGTGAACACCCACTCGTCTCGGGCGCACGATATGCGGAAGTCGCCCTTGAAGAGGGCGTGCAAGCCGTAAAGAAAAAACTCGACGCCGGACACGGTGTTGTGGGAGACGGCGCCCAACGTTCTTCTACCTGTTGAACGAGGAATGTTTCACGTTTTGCCGATATGAGCACTATTTTTGCCATTTTGAGCAATCATTTTGCCGATTTGAGCACTAATTTTGCCTACTCAAGCATTCGTGCTCAAATACTAAGTGACGAATTTTTATAGATAACTGCACCTGACAGTCCTCCACTAGTTGGATAAATGGTTTGTCAATCTGAGCACTAGTTTGGCCAAGCAAAGCACTTGTTTTGCCGATTTGAGCACTATTTTTGCCGATTTGAGCACTATTTTTGCCAGGCCAAGCATTCGTGCTCAATAAGGCAAAGTGGCTATTCTTATAGAAAACAGCCCCTGACAGTCTTCGAACAGTTGGATAGATCGTTTTTCACGTTGTCAATCTGAGTGCTAGTTTGGCCAAGCCTAACGTTTTTAACAGGAATGCCAAGCGAAGCGTTCATCCTCAACGAGGGTGTAATGAGAACCCGAATTGCCAATCCAAGCACTGATTTGCCTAGAGGAAATTAGAATGGAAGTATGGTTAGCGCAATTCGAAGTTTAACAAACGTCACATTTACCTAAGAGACTCAGGGCGAAGCAGAACAGAATCAGATCGGAGTTGATTCCCGTATCGATGTTCTTGTCGGATCTTTCGATACAATACGATATCCAATCGCCGTGAATTTGCACGAACATATTCTTGGTCATCCCGCTGTTCGACATGTCGTAATCCTCGTCGATGTTGTAGTTGAAGACCGGATCTAAATCTACGAAATTCCGGTGCTCCATCGGCTGTAGGGCCTTCAATATCGTCCGATTAGCCAACCATTCTTCCAGTTTCGGTGATCGAATCAGATAAAAGATGATACTCTACGGAATTGAACGTAGTGAGAGGAAAATCAATGGATCGAACATTCTTTCTTTTACCTTGACGTAGTAGGAAACCAAAATTTTCCGGAACTCGAATACCTGCAGCATAGATACGGCGCTGTTGTCTGATATGCTGTAACCTTCGAGGATGTATTTGGCAGCTGTCACTTCCCAGGCAAGCCAACGTTGACTGAAAGCCGCGTTGATACTCAGCATGTTGGGAATGTGGCCGGTATCACAACAGCAACAACCTGAGACATTTCCGTTGATTGAGATGCTGAAGATTCTGTTCGGCTCATATGATTTTCCCAACTCAAAGGTTGAACTTGGCTGAAGGCAATTAAAAATAAACAGAGAACGAGACAGAGAACTACAAAATATGTGAGTTCAATATCTTCATACTTTAATGTCTGCGTTTCCAAAATATCTGAAATCATAATGAGAAATGTTGAAGGAACCAATTCAAGTATTCACCGATTTGTTTTTTTAAGGAAATTACGTATACCTCACTACTCACTACTGACCAAATTTATAATTATTTCCGAAAAAAGTTATATCAATTCACATAAGAGATGTTCTGTAACCGCATCTGAGAGAAGAGGCAGAGGGAGAAGATTTTCAGTCATGTGACCTCTGGAGCAAACAGATAAATAATTTTACCGATTTGGATCAAAATGTTTTTAATTTTCTATTATGGGCCCGCCTTTTTCTGTGTAAACTATACTAGCTTCGTTCATATCTGGCTTTAATATTTTATTAGTTCATCTATGACTAATACAAACTGTGCTGCTTATACTGAACAAATTAATTCCTGCCTTGGCTGAATTCTTAGCCTCGCAAAGCTCGGCTATGAACTATCAGCCTCGGCGGTCAATCTACTACTTTGATGCCTAGTAAAACAAATAACTATTTTTTAATGACACTTAACAGGCATAAGAAGTGTACTTTTACTGCATAGAATGAAATAGATTGTTGCTATGCAACGTTTCAATTAGTAATTTGAATGAAATTGGTACAAAATGGTGGATTATTTGGCCTAGTTAAACAAATAACTTACTCCCAGTTGAAATTTGATTTTGAAAATGAAAAAAAATACTCAGACATTCTTGATCCCATCCCAAGTTTAGACCTTCTTCCCCAATTTCAAAATTTTAGGAGCACAGGTCTTCTAGGTCTCCAAGTTGGTAGAACAAAAATCGACTAGAACACACTAACAAGACCAAAACTCACCCTCGTTCTCCTCAACCCCTTCGGTGATCGCCTCGACCTCCCTCTGCTGACAATAAGTACCCCTGAACTCCAACCCCCTCATCTGAAACGTCACCAAATCGTTGCCCATCTCGATGATGTGGACGAGACAATTCAAGTAGTCAGAGGCGAGGACAAAACAGTCCCCCTGATTGACGAGCCCCCATCTACCCATTTTCAAGTCACCGCATAGCGAACGCTGCAACGACCTAGAGATGAATTACAGACTTATAGGCACTGACGAACCATTTCACGAATAATTAATGGAAATTATGGATAATGATGACTATCTTTCAAAACTACGAACCCTATTTGTGGCAACACCGCGATTACGAGAAGTGCCGAAGTTGCCTAATAGACCAATTTACGCAGAATGTGGCCCAAGTTATAACTAATTCGGCATATCAATTTGAATATTCTTTCATTGGCGACACTGACACAATGTCATGCAGAAAATTTGAAAATAAAATGTTATTCTCACAGTAAACGTCAAATTGAACAATTAAAATTGATATCTGGTTTTGACTAAGTACTTAAAAACCATCGATGGATTATAAATATCAGGTTGCTACTGGACGAAATTTAACATATGATTTTCAAACAAGTTCTTTACTGGCAACCATTGAAGTGTCCTTAACATATTATATGCTACTGGAGTCAATCTTGTGCACTGCATATGATTATTTACATATTTATTTATTTATTTATTTATTATACATCCAGCAGGCCCTAGAGCCCAATTACAGGTGTACATAATTACAAACTAAGTGATTAAAACAGAAAAGTTATACAAAATATCAGTTCGGAACTGAGTTAAGAATAACACGTTTGAACTGTGCAAATGATAAAAAGAAAATATCGACAGTAGAGATATTGTTCATTGATGTTATAGGCGAGTGGAAATTGTGTATTGTGTTAGGTACAGGTAAGTAAAATGTATTACAAGCACGTGAAGAAGCTCGAGGAACATTGAACATCATTTGTGATAGGATAGTAGAGGAATCTATTTGATTGTGTATAATTTTATGAATGATATTTCACGATGTTTTATAAGTGATATTTGAACTCAGTAAGGAGTAGGTCATAGTTATAGCCTCTAACAGGATAATTACCATGCTTTTTATAAAATGCAAATTTCAAAAATTGCCTCTGAACATTCTCATTAGCTGAAATATATTTACCATAAGACGGATTCCAAACAACACTACAAGAATCAAGCTTATTTCTGACTAACGTTAGATATATGCTTTTCAGAGAATTTAATGATTTGAAGTCTTTACAGTTTCGTATCAGAAAACCTACATTTTTCATTGAAGCTGAAATTATATGACCGATGTGACTCCTAAGTCTTTCGATTCAGTGACTCGCACTAGAATATTGTCATCAAGCTTATAGTTAAATGTGACTGGTCGAGTGAAAGTCATAACTTTAAAATTATTAATTTTCAACTGAAGTTTGTTCTGGAAGCACCAATGACTTTGGGAATTCAAGTCTTCCTGCAATGCAATGCTATCCATTCATTTTTAATTTCTCTGTAAATCTTCATATCATCAGCAAATAAAAGTTTTTGGGATAGAAAATCAGAAAAAGTAAAGGGCCAAGCCAAAGCTTACATACAGCACGATTCTCATGAGAAGGATTGCGAATGGGAATGGAAATGGGTTTGAATGCACAACAAAACGTGTACAATGGCAAGAAGCAGATTGAGTTATGGAAGAGCAAAACGCACCTTACTTGTTTCATTGGGATTGATAAACGATGGGATAATGGGCGTGTACACCTTAGTAGAACTTTTAACTCAAACCATGTTTATAATGATCTTTTTATACATAAATAATGATTGACGACATAATTCGATCGAAAAATCAACTAGAATGTTTTATTTTTGTACATAAATAATAGTACCTTCTGAAAACGGACCCTCTTATGACGTAGAAACCTCATCTCGCCATAGTTAAAAGAAAATACCAAACGCCCGACGGAGACTGAGGCAACTGATATATTAATTCTTTCAACTGTGATCTCGCGCTAATTCACTCTGTCAGAAATATCATTCATCTCTCTCTGGAATAATCTTGTTTCAGTATTAGGGTTTTGACGTCACATCATCGCCTCGTTTTCAGAGGTCCGAAAAATCGGAGATTTCAATAATTTTTTAACGGTTTGCGGTGGTGAGCTAGTTTGGGTGAGTTCTATCGAACTATGAAATAATTTTTTTTGGTGATATTACCTGGTGAGGTGTTCGTAGAACAGCGAATTGAGATTGTTGTCGTCCGCCCCCAAATTCCTGTCCAGATGCGACGACAGCGGCGTGTTGGAATGATCCACCCGTCTCGTGTTGTAGTCCCGCTCCCAGAACTTGACGGGCCGCACGTACGACGTGACGAAGATGGCGCTGCCGAGAAAGGGGTTGAGCGGCGTGGACAGCACGGCCGACACCGACGCCTGCAGGAACAGCATGGCGGAGTGTGGTACGGAGAAGGGCTGCGCGAACGCGTGGAAGGCGGAGCCCCACGTGATCTGCCACGGGGCTATGTACGTCACGACGAATTGGATCTGGAAGATTTTTTTGTTGCTTTGAGTGTTTGCTAACGATGAATAGTGTTTGAAACAACGATAATCACGAATGAACGACATACATTAGAGAAACAATACGACTTACTGACGAAAATGGTTTGAAACAAAAAACAATAAACAGCAATGGAAACCAGTGGCGCTTCCTTAGAGGAGGCAACGGAGGCTGAGCCTACTCAAGAATCTCTATACATCGAATAGTTCGATATACTTGTATCAAAACAGACTCTTGGAAATGCAAAATGAAACTTTTTGATAGCCTAGTAGTGAGCATCATGTTCAGTTGTGTTGCCGTCTGGGGTCTTAGATACGCTGAAATGTTGGAGCGCGTTCAAATGGTTTTTCTTAAAAGAATTTTACTTTTGCCTATTACTTCACCTGACCATGTTGCGTGATTGAACATGGCTTCATTATGCTTCGGATTGAAGTGTGATCCCTTCTCAACACAAAAGTTTTTGATTCACGTCAATATCTTATTATTAACAGAATATACGAGTCTTTTAAGGAAGTATGGTGTTTTTCAACTTTTTTCACCAATAATCAGAACTTACATTAACTTATTGATTAACAACTTCAAGGATTAATATCACATATTTCTACCTTACTTTCTCAGCACTTACCGGAAAATCAATTACAGAAAACAAACAAGAAGCAGACCTGTAGTCAATAACGAGTATGCTCCACTCGATATTGAATAATAGCATTAAACCGCAGTGACATCGAATTGATCAAATTACTCAAGTAGCCTTGAAGAATTGCATAAAATCCTCCTTGAAGGGCGAATCGTAGCTCTTGAAGAGTATCTGACAAGGCTGGGCGAAGGCGAATGAGCCTCTAGAGGTCACCCCTAAGATAGGTAGATAGGTTCTGAATTATTGTTGATAATTAAAAAAAATTATACTTTCTTGAAACACTTGTATCTTCTCTCAAAAAGGAGATATTCACGTTATTCAAGAACCGTTGAAAGAAGAAGGAACAAAAGAGAATCACACTTCAATTTAAAACATGATGAAGCAGAATGTTGGAGAATGGTTCTAGATTATTAAAAATAAAAATTTTAAAAATCCATACTCTCTTGAAACACTCGAATCTTCCTTTAAAAGTTGCACAAATTCAAAATCAAAGTCAAGAAACATATCCTCTTGCAAAGAGAAAATCAAACCTGAGTGAATGATTTCTCATTAACTAATTTATTTCATCATGTCATAATGTACTTCTCATGAGCTTTTTGTTTTATTTTTTTTTTCATATTCTGTTGTTTATTTCAATAACTATAATTTAATTTGATAACGCATGAATAATCTCATACCAGATATGAATCTGTCTGATTATTCATGTTATTCCATTGTTAATGTTAATGATTATATTTATATTTATATGAGATGCAATGTAATGTTTATAGCAAATATTGACATAAATAAAATCATGTAGAAAATAGATCACTCTTCAATCTGAAACATAATGAAGCCAAGTTAAATCACTATCTATTCACATTCTATTCACTCACCTTTTCCACAGGGCGTTAAGAAGTTAAGGGTGAAAGAGTAACTTTCGATTTTCCCTGTATAATGATCGAGTCATCAGATTTTCTTATGAACTAATATTCAGAGCAAACAATTTGGCTAAATTATTTGGTGGCCGGTTTTTTTTGCCAGTGAGTGTATAAAGAATATCAATTCTCTGGCATGACTCCGCAGAGTTATCCCCACCATTCGCGATTTCATTATCCGTGTTTGGCGTTCAGCATAGTTAGCGTATACTGTTTAATGATTAATGAATAAATCGCAGTGTCCGAACACCTCACTAACCTTCAACAACAGCTCGTTCACCTTCTGATAGACAATACTCATGATGAAGTACCCGACGAGGAAGCACTCCATGCCTGCCCGGCAGTCGTACTTGAAGCACAGCGCGGTGAAGGTGAGCACCAGGTACTGGACGCTCTGGTCCGAGTAGGCGCTCCTGAGGCACTTGAAGCCGCACACGGCCGCGAAAAGGCCGCCCAGCAGCGGGCCGTATTTGTCGGCCAGGTGTGGCGAGTCTTCGGTGAGGACGGAGAGGAAGAGCAGCGGGTAGAAGACGTTGCGTTCCATGAAGCAGAAGTACACGTACAACTGAAAGAAAACAATGGTTCGGAATGGGCTAATGGACTGGTAGTCCTAACTAGATTCCCTTGATGCAAACTGACGTATTTGTCATCTTAACAGGGTACAGACAGATCCTCGTCTCCTCTCACTCTAAAGTGTTTGTGAAACAGTTATATACTTCCATCCTTATTCAATTCTGGGGATAAACACTAGATTTTTGACATTTGTTGTTTTTTAGGTTATATTGAGGTCATTGGCGTATCATACGTAATTTCCACATAGAATTCCTGATTCAACTATACCAAGATATAGATGAACAATCCTCTAGTTTTAGAGTTTACTGCTTCAGCATAATCTTTGCGAGGTAGGGAACATATAAATTGTACTGAAAGCTCAATATATTTCACCAAAAGAGACTGTTCTTAGACTGTATACCAGGGTTGACTGAATTGACTGAATGAATTCTGATTTCAAGCTGAGCAGTATTTTATCTATGAGCTGAATGAGCTAAGCCTTATGATTGAGAAATGGTGAAAACCTCGATGCGGGTATCTCAACTACTGTACTCATTATTCATGTCATGTGTGCTGAATATATTTTCGGAAATCCAACTCGGAGAAGAATTTGTATAAAACTTCGTCTAGGACGAAAAGTAGGCTGATAAAAAGTGATACGTAAAATGTGCAGGAAAATAAAGAATAGAATATACTTCACCCCCATGTTATATATATGATTTTTGGTCGATTAAGTTCTCGAAATGCAAAACAAGTGCGACATCTATGTTTATTTAGTTGAACCAATATAAAGTATTTCTTGCCGTAAGTGGTCATGTATCTAATTTCATTGTTTTCGCCCCATTATTGAATTTTGGGACAACAAATTGAGTTGAGTGACATTCTTTAATGCACATTGTTTCAAAATGAGTGAATTGAAACAGGTGGCAGAAGTCAGGAAATTCAATACTAGGCGTATTTGCTCAGTGTCCCACAGACAATTTCTCTGCATTGTTTTCCAATTGAAATAAAGATTTATGCAAGAACTGGAAATTTTCATTTGAAATGGGAAAATTCATTACAAGTCATTTTTCCTCGAAGCTAACCAGACAAACCAGGTTATCTTTATGATGACGTCACGGTAACTTTATTAATATGACCTCACGGTTTACTTTTGATGCTTGACAGATGTCAGATCACCTGTTTTAGTTTATTGTTTGGTTTTAGTAGTAATACTAATACAGGGTGATCCACGGTGGATGACCTATTAGAAGTATCTGGAGAACGAAAAGACAGAACATTCTGAAAATTGGGATGCTTTGATAATTGAACATTCTCTATCCGTATAAAATATTTTCATCGAAACAGTGTTGCCACTTCTATCAGAAACAACTAGCAACTTTGTTATTTCAAATGGAACATCCTATTTTTAGATTCTTCCTGAAGAGCTGATTTCATCAATGTATCACACTTGGGGACTAGCAGGAATTATTACAAAGATATATCATATTATATTTTAGGATTTTTTTGTGTCGAAACTAATCATTATCGATCAAAACGGCTTACATGTCCCTATCTTAACTTTTGATTCACTATCTACTGGAATTTAATTGGAACATATACAGGGTGCTTCAATATTCAGAATTCTGATCTCCCTGTATCTGTTCCAATTAAATGTCAGTAGATAGTGTAGTTATCCTTTTCGAACCTTCCCGTCCTTCTGATGAGGGTCAGGATGTCCGTCCACTCTAATTCGACCAAATCTTCCTGTTGTAGTTTATCTACTCCAAAGATTTGGAATCTCATCCTTCCATACGCCTCACACTCTCCAAGGAAGTGAAGTGATGTCTCCTCATCTTCTCCTACACGAAACCAGAGTCACTATGGATGATTGAAAGAAAAAGAAGCTATGATCTGTCCGTACCTAGGGTCCCTTGATGGAAATTGACGTTAAAGTCATCTTAACAGGGTACGGACAGATCATAGCTGCATTCTTTTTTAATGATCTAGAGACTTTAGTTTTGTCTACTGGTATCCCTGACATTGCTGTCATGTCACATCCATGGGCGCTACTGAAAATCATTCTAAATTTCAATAATAGGTATGTACAGGGTATTTACTTGTTGAGGAATATCATATGGCGAACGAATTCAAAATTGGAAGGTATCTGGGGTTTTCCGGGGTTTGGGATAATGATTGTTTCGTCATATATGCAAAATTCAAGATTACGGATCCAATATATACCGAAAGAAATTTCTAATTATGATCTAATTCCATTTAAGATTGGTATCTGGGGGTTCTCGGGGTTGAACTTTGATTTTTTGTCAAAATTGGGAAATTCAAGATAGTGTATCCAATATGGCGAACGAATTTTGTAATTATAATCCGATTCTATTCAAAAATCAAATTTGGCATATTGGGATTTCGTGGGTCGGAGATTATAATTATCTCGTCTTTCGTTACTTTCATCAATAAATTATTCGAAAATGACTTGTTATTCAAGGGAGACGGAAAAATCAGGTAAGGTATATTCTATTCTTTATTTTCCTACACATTTTACTTTTTATCAGCCTACTTTTCGTCCTAAACGAAGTTTTATACATAGTGTGATATTGGTAACTCCATAGATTCTTCTCAGAGTTGGATTTCCGAAAATATATTTAGCACACATGACATGAGTACATTAGTTTAGATACCTACATCGAGGTTTCCACCATTTCTCAATCATAATAAGGCTATCTGCTCATTTCACTCATAGATAAACTACTGCTCAGCTTGAAATCAGAATTCATTCAGTCAATTCAGTCAAACCTGGTATACAGTCTAAGAACAGTCTCTTTTGGTGAAATATATTAAGCTTTCGGTACAATTTATGTTCCCTACCTCGCAAAGATTATGCTGGAGTGGTAAACCCTTAAACTAGAGGATTGTTCATCTATATCTTGGTATAGTTGAATCAGGAATTCCATATGGAAATTACGTATGATACGCCAGTGACCTCAATATAACCTAAAAAACAACGAATGCCAAAAATCTAGTGTTTATCCCCAGAATTGAATAAGGATGGATCTATATAACTGTTTCACAAACACTTTAGAGTGAGAGGAGACGAGGATCTGTCCGTACCCTGTTAAGATGACTTTAACGTCAATTTCCATCAAGGGACCCTATCCGTACCCTGTTAGATGACAAATACGTCAGTTTGCATCAAGGGACCCAACATAATACTGGAAACGGAAACGACTCACCGCCTCGAACCACATGATCCTGGCCGGCCCCCTGACCTGGTACTGCTCGTGCTCCTGCGCGCGCAGGATCGGCCTCGCCACGCACAGCCACGGCAGCTGCTTGCGCATCTGCGGCACGACGTAGTGCAAAGCGAACCCGATGGCCGCCCCGCCCGCCCACAGCACGGGCCCCAGCTCGGGCCTGAGGGCGGTGAACACGGTGCTGGCGTGCACGCCGAACGCCGCCAACGCTATAATAGCAATAATAATAGTAATAAGGTAATAAGCTTTATCGATTCGGAGAGAACATAGACTGATTCTTCCTATGACCAACATAGCGCGAACCCGACCTAATATTGGGAATTATGTCGGTTTATGAAGTTTTTTTTATGTTGTGTTTCCCACGAATTCAGAAATATGATTTGGAATCATTTCGTAGATGTTTGCTCGATTGAGGACCATAAAGTTGAAATATAAATATCTCATACAGTGCTAGTCAAAAGTCCCCTCCCCCCTCGTATCTTTTGAACGGGTATACTTATAATAATGAAATTTGGAGGGTGGAAATAAACGGATGTAGGCTTCTCAACTGGTCATAACAGGTGACGCAATAGTTTATTTCCACCCTCCAAATTTCATTATTATAAGTATACCCGTTCAAAAGATACGAGGGGGGGAGGGGACTTTTGACTAGCACAGTATATTTTACATAACAATGCGCGAAGTAGGTACTTACTCAACATGATTGCAGCTCTTGACATCGTCTCGAGTTGCGTCATGTAACAAACATACAGTAATAACCATGGCTTATTTTTTTTAGGTTCTGGTTCGAAAAGGGATATCCTGTAATGTTCAGAGAACATCGTGAGAACCGAGGGAAATGAGGTAGAAATTTGTATTCTCCTTAAATTTCTGGAGGTTATATGCCTCGGGAACACCTCCCTTGGCAATGTGTTCGAGAGGCTCGCTGTTCGTTGGATGAACGAGTCTTTGGAAAGAGATGTTCTGCAGGTCTCAAAAGGACCACGAAGGAGTGCGAAGCCTCAACTAGACGGGTTAATCTCGCGGGGACTGCCAAGGGAGGAACAATGGTTGATATTTCAGAAGAGCATCGTCCATGAAAATATCTATAAAATAGAGCCAGATCTCCAACTTTTCTACGGTATTCCAGAGATGTGAGTGAGTTTTTGAGCGAGGCATCACCCACGAGACAAATTGCCCTTTTTTGGACAGAATCCAACAGTTTCAGGGTATGTTTGGGTGCTGCACTCCAAATATGGGAACAGTATTCCAAGACAGGTCGAATCTGTGCCTTATAGATCATAAGCAGCTGACTGGAAGTGAAATAGGTCCTGTTTGGGATGCACTTGCACCAATTGATCTCACGTGATTTTCCCAAGAAAGGTTATTGCTGATAGTAATACCAAGCATCGATTGTCTTCAAAGGTATGGTTACTCCTGACAAGTTCATGTTCGGCACAGTGAGATCGGCTTATCTAGAGAAAAGGCATGCTTGTATTTTGTTTGCATTGAAAACTACCAAGTTATTGGATCCCCAATCGAGAATTATTGTTGCCAAGTCCATATTCATGTTGTCAACATTTCTTCCTCGTTCGTTTCTGATTTGCCTGGCTGGTATTGGAGCCCTGGAAGAGACGGCGGTAAGGATAGTAATATCATCCGCGAAGATGTGTACTGGATATGAATTTGCTTCCAACAAATCGTTGATATGGAGTAGAAATAGTGTTGGTGCTAGAATTGATCCTTGCGGAACACCAGCATTTATGATGAGAGAGTCAGATGAAACTCCGTCGACCACTACCTGGAGAGACCTGTTTGAGAGAAAACTAGCTAGCAGAGAACAAAGCTGGGGAGGCAAGCCATAAGATGGAAGTTTGGCGAGGAGTCCGTGGTGCCAGACTCGATCGAATGCCTTGGAGATATCAAGTGCCACGGCTAAGGTTTCACCATATTTTTCAATAGACTGCTACCATATACAGGGTGTTCCTTAAAGACATGCTAAAATTTGAGGGGGTGATTCTTTGCTCATTTTAAGAAGAAAACTTCATATGAACGTATGTCCTAAAAGTCTTAACTTCTGAGATACAGGATGATTAAGTTTTGAAAAATATTCAGGTTTTTGATAATAACAGAGACAATATTGTTTACATCTTCATGAAATTTGGAACACGTCTTCTATGCATCAAGGTGCATTCTCTGATGTACACAAATTTTCATTTTCTCTACCAGTGGCACAGTTACGGGAATATTATTGTTTATATTTTACCTAAAAGTGAGCAACGACAAAATCTCAAAAGTTAGGACATTTACGACATACGTTCATATGACATTTTATTCTTGAAATCGGTCGAAGAATCGGCTCCTTAAATATTAGCATATCATTAAGGAACACCATGTATGTGAGACGTAAGCGAGCAGGTCACCAGTTGATCTCTGATGACGAAAGCCATATTGCCTATCGTTGATAATACCTGAATGTTCCAGGTATTTCATGAGCTTGATGTTGATAGCTTTCTCCCTGATCTTTGAAATAATATATAGCAGTGCGATAGGTCTGAGTTGCTAGGTAGGGTCTTTTTGTCATTTTTAGCCTAACCTAACCTACTCTTGCAATTTTCCTGTTGGACGGGAATATCCCCAATAGACTAATAGACTTTGCTTCGCTATTCATAGTTAGTAACATCGTTGAAAACATCAACGCTGATATACCAATCAGAATTGAAAGACAGCTAGTGTTTTCCCGATAACACAGGTTGTCTCTGGCTTGTGATTGGTCAGATTATATATGAGTGAAATAGTCAATGATATTTTCATTTTCTGAAATATTTGTTGGAGTTCGGAAGGTAGATAGAACACTTGAGCAATTCATCACCATTATTATTAATTACCTATGACGGTGCAAGCGATAGCGTCATGCTTGAGGCGGTCGGTGACGGTCTGGTGGAGGCGGTGTGGCAGCGGGTCGTCCTCTTGGGAGGCGGGGTCGGCAGCGGTCGGAGGCGAGTCGAATTTCACGGATTTGGGAGGGCGGTCGTTGGGCGGTTTCGTCGTCGGGTGGTCCTGGGAACAAATAGCATTTTTTTGTATGAGAATTGGCCTCAGAATATGAGCACAGCTTAGGGATTGAACAGCAGCGTCACTTGTATACCGTGAACATGCGTTCGAGTAAGTGTATTTTTGGTGACCTTGAACAACTGCTTTGCTCGTTGAACAACGTTGAACGGTGGCTAGCGCGTAGCTCTAACAGAGTGACGCTGCTGTTCAAATCCTTATGCTGTGATATGATTTGGTAAGAAAGCACCATGGTTTTTGGTATTCTCTTATTTTTGGAAACTCATTACTTGAGAGAATAAGAGAAAATCACGAAGTTAAATTCCGCTGGCCTAATCTTTCCAATTTTGCATTCTGAGTATGAAATATATAAATGTTTCAAGCAGATTTTGATTCTTGTTCGATAGTTTTTGGACTTATTTTGTGCTTAGAACGTAAATGATTATTTTTTCAAAACATCTACCATCTACCGAATGAACAAACCAGTTTCTTTGAATTCTTCCTAGTGTACTGCTTCTAGTGTACAGTGTGTCTAGTTTTCGATGCTTTTGCGCTATATTTCAGCTATCTTGCCTTACTTTTTTGTGAAAATGAATAATGTCGCAAACAGAATTTCCACAGTTCTTCATGTTTTTGGGCGAAGTTGAAAATTATCACTTTTTGAGCAATTCCAGTATCTTGGTTACTTCTCAACTTTCTACGAATGATACAGTCGCATACTCATTTTATTTCTTGCGCAAAAGCATCCAAAATTGGACACACTGTACACAGTATCCAAGATAAGGATGTCTATCACGGCGATCGTTTTAAATGTTTTCTGACGTTATTCACAGATATATAGGAAAACAAAAGACACTTTCTCATTGCCATTTTTCAAGATCTACAAAACAGCTGTGAGAGATTATCCTGTAACGACGTTTCGTTTCGGAGAAATCATCATCATCTTTAACCCATGATAGAGATCTTTATCTTGGACCCACTGTACATGGTGATTTTTTCGAATGTATTTCATTGCATTTTTGGATTTTCCCTGAAGAGATGATTTCACAAATATATCACATTTGGAGTCTAGCGGGAATGATTACAAAGATATCGGATGTTCAAAATCGAGATTTTCAACTTTGGAATTTTTTGTGTCGAAACTATTTATTATTGGTCAAAGCGGCTCCCATGTCCCCATCTCAACTTGTGATTTACTATCTACTGTATTTTCTGATGTAGTGGAAAAAAATATCGAGAAACATTTCAAATAATTCTTCAAATTTTGAGATCGATCAGAAATAACTCAGTCCAATATTCGAAATTCTGAACTGCCTCAGTAAACATTCCCTTTCGTGCGCTCCAAGCGATAAAAAAAAACAATCATCATAATTAAAATCTTTAGAAAGAATGCATAGTAACTGATTCAGTTCAGTTCTAGTGAAATGTTTCAATCAGTTCACTTTTATTTATTTTTTTAATTAAACCAGGAAGTAGTGGAGAGAGCTACAGTGATCTGGTCGAAACAATTGTAGAATCATTTTGAAAAAAATATATTGTATTGTAGAGAATTACTCAAAAAATGAGAAAGGTGGTTACACTCTTCAAAATTGAGTGACTCAAACTGCTTATATTTCAACAAAAAAAGCATTACATCACTGGATGATTCACTGAAGTATATTATTTCTGATATATACAGTTCAAAATTATTATAACATCCAACAAAATCTGTCTCCAGGAATTTATGACTAATACTATGCCAGCTAATGTATTATTTTTGGTATATTATCAATGTATCAGTAAAGTTAATGATTTTTAAGGTTTTTGTATACTAGCGACCGGTCGACAACCAAAAACTCTAAATGTTTGTTGACATCTCTTCAAAATTTGCCATTTCTTCAGCACCATCAATTGCTTTGTGATTTTCCCCAATAGTAATCTCAATACCAACACTCACCTTTCCGTCCCCCTTCTCCTCTTCGCCCCTCTTCCCCTTCCCCCCCTCCGGCCTCTGCTCCCTGTACACGTCGGGCAGCCACAGGTGTCCCTTCACCACGTTCCACAGGTGCGCGGGATCGCTCGAGCACCTGCTCAAATGGTAGGAGCACGCGACAATGCACGCGCAGAAAATGGAAAACAGCACGTGCTGCGCCCCCCTGCTCTCGCTCAACCCGCCGTACGCCAATCCAGTGAGCACGGTAACGGCCAATAGGGAGCGCAGCACGCAAAAGAGAGAAGCAGAGAGACTGGCGGCCGCGTTGCCTCCGAACAGGTGCATATCGATCTGCTCGAGCAGGTACATGAGAAAGGTGTTGATTTGCGGGAAGAGACCAAGGGAGAAGAGGAACGGGAACACGAGGATGAAGACGAGGAGAAAGTCCCTGGAGATGAGGAGCAGTTGCTGGCGATCGAAGGACAAGGCAGCCAGCTGGTAGCCCCGATCTTCACTAGCGTGCGCGTCCAACACCAGCACCAGCACGGAGAAAATGCAGAAGTAGATCGGCCGCGAATAGGCGATCACCCTGTTGAAGCCGTGAGTGGGACTGGCGGCGTCTGGCTGTACGCTCTTCAACAGGGAGTATTGGCAGCTGGCCATCACGAAGCAGAATATGAAGGCTAGGAGGTCCCGGTAGTGTTGGGCGTAGAGCAGGCTGGCGCCCAACACGCCCACCAGGCTGCCCAGGGCGATGGACAGCAGGGTTTCTCGGAGGGTGAGGTTCCTGTCGAGCAGCGCGAGCAGCTTCAGGCGGTCCAGGCTTACCTTCACGTAGCTCCAGGGGGTCACGCGAAATCTGGGAGAGTGAATGGATTATCAAGCGTTTGACTTGGCTATTAACGAAAATACCGGGTGACACAGGGTATCGGGCCACCCCTGTAACTTCTGCATTCGTAAACGGATTTTTCTGAAATTTGGTACAGTAGGAGAGCCGGCTGCACATTTTTACCGTCATCTGATAATGAAATGATATAAACTACTCAACAATAATTTCGTCGCACACCAAAATGTCGCCCCTGTTATAATGTGAATAACTTTTTTCAGTTTCGAACAATTTGAATTTGGTTCACACTGTTCGATAGCCCAGTCCTGCAGCTATAATCTCGTACTTCATTGAAATATAAGGGTATTCACATAAAATCTCTACATGGCGTTTTCCGACACTGTGCGAAATTTCGCAATATTCAAAAGGCTCTCAAATGGTGAAAACATTTTTTTTTTCAACTTCGACAACAGAGGCATGAAGATGATCTCATTACCTCGAGATATTTCGCGAATCAACTCCCTATCTCTCTTATTTACAGAGTGATCTCAAAAAATCAAATTTTTGGTTTTGCAGCCATAACTTTTTTCCACGTCAACCGATTTTGGAAATCTTAGGCTCATTTTGGATATAAAACTTCAGATGAAGAGATCTGAATATCAGAATTGACTCAAGATAACTATCAAAGATCTAGAGTTTTCTTGAAAGTGACCCAAATCTGGAACGCCCTTCGAATCTTGGTTGGGAGGAGAATTGAATGAAAACCAACTTATTCTCGAAAAAACAATTCATTCTGGATGCGTCCATATTTTCCTCGCTCTCAGTAGTCAAGAATTGTGCGTGAGAAAACACAATTGAAACATGTTCTTGCAAAAACATTAGATAATTTCTCCTCTGTAATGCATGACCTGCCGTAACCAACGTTACAAGAATCACAATGAGTGACTGACAAACCCGACCAGCTGAGGCTCATCATAAATGGTGTACCAACAAGAGCAACGGATTTTGATTTTTTCAAACGCATTTCAAAAATAGTGAAAGGTTCACGAAAACAGTTTGCCATTTACGTAAAGTTTTCAGTCGCAATAATGCGCCGAACGAATCGACAGTAATAACCAAACAATTCGTGTCGGAGATAGCCCTTTGAATTGATCGGACTGTCGTGTTTAGCAGATCAATCAGTTCCAACTGGTCGGGCGTTAGATGCGGCATCGAAACTATCAAAATCTGTTTATGATTCGAAAACGACGTCTAACCTGACTTGTCAGTCACTTACTGTGATTCTTGTAACGTTGGTTACGGGCCATGCATTACAGAGGAGAAATGGTCTGATGTTTTCGCAAGAACATGTTTCAATTGTGTTTTCTCACGCACATTCTTGACTACTGAGAGCGAGGAAAATATGGACGCATCCAGAATGAATTATTTTTCCGAAAACAAGTTGATTTTCATTCAATTCTCCTCCCAACCGAGATTCGGAGGGCGTTCCAGATTTGGGTCACTTTCAAGAAAACTCTAGATCTTTGATAGCCATTTTGAGTCAATTCTGATATTCAGATCTCTCCATCTGAAGTTTTATCTTCAAAATGAGCCTAAGATTTCCAAAATCGGTTGACGTGGAAAAAAGTTATGGCTGCAAAACAAAAAATTTGATTTTTTGAGATCACTCTGTAAATAAAAGAGATAGGAAGTTGATTCGCGAAATATCTCGAGGTAATGGGATCATCTTCATGCCTCTGTTGTCGAAGTTGAGAAAAAAAATTTTTTTCACCATTTGAGAGCCTTTTGAATATTCAGAAATTTTGCACAGTGTCGGAAAACACCATGTAGAGATTTTATGTGAATACCCTTATGTTTCAATGAATTACCAGATTATAGCTGAAGGACTGGGATATCGAACAGTGTGAACCGAATTCAAATTGTTCTGAACTGAAAAAAGTTATTCACATTATAACAGGGACGACATTTTGGTGTGCGACGAAATTAGTGTTGAGTAGTTTATATGTCCCAAAGGCATGTAAAAACATTGTAGTTCACCGAACGGCACCTGTGCCAATAACTATCCTGAGCAGAATGCTTAAGAACTTTCACACGGCAGGAAATGTAGATTTAAAGCCTTGAGTAAATTCATAGCTTCGCAATGCTCGGCTATGAACTATCAGTCACGGCAGTCAATTTACTACTTTCCTGCTTAGTAAAACAAATAACTATTTATCCATGTATGTTCTAGAGAGACATGTAGGTGGCCCATAGGGGTTCCATTTGAAAAAAAATATGTTTTGATCAAAATGAGATGTGACTGAAATGATTCATCAATAAGTGACACAATTTTTTCTGAAAAAACATGATTCTCTAGTATGTGGGACTCATTGTGAATAGCCGTGACCACATCTCATTTATCCACGAGGTAAAATGAGAAAATATTTTAATTTAATTTTTTTTATAGCAGGGAAAATTATGAAAGAGCAACTGAAAAAAAATTTAGATAATCAGATAATCATTTTGAAATCATATACATAGTACATACAGTGTGATCCACTTCTAATGGAACCACCCCTGTATCTTACGTAATCGTTGGGTAAGGATCCTGAAATTTGCTGGAGCGAGAGATATACCAATTCAGCAGAATTTGCTTTGAAACTAATACAACATGTATAACAAAAAGAATCAAAGCTCACAAAAATTCTCAAGCCTGGTATAATAGTGAAATTCAATCTGCTATTAATAACAGGAATTACTACTACAAAAAATGTAAAAGGTTTCCAGAAAGTGCAAACATAAAAAAAATGCATACAGATGCTGAAAAAAGAGTAAAAAGGCTAATAAAAACTGCAAAGAAAAGATATTATGAATCAGTTTGAAAAAGTAGAGGGTGACTCAAAGAAGACTTGGGGTTTGATAAATAATATACTAGGAAACAGTAATAGAAGAAAAGAAGAGATAACAAATATCAAGTTAGAAACTGGTGCCGTAGTGAAGAATCCTGAGGAAATATGCCAGCACTTTAACAATTATTTTGTCTCAATCGGACCAGATATTGCTAAGCAACTTCCAGATGTACCCATAGACAATGAAAATGAAACTAAACAGTGCCAAAGTATGTTCTTTAATCCAACTTCTGAGAAAGAGATAGGAGAGCTCATAGATGCACTTGAGACAGGAAAAGCCCACGGTTTGGATGGAATAGATGTAACTACTGTAAAAAAATGTAGAAAAGCTCTAGTACCAATCCTGTGTAAAATCATTAATCAATCACTCAGCAGTGGAATAGTCCCTGATGAAATTAAAATTGCAAGTGTGCGGCCCCTATATAAAGATGGTGAGAAGGACCAAGTGAACAACTACAGACCAATATCAGTTTTGCCAATCAACCAATCATATCAAAACGATGATGACAAATTACTGCGGGTCCCTTAGATCTACCGCCTTTGTTTGAAAACGAGAAAAGCATTAATCATACATTAATAATTATATGATATATATTTTCTATGTATATTTATTTTGTATGTTTGTTCCTCAATGAAAATATGTGAATTCTAAAATTATTATAATGTATCATCGTAATAACTGTGGCAACGCTGTATTGGCGTGTTTACTAGGAGTGATTCATATTTTTCTGAAAGTCATTCACGTATGTCAACAGCCGAAGTTACAGAGTTGTTGGTTGTTGTGCCGTGTTTATTTTAGGACTTTTTGTGTTTATACAGGGTGTTATTCAAGTAGGTGGTCAAACTGCAAAGGGCGATTTTTTTTTGCTATTTTGAGACGAAAAGTTCATATGACCATAGCTCCGAAAATGCATAATTTTGAAGATTCGTAAATCAGTAATGACTTAATTAGTAACTTACTACTACAAATAAAACCGCAATATTTCAACAAAATTGTATCAGAGATTTTTTTTTAATCTTCTGATAATCTGTATCTTGAAAACGGTGTATTTCCGGACTCATGATTACATGAACTTTTCGGCTTGGAATCACTAGAAAAGTAAACTTTCGAAGTTTGGCCACACACTTAAATAGCACCCTGTATATAAACACAATTATTAATAGTCTATTATGATTCGCCAGTGCGTGGGTTGTGAAAAAGTACACTATTCAAACCCCAAATTGATATTTCCAGGGTAAGTAACATTATATATTTTTTTTTAATTTTAGCAGTGGTGTAGTTATCGCAGGTTACCTAACTAATTTATTGCAAGAAACTTTTTTCCTTCTATTCAAATTCAACTGAATAATGGATCAAAATTAGGTAAGTGCCTAAAGTACTAGGAATATTTGGTATTAAAATTAAAAGATTAGACCCAAACTTTTTCTGATAGTTAAAATAGCGTTGTCATTGTCTTGCCCCTCGCTTAACCTACGCGACTGGTAAAGAAGAGTGTGAACAATGACGCAGAGTTTACAGCGTTGCCATTTTTTAAACCCATATCTTTCTAACTTATTAGAAACTTTGAAAGTATGTATGATTGTAAACAAACAGTATGTTATGAATGGAATGTAATGTTAACCTACTCACCTGTAGTAATTTCTCGTCTTCTTCGGTATACTCTGCGCCTGAATAAACTGGAACTTGGCGTGCTGGAGCAGCCTCGTGAGACCGGTGAGCTCTTCCGGCGCGGCTGGCGGCAGCCGAGCGTGCGGCGCCTTTTGCGCTGACGACGCGTCCAAGATGGTCGACACGGAACTGTTGCAGACGGAGTCGGTGCTGTTGCTGTCCCACGGATCGGCGGCGGGCAGGCGGGACGGTCGGGCAGCGGCAGCGGGGTCGCTGCGGCGGCGGGGCGGGGCGGTCTTTTCGATGGGGGCGGTTGTGATGGACGTGCCGCCCGAGTCGGCAGCCGCGTTGGCGGTGCCTGGAGGAATGCGGTGAGTAGGGGTGGGCGATAACGATTCAATAATAATCGGTCTACTTCAAGACCATTGAAGACCGGGGCGTATCCAAAGAACTGACTTGCTTTTCTCAAGTCAGGCGGGCTCAAATCGGAAACAGAGGGGTTCATCATGGCATGTCAGGATGGGGTTTTTAACACCTTTATTTTTTTCATTAAGTACAGTCGTATTCAATAAAAATGCGTACAAGTATTAAACATAGGAGATTTCGGCATTCTACACCTTTTCCAATAGTAATTCAGAAAGCGTCATATGGAATTCAGACAATATCATTTTTAATTCAGATTAGTTAATTGAAATTCAGAAAATATCAAATGTAATTCAGAATTGTCAATTGATATTCAGAATGCGTCATTTGTAATTCAGATTAATCAACTGAAATTCAGAAAGCGTCAGTTAGAATTCAGAAAGCGTCAATTGGAATTCAGAAAGCGTCATTTATAATTCAGAATGTATCATTTGTTATTCAGAATGGGTCAATTGTAATTCAGACTATGTCATTTGTAATTCAGAATAGTTGATTGAAATTCAGAAAGCATCATTTGTAATTCAGATTAGTCAATTGAATTTTAGAAAATATCAATTGTAATTCAGATTAGTCAATTGAAATTCAGAAAATATCAATTGTGATTCAGAAAACTTCATTTGTAATTCAGAAATATGGAACAGTGTTACGTTTGCATGCATACCTACCTACAATCCATCATTATCACAAGTACCTACCTACTGTGTATGTCCTGGAAACGAATATAATAACTTCAAATAATTATACATCATCCCATAGAATGAACTTCAAAGACAACTGTATGATTTGTTGGAGGAGACTGTGCTCGAGCAGCACAGCATACCACGATTCACCATGCTGCTGCTTTGACTTTAGAAAATATGCCCGTAGGTCGCTGAATGATGGATATTTTTTATTTTCACCTGCAATGTCTCAATTCAATTCCAATATTGTTCGTTTTCATTCATTACTCGCTGATATGTAGTTTTTGTATTATGCATGAGTTTAATAAAAACAAACGTGTGTTGTTGTATCCCAAATAATATAATTACTTGACGATATCTGAATTTCTATTGATGCTTTCTGAATTTCTATTGATGCTTTCTGAATTTCATTTGACAAATCTGAATTACAATTGAAGTTTTCTGAATTTCACTTGACTAATCTGAATTTCAATTTATTTTTTCTGAAATTCAAGTAACTTATCTGAATTACAAATTACGTAGTCTGAATTACAATTGACGCATTCTGAATCACAAATGACGATATCTGAATTTCAATTGATGCATTCTGAATTTCAATTGGAAAATCTGAATTACAACTGATATTTTCTAAATTTCAGTTGACGAATCTGAATTACAATTGATATTTTCTGAATTTCAATTGACTAATCCGAATTACAACTGACTTTTTCTGAATTCCATTTGAGAAATCTGAATTACAATTGACGCTTTCTGAAATACATCTGGAAAAGGTGTAGTTCTCGTTGTGTTTTTGAGAACCTATGATTACTCTACTGTCAACATTTGGTAAACATTAATTCCCGATAGCCCGTTTTACGCAAATAGGATGACGTTAATTTCTCCCTTCAATATACTTGTACGCTTTTTTTTTAATATGACTGTACCTCTTATTCTTATAATTGGGACATAAGAAAGGGAACATTGGAAATTTTATTTGTAGAAAGGAAACTATATTCCAAATAAGAAGATAGTATGTGTTGGTGATTGTATTCCAGGCGATCAATTTACCCAAGAATTTCGGGTTGCTGAGATATGACATGATATTGCGGTCTAGATATTAGTTATGTAAGTGGTGAAACTTGATACGGTGTACAGTTTTCGGAATATTTTGATCTGAAAATGATGTAGGGATAACTGTTGCTGGTATAATGTTATGTATAAAGTACGTATTATGAGAAAGTTATTGATTAGACAATAAATCACAAGAATAACATTGAAATAAATTTGATCGTATCTTAATTCACGTCAAGAGCAATACAAAATTGAACATCACCTGAATGACCTCTCAGCCAATCATCAGCGGTTATTTTCAAGAATTACAAATAGAATTGTGTATTCGTGAAAACCCAACTTATTTTGCAGTGTTCTACCTACCATAGAAAGAGGACCACCTTTTTTTGAAAACCCCTTTATGAGTTAATTATTTTAAAAAGTCAGGCACACATGACAGCTTAGAAAAAGTTAGGAATAGTGATGAGGTAAGATTGAGTAACAGTTGAGAACAATGTTGATCAGTAGTAGATTTGTAATATGATTACTGATTTCATACTTTCCTTGGACTTACCAACACTTTTTTCGTCAAACGTATAAGTGACCCAATTTCCTTGTTCGTCCAGGAAACAATGTACTGCACCGTCACTAGTATCATTGAAATTTTTGGCACTGTGTGTACCATAACCTGCAGACAGTGAAGTGGCTATGGCAGTCTCCTTTCTAGCCATCTGAACAGACCTAAAAAAATTATTCTGAAATGTTTAATTGAAAAACATGATTCAATGAGGAAATCAACGAGCACACACGACAAGTGAATATTCTCAACAAATTATGACTTCAGGGACGAATCAAATTTTGTTCTGGAAAAGGTATGAAATTTTGAATTTTCCTAATATTTGTCTGAGGGGATCAAGATTCCAAACAAAATTGGAATTACGAAATTTCTTCAACACCATCCGTGATAATAATAGAAATTATGTTTTCAAAAGCGTATCACTTTCACTATCAGGTGCGTACCTTTTATTTATCAGAGGAGTTCCAGATTTCAAAAAAATTTCAGAATTTGGAAATTTAAACAACATCCGATAATAAAAATAAGAATCAAGATTTCAGGGGTTTATAATTTTCTTCTTCTAAAAAAATAATGGAATCTCAAGTTTCTCAAAATAGTTAGACTCCAGCGGCGTACCTATCATTCATCTGAGGGGGTCAGAATTCTAAGAAAAAATCTCGAAAATACCATAATAATGGTATCGGGGTGTTTTCAAAGTTTTCATTGAATCACCCTGTATATAAAATATATCTATGAAGAATATCATTTCATCAATTTATCCGTGTTTGGCGCATACTTTTCAATGATTTATGGATGAATCACGGAGTCTATCCATCGCTATTCAATAACTGTGAAGACCATCAATTTTCTGACAATGATTCCGCAGAGTTATTCCCACCATTCGCGATTTCATTCGTTTATTCGTGTTTGGCGTTTAGGACTGTTAGCGAATACTTTTCAGTAATTTATGAATGCATCGCGGTGTCTATCCATCGCTATTTAGTCTGAGCTCACCTCCTCCTGTTGACCCTAGTGGCCCGCTTCAATCTGGACCTATTAGAGGGCTATCTGTCGGCCCTGAGAATCTCCACATTCATAGAAACCTCGATTTATTGGATATATAAAAAATAACTGAGAAGAATATCGATTTTCTGACAATGATTCCGCAGAGTAATCATCACCATTCGCGATTTGGTGTTTAGGATTGTTAGCGAATATATTTCAGTGATTTATGAATCTACAGAATAGTTTTGAGCAAAGACAAAAGTCAAAAGTGCATAGCACGAAAGACAAGTCGCTTGAAATTGTAGAACTCCGCAGATGCTGACACTGGCATGCCCTCTGCGTCTTTGGCAAAATGAACAAACATTGTTCTTTGCGATTGGAAACTACTTCTTGAACCAACTAATAGCTATTTATATATCAAGGGAGCAAAGGTATCCATTTCCTCCCGCGTGTGAAGTTTGACACACATGGAAGGAAATGAACGTTTGCTCCCAAGATATATATATATGATTTTATCCACGAACACATATATTTGAGAGCGTCGTTCTTAAAATTGTGCTTCAAGCGGTCTATCTCTCGAGTCTCGATCCAAACCAATATGTTAAATTGATCAAAGATTTTACATGATCTAAGGTTACAGAACGAAAATCAATTTGAAATTGACACTTCTGTCACATTGATTTAGTTTATTGTGATGTAATTAATGCATTTTATTTAAAGTTTTGATTGAGTGTTATATGAGGAAGTGTATGAGAAAATTAAATTGTTATTTGTTTTATAGTAGTGATGGACACAATTTATTTTATCTCCCACGGGAGGTGATATTTTTTTCCTCCCGTGGGAGTAAATTGACAGGTTTGTGTCCTCAAATGAGGGAGCCAAAGCTTACTTTCTATGCAGTGAGTAGATAAATTAAATGAATAATCAAATCAGCTCGGCGAAGAGAAGAAGCCTGAGAGCTATTCAATAACTGTGAAGAACAACAATTTTCTGACAATGATTCCGCAGTTATCCCCACCATTCACGATTTCATTCGTTTATCAGTGTTGGCATTTGGGACTGTTAGCGAATACTTTTCAGTAATTTATGAATGCATCGCGGCGTCTATCCATCGCTATTCAGTCTGAGCTCACCTCCTCCTGTTGACCCTGGTGGTCCGCTTCAACCGCGACCTGTTCGTGGGCTGCCTCTCGGCCCTGAGCATCTCCTGAGTGGCCGCCATGCTGGAGACCAGCGCCAGCGGGTAGTCGCCGTGCCTGGCGCTCAGGAAGGCCGAGAGCAAGGGCGCGGGGGGCAGCAGGGTGCTCAGCTCGTTGTTCGAGCCGCTGGAGGAGGCCTCCTCGGGTTTCGGGGGGCAGCGGTGCTCCTGCTTGCTGCCAGCTGAACCTTCGGAATGACGAACATATGCCTTTGGTTGTATGTTAGTTTTTGAAGATGAAGAACTTTTTTATCCACCGATAGGGATAAAAGAACTAAGTGTTCGGACTTTATTATTGGTTTTATTTCTATTCCAGCTTCTTAAGAAAGCCCGAGGTTGTAAATCTCTGTCATTATATGCTGAAGCAATTGTACCTACAGTCCGGTAGAGGGCGTAACAACCAACACCAAGTAGAAAAATGGGTTTTTATAAAATTTTGTCTAATGAAAGTATATCGATGATATCATTTTCATATTTACTGACCATTTCCTTACATTTTTTGTCTAAAACGTTTTGTTCTATCTATCAAAATAAAGCGGTGGGGGAAGTTCAATTGTTTAAAAAAAAACAAGATTTCTCCTGTTTATTTCGACCGATTTTAGCACAAAACGTTTCAGACAAAAAATGTACTTACTTTCTAGTACTTCTTAAACATTTTCTACCATTTCAGAATATTCCTCAAGTACTTGAGCACATTCTATAATATTCGACAGCATTCCTGATAGAACTCTCGCGAATATTACTGAACATCCTTCTGATTTATAACAAAAACATTCCTGGAATTCTTAGAACATTCCAGAAGTAAAAAGTTCCTGAAATGCATTAAGGATCATAATTATACATTTTCAACAGCAATTTCAAAATTTCTAGAACATTCTCAACCATTTCTGAGATCTCTAGGGCATAAGAGATCATTATAAAACATTCTCAACATTTTCGAAGATTTTTGTACTTGAGAGCATCCAACATTGAAGATGATTCTAGAACAGTCCTAAAAATATTTGCGAACATTTTCGTATGATTCGGAGCCATCAGAGAACATTATTGAATTCTTTATAACACAAGTGATCATTCTAGAACATTTTTGAACCATTTGCAAACATTTATGAACGTTTGATTCAATCAAGAGCTTTCAATTTTGTACAAAAATACTAGTCTAATCACGATAAGGTGAACTGATTTCAAGAAAAATCATGTGCCCTGAATCACTAACCTCGTTTAGTAGCTCCTATTCTTGCCAGAGGGATAGCCGGAGGCGAATAAACTACACATTCTAGCCCGTCTACGAGAGTAGGACTTTCGGATTGTCTCACAGTCCCAACTGTCTGTGTTACTTTGTTTTCTTTTTGAGAAACCCCTATTCTTCTCGTTTTCGACCTGTACCAAAACTCAGCTAATCAGCAAGATTTCATTCAAAGCATTTCTCTTATTTACAGGTTACTTGAGAATTTTGCTTAGTTAGTTAGGGTCTATGTGTCATTAATAAGAAAGCACACAACAAAGAGAGAAAAACTCATGCTCATGTTGAAAACGGGAGCAGAACCGGTCCCGAAACGTCCAAAGATAAGTGAAAATTTGATATTTTTTCTATATACCTTTATTTCCCTTCTCCAAAAATTTTTTCAATACAAATTGTCACTGACAAGCTAGTGAATTTTTCTTTTAGGCTCTCTGATAGGAAAATTCTTTAAACGCAGTGACATTTTGGGGCAAATCATCTGATTTGTCCTTACTACAAGTATATTGAAATAATATTCATATTTTTATTTTATAGAAACGAGGAGAGAAAATCCCAAAAAATTTGGAATAATGAATGAAAATTAATATCGATGGGTTTTTGAGGTTAAGGAACACGAACTTTCAGTTAGAATTCGAATTATTGCCTCCAAGATTTGACTGAAAACTTGTATAGAAAAGATTATTGCATTGAGAAATAGGAATTTCCAGTCAGAATTTGGAAATTGAAGATGGCACCTTAATTTTGTTATTGTTCGTCCGATTCGATTGAGAATGAATATCTGGTTCTTCTTCTTCTTCTACCATGCTGTGGCCTTCGTATTCACATAGCAGCCATAATCAATTCTTTATTTCCATGATCTACAAAGAGAGCATTCTTCTCTGGTTTCCCATGATATCACTCTTCTGGGCAGTTTATCATGTAATCAAATTATCACTGGAATACCGATCCCAAGGACGCAGCTAGTTTTCTAACCGGGAGCCGAGTCCATCATTAATCAGAACATAGGTTCGATCGTCTGCAGTATCTTTATCCGACAAATCTGTTGTCATCCGGCCTGGGTACCAGCGTAAAAATGAAGGAGCACGATTGTCTTTCTGTATATATGGCTAGCGTAGCCTCGTAGTTGAAGCGTCAGTATTCTATCCACGTTGGATTGCCCGAGGTGGGTTCGATTTCCACCACGACCGCAGACATTTTTCTGATGGCCTAAGAAAGTGTTTGGGATCACACTTTATCGGTCGCCTTTGTGTACAGCGTGGACATAAAACCGGAGAGTTCCGAACTTATTTTATGAACATTTATCTGAAGGCAACTTCCCCGTTTACGTAAAATTTTTTCGTACAAAAATGAACGACTTCCGAGTTTGTTGGAACAATTAATATTTTTATCTCTTTGTTACATTCATTCCATTTCGAGAAATTGGCTTTTTGTATTTCAGAAATGTTTCTTAACCTACCTACAAACACTGCATTTCTCCGATTCGCTCTTGGGTGGTTTCTTGACACTGGAGGAGGATGGTTGTTCTGTTAGGGGAGCCCGAGTCTTCTTGGGGATGGCCCCCAAGCTGCGGGTGGCAGCTGGGACGGTTTCTTGCAACACTTTGCTGACGTCATGCTCGAGGGATACTGTCGTTGCGCTAGACCATTCCGTGTCCCTTTTCAAAGGCTCTATGAAATGCGAACCAATAACAATCGAGTAAAATTAAACATTCACTTTGAAAATTCAGTTTGAAATTAATTTTCATCTTGATCCTCTGCCGATAAAAAAGTAGTATGTAGTAGTAAACCTGTCAATGAAAAACATGTAGTCATCAAGAGAAGATTAGGCTATAGTCAAGTTTCATTTGTAAATTGCTGTTACTGCTGCTACCCAAAGCATTCTGAAATTTGAACGAAAACGGAGTTTTGGTTCAATGTTTGACTGTCTCTATTATCCCAAGAAACTAAAGAGTTTATAATGAATATGAATAAGTATGCGGTGTGCAACCACCCTCGTATTTTCGGTAGAATCCTTGTAGAATGAGATTCAATTTTTGCAGAACGTAGCTATCAGATAATCTAAGAATTAAGGTTCGATTCATCATTTTCTGTAACTGAATTTACTCGACAAAAATCAAAAAGAAAGGTTATTGCTGATATTAATACCAAGCATCGAAATGGATGTCTTCAAAGGTATGGTTACTCCTGAAAAGCTTATGTTGGGCACAGTGAGATCGGCTTTTCTAGAGAAAAGGCATGATTGTGTTTAGTTTGCATTAAATTCTACCAAGTTATTGGATCCCCATTCGAGAATTGTTGCCAAGTCCATATTTATAATACTGGATTTTCGACTTTTCTAGTACTCTAAATATTTGTTCATGAGTTTTTTTACCTTTTCTATGTTTCAACCTGTGACCTTCATCTTCAAACAGCCAATCCAAATCCAGTTCTACAAGACTGGAGAAATTTCCTTGCCTCCTGCATTCTGTTTCCTTTTTACTCTTGTCCACTTTCCCTTTCCTTCTGTTCTTTTTTATATTTCTCTTTCTCAGAAGCATTGCCCCACCTAAAATCAAGGAACTGTCAACAGGCAGGATTTTTTTTTTGAGTATTGAGCGATAAGCTTGAGAAATTCGTCAAAAAAATGCAAATGTCTCTGTGAATGTCCGAGGGATATTCAGCGGAAAATAATTTGAACTTGTCGAAGTCGTCATAGTGATTGATATTTGCACTGAATGCAGAGTTGCATTGATACAAATTTTCTTCATGAACTTACATTCTCCACTCGTATCTTCTTCTTCTTCACCCCTCACCTCCCGCCTTTTGCTTCCCTCCCCCTCCCCCTCTCTTTTGTCCTCGCTAGCCTCGACGCTCGTACTACTCCTCAACGACAAATTCCTCTCGCTGACGTCATCGTCGGTGCTGTAAATCCCAAAAATTCTCACAACCAGGACATTTACCATGAAAGAATTTTTAGACCGACAAACTGAGTTTTGATGAAAAAAGAAGGGAAATTTGTTCTAAATGCCATCCAGAAGACAGGTGAAAAAGAAGGTGAAATTTGGAACTTTTTAGTCAAATATCTTCATGATAAATGCAGTTTTACCTTTTTAAGTAGAGTGTTTGTAGTTCATGTTAATATGATAGTTGCAATTTGATCATTGGAATGAATTCTGCATTCATTGCCACGAGGCAAATGACCGTTTTCAGAAAGAAATTTGAGAATGATAATTAAAAATGCCCGTTTATTATGAACATTCAAGAAAATTTCATCGAATTCAGAGATGATTTTGTTGACTATAATATACGAATACAAAACTAACTGCACAATCAAAGCTTTTCTATTTTTCCTCTACTTATACTTTTTATGAGAGAGTAATTGTCTTCTATTATTAATTCATCATTATAAATTAAGCTCTGTATACTACTGAACTTAGATGGAGTAAAATCCTCGCGGTGAATTGCATATACCCACATTTTCGATACCTCCTCGTCCAACGGGAAACTAAAAGCATGAACTTTTGAACCACCCACATAATTCCCCCGACAAAAGGGAACACAACACTTGAAAGGCATTGTTATTTCGCCGATCACAACACAAAATATTTCACAAAACAGTAATTTTTCCGCCAATTATTTTGATGAATAAACAACAAAAGAATTCGGGACCGTTTCAAAAACATACGTGAATCACCGATGAATTAACAGGAACTGACGCGTTAGTCGACAAGCGATAAAATAAAACACTGGCCTCTCTTGGTGACGTCACGAGCTGTTTACGTCAGAGTCTGCTGGCCTTGTTGTATCGGTGGTAACGGTCACACCGCGTCATACACTGGGTAATTCATCTTGTCACTTGGTCTTGTCACCATTTGTCATTGTATTTGTCACTCAATAAAAACTATAATAGTGATATCCTTTCGTTCTGAACGTACTGACGCATTTCACTTGAACTGAACTGAATCAGTTGACATGCAATGAACGTCATCTGAAAGAACGCATATTAACTGATTCAGTTCAAGTGAAATATTTTGAGTTAATTCAGATTGGAAGAATATCACTAATATGACACTGATAGATCAATGAGAATGAAATGAAATAATGAACTATATGAACTAGATTTCGAGGTTAATGTTTTTCTTCTTCTATAGTTTGTTTAGTAGCCATTTTTCTCTCAAGTCACAGATCACCCAACCACTCTGTGCTCGAGTTCTGTGGTTTTGTGCAACGCATCCTCTTTGGGTCGTCAGAGGGAGCCTCAAGAAAATACAAGTGACGTCACACCGCGAAAAATGGTCGTTTGGAACTCTCCCAATTTGTACGACTTTTGAAGTATAAATTAAACGGTTGTAAAGGAATCAATAGATGAGAGGAAGTGCTATTTGATATACTGAGTCATGTATGAGACCGTTCGTATTTTCAATCATAGTGATATCCTTTCGTTCTGAACGTACTGACGCATTTCACTTGAACTGAACTGAATCAGTTGACATGCAATGAACCTCATCTGAATGAACGCATATTAACTGATTCAGTTCAAGTGAAATATTTTGAGTTAATTCAGATTGGAAGAATATCACTAATATGACACTGATAGATCAATGAGAATGAAATGAAATAATGAACTATATGAACTAGATTTCGAGGTTAATGTTTTTCTTCTTCTATAGTTTGTTTAGTAGCCATTTTTCTCTCAAGTCACAGATCACCCAACCACTCTGTGCTCGAGTTCTGTGGTTTTGTGCAACGCATCCTCTTTGGGTCGTCAGAGGGAGCCTCAAGAAAATACAAGTGACGTCACAACGCGAAAAATGGTCGTTTGGAACTCTCCCAATTTGTAGGACTTTTGAAGTATAAATTAAACGGTTGTAAAGCAATCAATAGATGAGAGGAAGTGCTATTTGATATACTGAGTCATGTATGAGACCGTTCGCCATATAAAAAGGGCTATTTTCAATCATAATGAAATTGCCTATTGCAGAATCGTGTGCCGCTCCTGCAGTCACTTCAAAGGAATCTTCAAACACGCCGACGCCGCACAGTGCGGGATATACTGCAATTGATATTGGATATACTATACCACACAGCAAATAGTAGTAAAAGGATGAAATTGGAAGGCTGTACGCTACTCTACAGTGTGTCCCACTTACCATGCTCACCATGGGTATCTTTTTAACGGTGAGAGATACGAGGTCGGTTAAATGACACCAAATGTGGAGTTTGTCAAGGCCAACTATAATGTGAAAAAATATTTTGATATAATCTATTCGTTTTTGTTTTATACGCAAAAAACATATTATGATCATTTTCATGTCTCCTCTGTAACTTCTTTATTTATGAAAATATTCAAATAGGAATTTCACATTCTCATGGCAGTTTTTCAAAGTGATTTCGAAAAAAATATGAAATTTATACCAACTCTTCTAGAATTTGAGATATCAGCACCAACTTTAGTTTTTCAAATTTAGGTCATAGCTCACTATGACTTAGTTAAAAATAACTTTTTTTTCTCTTACAGATGATATGTCGCAGTAATAGTTTTGTGTTGATAACAACGGAGTTATCGTCATTTATACATAAACAATAAATTATTTGGAAGGCGCCATCTTGAATTTATAAATTTAAACCAAAAATTCATGATCTCCGACCTCAAAAACCCCCACTTACCAATTTTGAATGGAATCGGACCAAATCTTGTCCGCCATCTTGGAGCAGCCATTTTTTTAAATTTCAACAAAAATTCCATAACTCCGATTAACTTGAAATTTGGCAGGTGTTCATAATTCCGGTGACAATACATTATGGAATTTTTGTTGAAATTAAAAAAAAAAATGGCTGCTCCAAGATGGCGGACAAGATTTGGTCCGATTCCATTCAAAATTGGTAAGTGGGGGTTTTTGAGGTCGGAGATCATGATTCTTTTGTTAAAATTCATAAATTCAAGATGGCGGCTTCCAAATAATTTTTTGTTTTTGTATAAATGACGATAACTCCGTTGTTATCAACACAAAACTATTACTGTGACATATCTGTAAGAGAAAAAAAAGTTATTTGTAACTAAGTCATAGTGAGCTATGACCTACATTTGAAAAACTAAAGTTGATGCTGATATCTCAAATTCTAGAAGAGTTGGTATAAATTTCAAATTTTTTTCGAAATCACCTTGAAAAACTGCCATAGGAATGTGAAATTCCTATTTGAATATTTTCATAAATAAAGAAGTTACGGAGGAGACATGAAAATGATTAAAATCTGTTTTTTGCGTATAAAACAAAAACGAATAGATTTTATCAAAATATTTTTTCACATTATAGTTGGCCTTGACAAACTCCACATTTGGTGTCATTTAACCGACCTCGATCTCTCACCATTAAAAAGATACCCATGGTGAGCATGGTAAGTGGGACACACTGTATATCAGTTTCGCTACAAATTCGTCCGAGAAAAAAGTGCAATTCTCGCCTGTAAATGTCGCCCCTGGCGTCTTGCATGTCTGGCGTGGCGCTCGAGTTGGAATTCTCGTCGGCGTCGTCGAGCAGGTGGTCCTTGGAGGTGGCCAGGGGCTGGTCCGTGGGAGGGGCGCTTCTGTCGAGAGGGCGGCCTTTCGGGTCGGGGCCCCCCGGGGGGTAAGGCACGGCTGTCCGCTTGCTCGGTTTGCTGTACAGCAACGGACTGTGGCTACCTGGGGGAGAAGGCCAATTTATTTGGTGGATTATCAATCAATCAATCAATCAACTTTATTATTCCCAAGAAACAACATTTGTTTATAGCAGGGAACATAGTGAATACATAAATATATTTGACAAAATAAAATAAAGAAGACAGTAAAATAAGACTCACACTCAAAAAGAATCTTTTTTTTTTCAAGTTCAAATGAAAATGATCCTCAATTGACTCAGCTGTTAGGTACACAATTGAAAACTATAGTAGTTCCTATTAATCAGCTTCAAGTTATTTGGTAGTGAATTGTATTGTATCATTCCATTGTGATAGATGGATTTTTTACCAATATCTGATTTAATTTACTTGACAGAAAAATGATCTGCTTGTCTAGTTGTATGGTTGTGGTGATTACTATCGACTTGGCAAACCAAATTTGAATGCTTTTGACAATGTTTAACTGAATGAATGAACGACATTAATTTGAATTTATATAGTAAATCTATATCTAATAATTGTCTTCTTCTGTAAAGGTTCATAGTAGGTTCCAAATAATTTAGTCTGTATATACATTTGATAATTTTATTTTGAAGAGTTTTGAGAGGCTTTATAATTGATAGTTTTGTTGAACCCCATACAGAAATCAAATATTCAAGTTTAGAATAGATCAAAGAGAAGTATATAGATTTGAGACATTTTATAGGAACTTGGTTCCGTACCCTAAAAAGTATATATGAGGCTTAACCCTTTCAGTCCCACTTTTTAATTATGAATAAACTGAGTTGGAATTGCGATTTCTGACGTATTTTAGATATAGTTGAAAAATGGCTCCACTCTAACCTTTTATCGATAAATACCAACAAAACAGAATATATGATTTTCCACCAAAAAAATAAACAAAAAAAATAACTCAACCTTAAAATAAAGAATGAACTTTTAAAACAAACTGACCAGGTGAAATATCTTGGTATTTGGTTTGATGACAGGTTGAAGTGGGACAAACATATTGATGTTTTAACAAAAAGAATATCTCCAATTATTGGTGCATTGAGAAGATGTCCCAAACTTGATATTAAAATTGCAAACATGATTCTCTACTCTCATATACTGAGTCGTATCAACTATTTAATAAATGTTTGGGGATCTTGTTCAAAAAATAATTTAAATAAAATATCAACATTATATAGAAAATCGTTAAAAGTATTGTATCGTCTCCCATTTGATACAGCAACCAATCAATTGTTTGAAATAACAAATACGTATTCTTTAGATGAAATATATAGAATTGAAACTCTTAAAATATTATAAAATATCATAAATAACAAATTGAAGTCGAATATTATTTTGATACGGAATTCTGAACTTGTTTCATCTTGACGCCGCTAGCTCCATAATCGGACAAAAAAGATTCACTCATTCAGCTTCAACTATTTTCAATAAACTACCTGGCAATATAAAAAATTGCAGAAATATAGGTACACCCAAAAATTAAGTAAAATAATTGATAATTTCTGAGCGATTAAATTAATCATGCCATTTTTTTCAGAAATATTATTCCTTGTTTGCCAATTTACAGTTGTTGATATATTTTGAATGATGATATGTTTACCTATAGGTATATAATTATGTAATTCCTTATAAAAGAGCCTATTCTGTCTGGAAGTTATTTGTTCAATAAAAAAATAAATGAATAAATGAATAAATAACTTCTAAGGGTCAAAAAGGTACAATGAAATGTGTAAAATTTTTGAACAATTTATTGAATCGCTACAGAAAAATGAGTGGTAATTGTACAAAAAATGACACAACTGGTGGAAAATGCATAGTTACCCTGTCTGTTTTCCTCAAACTCCGAGTCAGATCCATGTACGACACTGTCCACGTCGGTATCTGGCCCGTGCGAGGTCTGATGCTCGTCGGACTGCTCAGCAATGGCATACACGATCTCAGAACCGTAGTAGGGACACAGCTTGAACAAAAGTAAAAAGTTGAAAAATTTCACAAAAAATGCAGAGAATTTTTTAAATTGTTTTATTCCTTCTAGATTTCTCAAGATAAATTCCCAAAGAAATGCTAGTTTCGTTGAGCTGGTAAGTATTTTTTGATTTGATTGTCTTTATTACCCCAGGTAGGTCTAGAATGAAAATCGTTCCTTTTATAACTCCAGTAAAAACAATCAAATCTAATGAATTGATATTTCATGAAAATAATTCAGAAATGCAAAGATAATTTCCGGTATGAAAGATAAAAGGTGAACGGAATGCAAAGTAATAAAAAATATAAGATAAATAACGAGGAGAATCCATAGTCAGCTTCTACCACTGCTTATCATTGAAGGTGATCCGACGCATGGACTCCAGTGGCGGCGTCTGGAAATGTTTTGGCAGGGATTATATGTAACTCTTTACTTCTTTGGATATTTTAACGTTTATCGCTCTCAAGATTTAACTGATTTCAACAATATCATGGATGAACTGAGCAATACAGTTTGAAACTCACTTGTTCTTGTTTTCCTATACACTGGATTGTGGCATGTTATGACATATATATTAAAGTCATGTCATCAGAATTTGAGGTTCATTAAAAAGAATACCAAAATCCTTCAGTTAGATTGCTTTATAAACCTATGTTTGAACGAATAATTGAGAAGTAGACCTACTCGATTACTACACCTTTTCTAATTTTAGTTCAGAAAGCACCAAGTTGATTTCAAAAAGTATCAATTGAATTTCAAATTAGTCATTTTAATTTCAAAAAGTATTTCAGAATTATCGATTCGATCGCCGTTAAATGTTCGAACCTTCCATGAAATTGTATGGTAATCAAATGGTGTGTTTTGAAATATAATAGTATATTTTAATAAAAAATTGATGCATTCATGTTATGTTACTACTATATTTCAATTATATGCATATTTAAGTTGAATTTACGCACTTGTGTCCCTGCCTATCACGAAATAAGTACAGGGTGATAGACTATTATGGACTTCATGGCTTTCAAAGCTGATATCTCGAAAATGAAAAAACATATTCCAAAATTTGGAAAAAGCAAATTAAATGAGATTTTGTTTCCTCCCAGATTTTGTTTCCTCATTTTATCATTTCAAATACAGGGTATACAGAAAAATCATTTTTCAAATGGAACTTCCTGTATATTGAGTGAAATCCATAGTCAATCACCCTGAATAATATTATCATATTGAACTCTTGCGCACAAAACATCCACTGAAAAGCCATACTTGATGAAGTATGGTTTTGAGAAACAGGTAGTTTTACAGTAATAAAAAAGGCGCATCCTTTTTAATCCATGTCAAAATGACTCACGTCATCGTCAAATAGCGTTTTTTGTGGAGGAGTTGATGTATCTTTGGTAGTGATGAGTTGGTTAATTTTTTCACATTATTACATTTTCATTAGTTTAGTGAACAGTGAACGGGTGAAGAATTGGAGATAGTTCAAACAATTCAAACCAATTATGACGAGCAAATCAAAAAAGTACTACTCAGTGCAATAATTATATTTCGGAAAGTGTGTCTATGCATTTTTTTCCAACAGATCCAAAGCTAGCCCAACAATACCCAGATTGTCCTGCTCCACAGGAACAAATACAAATCCATTGTTCTACAGGAGTTCCTCTGGACCCCAACTTCAATTTTACTTCATGTGGGAAAGATTTCATCGCCGAAGTTTGTAGACAAAGTGCAAAAATGTGCCTTTTGTTGAAGTCTTCTGCCTCACACAAAATCACATGATTAGCACGGAGAACTGCTTCTCCTTCCACTACTGGTCGGCTTTTTCCATCTAAATAGAGCAAAATATCTGCCAAAAGAACATCTACAATTGGCATTATTAGCGTTTTGGATCGAATATTGATAATGAATGTCAAGAAATTTAAAAACTTATCACTCTTATCAGTACACAGTGCACAAGCTAATGGCACTAATGGGATTGAGTGAGCATTGAGTTTGTTTTCCCCCAGTTTTGACGTGGCTTTGACATGGAACGATGAAAACCGAGCGCCACCAGGTAACATTGATTCCCGCGAATGTATGCAATGCAAAAATATTGACAAATAATCCGTGTGGTGTGGTGGTCACAGAGTGACATATTTGTGTATGGACCAGGTGCTCTAATGGCAAATACCGCGCCAGTGCCTGATATAGGCTATAGGATTTATAGGAACAATACGTGGAAAATGTTAGGTTAGTGAGCATATCAATAATAATAGCGATTATTCATTCCTCTCCATACTACACTGTGTTTGACTTGATAATCAAATGTAGGTAAACAATATCGTAGTTTGAGGAAAAAACACCATTGCTTGTCGTGATTATTCAAAAACAAATTATCCATCCCGAGAATAACGAATGAGATACAGATCAAGCAAGTATTTGAATCTTGAAGGCTTCCCTGATCAAAACAAAAATACTCAACTGAGATGTTTATAATTCCAATACTTAACTATAATAAGGTGTATTTATATCTCCAGCATGGGTATAAAATGCCAAATTTGCCGAAATCGGAAACAAATCAGGTATGCGTCTCAACCCAAATAACCCACCATAACAATCTTGTTTATTCTTGATGACGTCTAGTACATCCTTTTTAGTTCCTTTTTTTTTTTTTTTTTTTTTTTTTTTTTTTTTTTTTTTTTTTCGATTGGAGCGCACGAAAGGGAATCCCTATAATGTTCGAGGAACATCGTGCGTTCCTAGGGAGGATAGGGACAGGAGGTAGGTATTGGAATTTGGGAATACTTCCACAGGCAATGAATTCCAGAGCCTAGCCGTTCTATATGGATGAAGGAGTTTCAATAAAGTGCTGTTCGACATCTTTCGAGGTTGACAACGAAAGGATGTGCTGACTGGGCTTGTCTAGTTCGTCTGATTGGTATTGCTAGTGAAGGGATGATAGCAGAGATTTCCGAAGAACATTTCCCGTGGAAGTATCGATAGAAAAGTGAAAGGTCGCCGACCTTTCTACGGTGGATCTGACATGATTATCCTATGAAAGAGTGTTGCTGATGGAAATACCAAGCATAGATTTGGTGAGAAAATACTGGCTTGAGTTTTGATGGCGTTGAATATTCAACTAGGTTGTTGGTTCCCCAGGCTGTGATTTCAGCAAGGTCTTCATTGACAGCATTGATCTGCCTGCGCCGTGAGTTCTTAGTTTTCTGATGGGAAGAAATGGGAAATCTGGAAGAGAACGCAGTATGGAGGGTACTTTCATTTGCAAAGCTGTGGATGGGGCAAGTTGTTACTCCCAACAGATCATTGATATGAAGCAGGAATAATGTTGGTGCCAAAATTGATCCTTGTGGAACGCCGGAATTGATGCCAATAGTATCAGACGATACACCGTCCACCACCACGTGAAGCGATCTGCCTGAAAGAAAACTCGATAAGAGATGGCATAGCTGAGGTGGTAAGCCGTATGATGGTAGTTTGTGGAGGAGTCCTTCGTGCCAAACACGGTCGAATGCTTTCGATATGTCCAACGCGACAGCTAGAAATTCCCCGTGTTTTTCTATTGAAGCTTGCCATAAATGGGTGACGTAGGCAAGTAGATCTCCAGTAGATCTTCGGTGGCGAAAGCCGTATTGTCTATCATTGATAATTCCTGAGCTCTCCAGATATTTGATGAGCTCAATATTGATGGCTTTCTCCATCACTTTGGAGATTACTGATAACAGGGCAATGGGCCTGTAGTTGTTGGGCAGGTTCTTGTTCCCTTTTTTGGGGATTGGTTGGACTCTAGCTGTCTTCCAGCATGATGGAAAAATACCCGACCTGTACGAGATGGTAAACAACTTGCAGAGAATCGGTGTTAATTCTGGTGCACATTTTTTGAGGATAATGGGTGGAATTCCATCAGGACCGTTAGCCTTATTCGTTTTGGGACCAAGCAAAATTCGTCTGATAGTGCATTGACGGAAGACGATTTCGGGCATTCGACTCTCAACGGGTGGAATGTCTGGCGGCACTTTTCCTTGGGAATCTAAAGTAGAGTTTGCTGCGAACATCTCTGCAAAAATATTCGCTTTCTCCTGCGATGTTGTTGCTAATGTGCCGTCGGATTTGGACTGAAGTTCAACTTTAGCTCCTAGGAACTAAATATATTGCCTAGCAACATACCTATTCTTGTGTCAGTAATAGAAACGTCAATTTAAGAGCTAATTTTGGTATCAAAATGGACGACTTTTGTGTCGGTTGAAAAATAAAGCTTGTCTATGCCTGTTATCGGGGTGTTTTGAATACGTGCGTTTACCTTGAGGTGCCTGTTCCTGGTGAGACAGGCGCTGGGCGGCGGCAGCGCCCCCTTGCCGCCCCCGATGCCCTCCAGACTGGTGGGGTGGGCCGCCAGCGCGGGCGGCGGGCAGCAGGCGGCCAGCAAGGTGGAGCGGATGCGGCGCACGCCCGGGGCGGCGGGGGGAGCGGCGGGCGGCCGGAAGTAGAAGGTGTCGGAGGCGAGCGGCTGGTGGGGGTGCTTGTCGATGTAGGCCAGTTCCAAACTACCTGCGACGTCCGGTTGTAAATATACAGGGTTTGATTGAAGACCACAGGGGAAAAGGGGGGAATGTCACAAAAAGTGAGTTTCGAGAAAATCGCATTTCAAAGTTTAAAACCTTAATAATAATAATAATAATAACATTTATTGATCCCAAGAAACATACAATGTTTATAGAGGGAAAAAAACTAAAATAAAATCAAATATGCAATACAATGAAAGATAAACAGTTCAATCAGAATTAATTGATACAAGGAGAGAGTTAAATTGATAAAATATACAGGGCATTCATTTTTTTTATCGCTTGAAGCGCACGAAAGGGAATCCCTATAATGTTCAAAGAACACCGTGCGTTCCTAGGGAGGATAGGGACAGGAGGTAGGTATTGGAATTTTTTTGAACTTTTGGAGATTATAATATGTTAGAGAGAGAGAGAGAGATAGAAAAGTGAAAGGTCGCCGACCTTTCTACGGTGTTCCAATGATGTCAAAGAGTGAGTGAGTGTGGCGTCACCCACCAGGCGGATGTCTCTTCTCTGGATGGAATCTAAGAGCATCATCATATGTTTTGGTGCTGAACCCCATATGTGGGAACAGTATTCTAGAACAGGCCGTATCTGCGCTTTGTAGATCATGAGAAGCTGTTGAGGTGTATTGTGAAGCAGCTTTTGCGATGGATCTGACATGATTATCCCATGGCTTTCATTTTGCTTCCACGGCCTACTCGGTGAATTTCAATAATAATTTTTTTCTGATCTAGTTTCTGGTTAGATACCAACTTGTGATATTTCATTAGAAAGGAAATTGAATGATGAATGAAGCAAAAAGAAAAAAAAATAGGGTTTCCATTTAAAATAAGAAAGTTGATGTTACTTCCGGTCAGACCGGAAGTTAACTTCGACATGTCAATATGCTCAAATTCTAGCTCTTATGTCATTATATCGACGCTCCAAATTTCACAAACCTACTTCATACAATAACTGAGATATTCCGTAGGCAATACTTCCGTAGCCATCCGGTATATTCCAATGAACAAGCTGCATTTATTCTTTGACTGAAAAGTAAAAATTAGTGATAATAATAATAGCAAGACTATGGAATCGGAAAAGAAGAAGTTTATGATATACCACAGGAAAATGATCATAGGTTTTTCATGAATTGATATATGGATATAAGGTAACTGAGAACATCTACATTTTCTAGAACCAACATTAAATTTATACATACCTAGAAATTTTCTGTACCTGATTTCATTATATAAACTTAAAATATGTTGTTTTATTCATTTTGCCAGGAATAAATTGAGAATATCAAATTTAGCTTTTAATGAAGTCAATACAGTCCATAGTTATGGGACTAGACAATTGAATTACTTGATAGCAAATACATTCAAGTGGAACATTGGCAAACAATCTGTATTTCACAATGGAATAATTTTATACAATTCATTACCAAATGAGTTGAAAAATATACATGATACAAGGTTTTAAATCAATCTTAAAAAACACTTGCTCAGGACAATTTGAATGAAAAAATGTGGCATGATTTGATTACTCATAAATAAAATGTTATAATCTCCATCTTAAGAAACAATATTGATTTGTTTCCATTGATTGAAATTCATTAATTAAGCCTTCAATATATATTTCTTATGTATTCATGTATCCCTATTATAAACAGAAATTTTTCTTGGGGTAATAAAGACAATCAATCAATCAAATTGTCTCACACTTGGAAATATAGTGAATTTTATTAGTACATGAAAGGAAAACTTTTTGATAAGTAAATGAATCAAATTGTCCTGTTGAAATTTTTGAATTTTTCCAACTACATACAAAAGAAAATAAGAATAAAATTGTGGCTGTAAAAACTTCACAAACAATGAGATTTCCACACCATGACATGTTTCTCTAACACACTAGCTTCATCAGGTGAATACTGGTACATTTTTTTATAATTGTGACTGTTAGGTTTTGGAAACTGTTCAGAAATCAAAATTACAATTTCAAGGGCAATTTATTTATCAAACATATCTTCCAGTCAAAAAAGTTCTGGTATGAGGAAGAACATAATTATAAAATAATAAGTAATAAATATCTATGAACTACTACACAAAGATGCATAGAAGTGAACATGAATAATAAATCATAATAAATCAGGATATCACAATAAATCACAATAAAATAAAACAATCAATGAACAAAGAAAAGCATTCTGGTCAAGGACATAACTTTAAACATTTCTCTCAGAAATGATCAGTTTTTTAATTTTCTTTTTAAATGTACCTATATTTCTGCAGTTTTTAATTTCATCTGGTAGTTATAGTTATAGAAATATATTGTCTAGTTTGATGAGTATGAATTCCAAAATTTCTGGTCAAAATAATATTAGATTTCAATTTTTTATTTATGATATTATATGAAATTTTCAGAATCTCTGATCTGTAGTTCTTCTAAAGAATATGTTTTTGTTTGATATACCTGAAGGTTCCTTTTTCTTTCAATTAAGATAATAATACTGCACCCACCTGTTGGTTTAATATCAACTTGAACAGCAGCAGTAGCAGGCAAAAACCCCATACTGGTGAAATTTGAATGCCTCCTGCCCCCCTCTGCTCCAAAATTTGAGCTGGAGCCCTGATCACCCTCCACACTGTGCAGAGAAGGCCTCTGCCTCATGGGACCTCCTCTTTTCTCATCCTTGATGGAAAATGTGACAAAACCATCAGTCTTAGAACGTTGGTGGTGTTTGGGTCTCCTATCTGAGGAGCATTTAAGCCTTCTAGGTTCAGAAGGCTCCACATGGGTAACTACCTCTACTATTGGGGCACTGGCAAGATCTTCACTGCTTTCAGATGAATTTTTTCTGTGCACCTCAGCTTTGAGGTCTGCAAGAAAAGTGTTAATGGAGGCATTGATGAATGTATGAAGGCTCACCAATTGTACTGCTTGGTTTTTGTGCCCCATCAGCTTGATCCATTTGAAACTGCAGAAATTCAGAGGATTCCAAGCTCTCTGCATCAGTGCTGTGCATGGGCCCAGTCTCAATTTCTGCAAAATGTGCTATTGCCCTCATGCGTCCCTTAGATTTACTGGGTAAAACTTGTAATTCAAATCCTTCATCTTCCCTAAAATATAAGGTTTTTCATTAAACTATTATATGGATTCTGAGAAAATGATCAGTACTTTTTTTGACCTTGCCATTCATCTTCAATCTCTTCTTCTATACATTCTGTTGTGTCATACATGTGGTGAAGAGCATAATTTACCAATTTTACAATCACTAACCCTATTGTCACTGAGGCACAGTAGAAATACCAAATGTACCATGATGGAGGAAAATACTGTAACAACAAAATAACAAAACATGTACAAAATTTATTGACTTTTTGAAATTAATGAGGTCAACCAAAACAAAGCTGTACTGTAATACAAAATACCCTTTAGATACACTAGGAACTTACCACATGGAGAGTGAAGGGGAGACAAAGTAGAAAGAGCCAAATGTAGAGATGAAAAGTGTTACAAAAGACATCTTGGTGAGGATCATAAAACCAACCTCCTGTGAGTGAAGCCCAAACACCTTGTCTAAGAATTTCCAACGTTTGTGATCCCATTTGTTGGTCTTCTAACATCTTAAATCAACTATATTCACTGAGGCACATGGTGTGGAAAAAGGGGATTCCTTTCATTATTTGTTACATTCTTTCACAATCTAGTTTCAAGGAAAATTTTCCAGGGTTTTTTGTCTTTCAGGCAATAAGTTCTTTTGAAAAGCGATTTTGCTTCAATACCTTCATCTTTTCTTATTGGAAATGTTTCAATCTTGGGAAGAATGTTTTTCAAGAAATTTTCAATGAACCATTTCATAACAAGACAAAAATCATCAAAAATGGTCTTCTAAAATCCTAAGATGACAAGTCAAGTCAGACAAGTTGACAAGACACAAGACACTGTCCAAGTGTCCACAACACATATATGCCATGTTTAGTGCTTATAATGATTAGAGAGCTGAAGCTAGGAAAAAAGAAGAAATTAGTTCAACTACTCAAGTGGGCTAAGGGCTAAGTAGCTTAGGGCTGTACTGACTGCAGACTGTAAGGTTAAGGCATAAAAAATTAAAAATTGTTGTCACTTCACTTTTTCAGTTTGTCAAAAAATATGTTTTGTTCAAGTTTTGAGTTTTGTATTCTTTATTCATTTTAGTATTTTTATTTTATATCAAATTATAATCGTTACAATATATTCAGTGGTATTGTGGTATACAGAGCTATGGATTCATTAGCAAAAAGAAAACATCTTAACTCTCCTGGTAAATCTAAAGTAGAGCTGGACAGTCATTCAAATCCATGATATTTTGATTTCAGATAATGATGATAACAAACGTCCTAAGATAGAACATTGTCCACATAATGAAAGATGTTACAGAAGGAACCCACACCATTTCAAACAATATGAGCATCCATACTGTATGAAATTAAGGTTATAAATGTTTAATTCTGATATTAATTCTCTTTCTAGTAAGTGAATTCATTGAATCAACCAACTCACCTGTGATACCAGATAGCTGGCCTCAGCCCAAAAATATTTACTTGGAGCAGATAGAAATTTTGAGGAGCTTGTCAAGTAGCAAACCAAAAATACAAAATATTGATAATAACAAGGAAACTTCTAGCAACATAGCTGCATCAAAAGTATTACAAAATGTATCTTCTGGGAATTCTAAACCTGGATCTAGCAAAACAATCTCAATCAATCAATCAAATATTCCTAGCACATCTACTACCACAACATATGCTTCAGACTCTGCTCATGGTACCATGATGGAAAAATTAGAAAGAGCTGCTCCTTATAACATTTTTTTTACTACAATCATTAAGGCTCCACTGACAACCAAACAGCCTAATGCTATTACATTCACAGATCTATTGTGCCCCAGTTTAGGGGTACTGAAAAACTCTCTGCAAATAAATTTTATGATAGACATTGACTGGTTGTTGAAGCAATATAAAGCAAGGGGTCTGAGGTGATATTTTTTTTGCAATTATTCTGTGGAAGATAATTATGTTCTATTTTAGTTCAAGACCATTGACTATATTGTTTGGTGATGATTGGCCTGATATGGCCAAGTTCATAGATATGTTTTGTCCTAATGTGAAGTACAAGTTAGTCAAAATGAAGGATCCTTTTGGAGTACATCATTCGTAAGTAAGAATTTACAAATAGTAGAATCAAAAAATAATTTATTATGATGGCATAGATGAGTACAAATACAGCATCATAATATGTTGAATAGTTGGCAACTTGGATATTCATACACACAACACAATATGAAACTTTTCAAACAACCAAATATATAGGATAATCAATAAACCTTCATGGAATATGGAATGATAATAATCAATCACAGATTAATATTATTTATTATTATACTGGTATAATGATCACAGCTTATCTTGAAAGTGCAGGTAATTGCAGCAATTCTTATAGTTGTTTCTGGTAATTTATCATTTACTTACATATAAATTATTGATAGATCTTGTGATCATATATAAAGAGAGAATAGAGAATAGTACATTGTCCAAAAATTATAACAAAATAACCTCAGAAACAAATGCAAAGAAACAGAAAACAGGAACAAAAATGAAAACAGAATCTATAGCACCACTATACTACAAATTAAAGACAAAGCTATATGTATCACGAAATTCTTGTGATGATATCTTTTGGTGAATGATTGAACATGTCTGATAAATGTTAATAGAGTTACCAAATCCTGATTTAGTATATAATATACATATGCTTATGATAGTATAGGGTGAATAATAGGTACATTACTAGAGGTGTAAATTCCACCTGGTATTTGTATAGTAAGTAAATTCACTTGTAAATGATGTGGTAAAATCAATGAAATTGAAATTTGATTCATTAAAAACAGAAATGTTGAAAATATTTCCAGGAAAGTTGGCATTTATATTTATGAAGATAACTCCATCAGAGTTGTAGTTTCAACTGCAAATTTATACTATGAAGACTGGAACCACTACAACCAAGGGTAATATCTCATAGATATTCAATGAAACCATGATTGAAAATCACAATTATTATAGGTTATGGCTGAGCCCAAGCTGTCCTCAGCTGCCCGATTCCAGACCAGACAGTGATGGAGAGTCCCCCACTGGATGCTTGACTACCTTAAAAAATATAAGGAACCTCTGCTTGAACCATTCATAGACCAAGTCAGAAGAGCTGATTTCAGTTCTGTCAGGGTGTTCCTGCTGTATTCTGTTCCTGGTAAACATTTTCCGAATTCCAATGGTTGCCACCAACATTCCATGGCAGATATTTTATCTGCTCACTGTGTTCTACCACAAAAGACAACTCCAGAGTCTGAGGGACCTCTGTCTTGGGGGGTTATGGCACAAGCATCCAGCATAGGTGTGTTGATTCAGTTGATTGGTATCAATAATATACAGTGTCATTCATAAAGTCCGCATCATATGGGAAAAACTTTTAATAATAACTTATTTTGAAATTCTACTTGGGCATTGAGTTTTGCTCTGAAAAATATTAAACTACTTACATTCTTTCTCTGTGAAGTTATTCCCTGCGTTTCAAAACCGATTCAGCAACATTAAACCATAATGCAGGCTCATGTTTCCAGAAAGTTGGTAGGTTAATTTATTTAATTGTTTCTTGCTCTTTCTTGGAATGTCCAGTTGATGTGTCTTCTGAGGAGATGATGTCATGAGGCATGATATTGTTTGGAAATGTTGAACTTATATTTTTTATAACTCATCAAATTTGACGATCAGAATTTCGCACAATTCTTCAAGTCTATCGATCTTCTTCCTAAAAATAGTATTCCAAACATCATTTGGTATGATTCTTGATGAAATCTCTGAAAGAATGCTCCTGTAGTCGGCTTTGTGAAATTGGTCCTTATAAGTTTTTTTAATGTACTCTGTCAGCATTTCCTTCATATCAGAAAATTCCATCGAATCACTAACATGGATGTTGAAATGTCTTAAAATTTGTATGATCTCATTTGTAGTCACCATAAGTATACTCTGGTCAGTTCACTTTGTGAATCTTCTGTTCGGTTCCTATAGACTGGATGGTTTTCTCCGATTGAGTGGCAAGTATCAAATACTGCTTCTCTGATCTGCAACAGAATATCACATATCAATCAAAGTACATTCCATATCAGAAAATAAATATCATTAGATGAATTACATGGATGTTGACTCTGAGACAAACCTGAATAATATATTCACGTCCGAAACTTGATTGCTACATATCCGCTTTCTTTCCGAATAGTGTTTTTTCCAGTAGGCATCTTCCACATTTTCAATTACGTACGTGGGTTATATTAAGGACCAATCGATGTGCTGCTCGGATCTAAAACTAAGGATCAATTTCAAATTTGAATCATGAGACCTACATAGAATATTGGATATTGTTTTCAACATTCGTAACTGGAACGCGATATATTTTTGTAATTGCATCGACTACCTCAATGAAGACGAGACAGGCAGATAAACAACAATTTTCTCTGCAATGAAGAACACTGTATATACCTAACCCACCATGCGTCTACCTCCTTTGCAGAGAGGGTTTATAAACGCCGAGTTGATACTCTCCCCTCGTAAGGGTACCTGTCGTGTTTCCATAGAGACATAAAGCTGAATATCTGTCTATCCGTCTGCTTGAGAATCTGGAAAGGTAATTAATATATCGCCTTCCGTACGAATATAATGATCTGAATTCTGTAAAGTATACTCTGGTCAGTTCTCTTTGTGGATTTTCTGTTCGGTCCGTATTTACTGGATGGTTTTCTCCGATTGAGTGGCAAGTATCAAACACTGCTTCTTTGATCTGCAACTAAACATCACATTTGAATCGAAGTACATTTGAATCAGAAAATATCATCTGAGGAAATACATAGACGTTGAATCTGAGACTTACCTGAATAATATTTTCAACGTCCGTAACTAGATTGCTACTTATCCGCTTTCTTACCGTATAGTGGTTTTTCCAGTAGGCATCTTCCACATGTTCAATTACGTGGGTAATATTAAGGACCTTGAAGGCCAAACAATGTGCTGCTCAGATCTAAAACTAAGTATCAATTTCAAATTGGATTCGTGAGACCTACATAGAATATGAATCTATGAAAAGTCTGGATATTGTTTTCAACATTCATAACTAGAACGCGATATATTTTTGAAATTCATCAATACATCAACTATCTCAATGAAGACGAGACAGGCAGATAAACAACAATTTTCTCTGCAATGAAGAACACTGTATATACCTAACCCACCATGCGTCTACCTCCTTTGCAGAGAGGGTTTATAAACGCCGAGTTGATACTCTCCCCTCGTAAGGGTACCTGTCGTGTTTCCATAGAGACATAAAGCTGAATATCTGTCTTATCTGTTTTCTTGAGAATCTGGAAAGGATATCAATATATCGCCTTCCGTACGAATATAATGATCTGAATTCTATAAAGTATACTCTGGTCAGTTTTCTTTGCGGATCTTCTGTCCGGTCCGTATTTACTGGATGGTTTTCTCCGATTGAGTGGCAAGTATCAAATACTGCTTCTCTGATCTGCAACAGAAAATCACATATCAATCGAAGTACATTCATATCAGAAAATAAATATCATTAGATGAATTACATGGATGTTGACTCTGAGACAAACCTGAATAATATATTCAACGTCCGAAACTGGATTGCTACATATCCGCTTTCTTTCTTTGTTTTTTCCAGTAGGCATCTTCCACATTTTCAATTACGTACGTGGCTTATATTAAGGACCTTGAAGGCCAAACGATGTGCTGCTCGGATCTAAAACTAAGGATCAATTTCAAATTTGAATCGTGAGACCTACATAGAATATTGGATATTGTTTTCAACATTCGTAACTGGAACGCGATATATTTTTGTAATTTCATCGACTACCTCAATGAAGACGAGACAGGCAGATAAACAACAATTTTCTCTGCAATGAAGAACACTGTATATACCTAACCCACCATGCGTCTACCTCCTTTGCAGAGAGGGTTTATAAACGCCGAGTTGATACTCTCCCCTCGTGAGGGTACCTGTCGTGTTTCCATAGAGACATAAAGCTGAATATCTGTCTATCTGTCTGCTTGAGAATCTGGAAAGGATGTCAATATATCGCCTTCCGTACGAATATAATGATCTGAATTCTATAAAGTATACTCTGGTCAGTTCTCTTTGCGGATCTTCTGTTCGGTACGTATTTACTGGATGGTTTTCTCCGATCGAGTGGCAAGTATCAAACACTGCTTCTTTGATCTGCAACTAAACATCACATTTAAATCGAAGTACATTTGAATCAGAAAATATAATTAGAGGAAATACATAGATGTTGAATCTGGGACATACCTGAATAATATTTTCAACGTCTGTAACTAGATTGCTACATATCCGTTTTTTTTTTTTCGTATAGTGGTTTTTCCAGTAGGCATCTTCCACATGTTCAATTACGTGGGTTATATCAAGGACCTTGGAGGCCAAACAATGTGCTGCTCAGATCTAAAATCAAGTATCAATTTCAAATCGGAATCGTGAGACCTACATAGGCTGAAAATATAATCTTTCCCAAAATATCGTGATATGTTTTGTTAACTGGAAAGAAGAAGAAAATAATGAACAATGTGGTCTACTTTTTATAAGCGCGCATCCAAATTGACATTTAGTATAATAATAATAATAATAATAATATGTTTATTTCCACAGAATTAGAATACAATGGAAGAAATGATGATAGCAAGTTACGTTAGGTAAATAAACATTAGAAAACCCACAGACGCAGCAAATAATGCTGCTTGTACGTGGTAAAAAGCATGAAATTCGTTTGACGAGCTATTATTGAAAATACTGAGATTAATAATTTTGGAATATAAAACTAAGTAGGTACAGAAATTCAAGAGTTTAAAATATTCATATAAAAAATAATCAAAATGGATAGATATAAAAACAAATGAAATGATTGGATCTTGAATGAAATCAATTGACCCCTCTGGCACTCCTATGGTTAATGCAGTGTTTCACTAACGTACCTATCTTAGCTCATTAATGATTATTGACATATTATATTCTATTCATTAATTCTCTTATATTGATATCGATATAAACCTATAGTATTATAAACATAGCTAGATAGATTATCATAGTTTTAGCTAGTATTAATTTAATTCAATATTATATATTATAATGTATTTATAATCAATTAAAACACCCTTGGGTGACACTTCGTCATTTCATCTATATCACTTTTATAATTTTATGGATGAATAAAGACGAGTTATTATTATTATTATTATTATTATTATTATCATTATTATGGTGTTGAACAATCACAAAAACTTCGGACGTATAATAAATTACTGACAATGTTAATAGTTATTTAACCAACTAGTGTATTAATGAGGGCGATTAATGATCGAGATATTTTAACGTGCGAGCGAAGCGAGTGCGTTAATGTTCGAGATCATTAATCGCCTTTTAATATACAAGTTGGTTGCAAAATTTTTCCGTCGACTATATTTCTCATTTCTCCTGCAATGAAGAAAACTTGGTTCACCAAATCATCATCCATCCGGAAACTGCTAAGAATCACCCAGTATAGCCTTGTTACTGACATTAGACACATTTGACATTTGTCGAAATGATCAACATAGGAAATAAATTCCTTGTGTTAGAAAACAGGGATTAATATCATGTCAGAAACTTGGAAAGGCGAACCCGTTAACGGAAAATCGTCGATGAAATCCATATTTTCGATTTAAATGCAGATTCCGTAAGTTATAGCATATACAATGAATGCACGCGGTGTATGTTTGGTTGCCTATAAAACAATCGTGTATTAATAGACAAATCGTTCATTAATAGGGGTCATTAATGAACGATTTCATATACATTAAACTTAGTCGTTAATACGAGGTCGACGGAGAGAGAGAGAGAGAGAGAATATACTTTATTGTCATGAAGAAAAGATACATTCTTATGGACAAAGCACATATGTAGAGTTAAAAGTGTAAATAAAAAACTAAAAATATAAAACAGACATTAAAAAGACTCTTACATTAGCAAAGGGTACATATAATTAGAATTGATCAGAATAAAATTCCTCCAAACTATAGTAAGGCCGATCTGATAATAGCAAATGGACAGCTTTTTTAAAATGGTCAATGTGGGTGATATCTCTTATATAGTCGGGCAAATGATTGAACATCTTGCATCCATTATAAATGAGTGAATCCTTTACTAGAGAAGAACTTGGTATTGGTAAGTTTATACTGTTATGCTTACGGGTAGAGTAATAGGAAGGAGTAGTATTAAATTTATGGATGTGTTTTTTGATGAGATATACTGATTCAAGGATGAAGATTGCAATAACAGTTAGTAATTTATGCGATACAAACAGCGGTTTACAGGAAACACGCATTTTAACTTTGGACATATATCTAATCGAGCGTTTTTGCAGTACCAGTATACTTAGCATGAGGTTATTATTACATACTCCCCAGAAAGGAATACCGTATCTCAGGTGAGACTCTATCAATGCATGGTAGACTAATTTTGCAGCTGAGGAAAAATAAATAATTTCGGGATATGAATCTACGTACAAACATTCAAGAGTGTAAAATACTTGATTAATTTGTGTGTGTGAAAATGTAATGAGCACTCGAAAATATCTAAAATAATTGACAAATTGTTCTATGGAACGAAATCCATCGATAGTTTACCTAATTCGGCTCTAATTAAGTTGAAATTTGAGGACTGGTTATTTTTTTGTAATAAAATTGGAATTTTTTAATAACGAGTTCAATAAAAATTCTATTTTTCAAATTGGATGCGACTGTTGAAAAAAAAGAAGTTTTTTGTTTTGCCTGAAGACGGATCTGGATTCTAAATTCGATTCATATTTAATTTTGATGAGAAATATGAGTTGAATATACCCACCAAGTATGAATCGATTATACACAGTGGTTCAAAAGTTATGACCTGACCATAGATTAAGATTTTGCCAAAATCAAGATTACGTTCTGTATCACAGTTATTGAAGATGGTACATTCTTAAAAGATACAGTTTCGAACAGGAAGCACGAAAACCAGAAGAAAGTATTCCTTGATCGGAAAAAATACAACAAACGGTACGAAACATACAGGGTATGTCATGACGAGCTTACACTATCTCTATATCGAGAAACAGTCGGGAGAAATCCATCAAAATATGCATGTAATCAGATATCTGAATCTTGAACCACCCTGTATCTGTTCCGATTAAATATCAGTAAATAGTGAAACAAAAGATGAGATAGGGACATGTGAGCCGTTTTGACCGATAATGAATATTTTCGACACAAAAAAAATCGTAAAGTTGAAAAATATCGATTTTGAACACCCTATATCTCTGTAATCATTTTCGATGAACCCCAAGTTTGATACATCGATGAAATCAGCTCTTCAGGGAGAATCTTAAAATGCGATAAAATACAGGGTGTTCCGTTCGAAATATCAATGTTGGTACTACTTTCTAGAAGAAGCGGCAACACTGCATTGTCGAACATATCTTTAATGAAAAGAGCGTATACCAAAATGTAACCATGCACATTGTCATGGATTTCTCCCTACTGATTCTCGATTTACAGATAGTGTAAGCTCGTAGTGACATACCCTGTATAGGGTAATGAAGTTAAATGAATACACAGAAATATGAGGAAAAAATTTAGAGAATTTCTCTGCACTCACCAGCGTGAAAAAAGTGAAGCTTTGATGAAACAACACGAAACACTAGACAAAAACACTATATACGAATCAATGCGATCACTCAGTTTTTAGGGAACACTCAGTTTGGAACGATAAATAATTCCTTTCGCGTATTTTTCGATGTCGATCACAAAATTCGACCGTACCTGATGACATCTAATATAAGACTGTTTTGATTTACCACCTGGTCCCGAATGAATGACTAATAAATTGAATCATGCTGATAACCGATTAATTTCCGAACAAAACATTATTTATCTATGACTAATGTTGATAATGGAATTATACGGGGGGCGGGGGGTATTTTGTATACAGGTGCTATTTTTTTTCGAAAATCACTAACGATATGGAAGAATTCTACATAGGCTGAAAATATATTTTTTCCAAAAATCTCGTGATTATGGAAGAACTTAACATACAATATGTAGTGAAGAGATCGAACCCTTTCCATTACCAAGAAATAATTTATCACAGTGACATACAGGCAAACAATTTTTGTTTTAAAAATATTGGTCACACGTAGTGGAAATAAATCAAGGAGTAGCTACTCTGAGATTTCTAGATGTATCGAGTGGTATCGACTAAAAATACCTATCAGATTTTTGATATTCGTTGTTTTTTAAGTTATATTGAGGTCATTGGCGTATCATACGTAATTTCCATATGGAATTCCTGATTCAACTATACCAAGATATAGTTGAACAATCCTCTAGTTTTAGAGTTTACTACTCCAGCATAATCTTTGCGAGGTAGGGAACATATAATTTGTACTAAAAGCTTGATATATTTCACCAAAAGAGACTGTTCTTAGACTGTATACCAGGGTTGACTGAATGAATTCTGATTTCAAGCTGAGCAGTAGTTTAACTATGAGCTGAATGAGCTGAGCCTTATGATTGAGAAATGGTGAAAACCTCGATGTGGGTATCTGAACTACTGTATTCATGTCATGTGTGCTAAATATATTTTCGGAAATCCAACTCGGAGAAAAATTTATGGAGTGACTAATTCTAGGACGAAAAGTAGGCTTATAAAAAGTAATACGTGAAATTGCATAAAAATGAGGATTAGAATATACTTTAACCCCGTGTTATACATATGATTTTTCCGTCTCCCTCAAATAAAAAGTCATTTCCAAATAATTTATTGATAAAAGTAACAAAGAAGTAGGTATACAGTATAACTTATGGGCATGTTATTTTCACTGTTGCATCCTACATATTTCCAATTTGTGATAGAGTAATAATTATATAAACTAATGTTAAAAGTGCAGTTTTGAGCAGTGGTTATTTGAATACCACTAGAAGTGAGATCTGGAGCCAATGCAGTTTTCGTGATATTTTCATAAAAAGTGACCCACAATTTGGTTCGAAATATTATGCTATTTTGTGAGAGATTGCTGCACATACCCTTCAGCCGTAGACTTCCAAGCAAGAATGTCTCCTCCAGAATTTGCAAGTAAACTTGCCGAGGTTCTTCTGAAACTATGCCTGGTATAATTTATGACATCAGGCAGTTTTAAAAATTCTGCAATTTTTTTTATGAATTTTAGCAATAGAATTCTTTCCAACCATTTGGTAGATACATTTTCCTGCTCTATAGTAGACAAATAAACGTGTCTGGTATATTTACTATTAAATACTATATGACGTCACTCTCCCTTGGGAGAAAAGTACTATTCCTCTCTAGGGAGGAAATGTACGACGTTGCTCCCTACATTTAGGCAAGGAAATGTTCACTTTGGATAGAAGTACGCGAAAATATTCATTTTCCTAACAAGTGCGCAAAGTGTTACTTTTCCGCACGCAAATACGTTTTTGCGTGCGGAAAAGACACTTTGTACTAAATGATCTATCTCCATAATTCGATGGAGCTCGTCAATATGAATTCAAATATATATATCATTGATATATTATTATCAAATATTATCAAATAAAATCTAAATCATATCATTTGAAAATACACTTTTTTTCTTAGTCTCACCTGTATTTAGTTGATATAAAAAAAAATGAGCACAGATTCGGGAAATTCGTGAAAAATTATTTCAGAAAAGTTTTTGAATGACCAAAATACGGTGATACATTCGAGTCGGACACCCTGTACAATCAGGATCTGTAGCTGAGGTATAGAGGGTCGCCGTTTAAAGTGAGACACGCTGAATATTGTTTGGTATGTTTGAAATTTTTGAAATAACGGGTGTTTCTGGGAAACCATGGAGAAATTGAAAAATGTTGATTTTTCATAAAAGATAATCGAAAATCTTGAAGCATTTTTCGATTTTCTGTTTTTTGCAACAGCACAGATTACACGACCATCTGTGGCAAAATTTTGAATTTTTGAAAAGGGTTTGTTGAGTTTTGGAAACTGGTGATTATGTTTCTGTGTATATTCAACTTTGACTTAAAATAATATTATTTAAAAAAACGAGTAGGTATTGATATTTTGAGTTTTGGAAAAAGTTCGCAAGAACTTTTAAAAAAGAAATGAGGTGACTCTTTTATCGATTATTTTCCTCTTCCAAAGAAAATCTCCTCAGTGAACGAAACAAGTTCAAGAACTCCTGCTTCCCTGAAATCAATATTCGTGATTATATTGTCAAAGGTGGATATATGTCTATTTTCATCATGATATTGTCAATGCAGCTAGAACCCCTTGTTGTAATCCTGGTAATTTTGAGGCCGTAAGAATTCGCTAAAGTTTCCATGTCTCTTGAACTTTTTGTGTTGGAGGCTGATTTGAAATTAATGTTGAAATCCCCAACCAGAATAATTTTATTCTTCCCTGAATAAAAAAAAGATATCAACATTTCTAGTTGCTCTAAGAAAACTTCGATGTCACCTGAACAAGATCTATAAATCGCAATGATAATTATTTTATTTGTTAGTTCTACTCCACAGAACTGAAACTCCACAGAACGTGAAACTCAACAGTAAATTTACTCAAGTCCAACGGTTTGTATGGAATATTTGTTTTCAAAAATAAGGCAACACCTCCATGTTCCCTGATTTTCCTGCAAAAGGAGCTTGCCAATGTATAACCTGGTATATTCATCACTGACAGGTCAATTTCACGTTGCCAGTGTTCAGAAAAACAGATTGCATCAAACTTCAATTTATCTAGATACAGTTCTATCTGTTCAAGTTTATTTGATATGGCTATGTCTTTATCGACTAGTGGTTCATAATATGACGAAAACTACCTTTACGCTTAGAAAAGGAGTGGGCGAATCTTGTTTGTCCAATAAAAGAATTAGCAACATCAAGATGAAATAAATCATCGATTTTTTTCTTGAAAGGTTCGATGGGCAAGTCGCCTGAAGAGTGGCTCAAGGGCTCGATTTTGCTCTGCCTCGCGTGTCACACGAAAATCCCCCGACCTCGGCGCAGCAAGGTTGCCAAACCGTCCGCTTCCAAAGCGATGCTGAATATAGTCTATCCGAGCGTGGAGAACGTCATGAAGGGCTACTTTGGGGCGGAGAGCGGCGGTTGTTTGCCCTATGGGAAGGCTGTGAACGAAAAACAGAGATGGTTGCAGGATTACATGCAGTGAGTGAAATTTTGATGAAAGGCCTGTTCATTCCAACGTTTAAAACGTCCATGCAATATAATATATTTACCAATGCCTGATCAGAATGTTTCATGAACAAAAATATTTTACATTTCAACGGAAAACTTTAATATAAAACTCGACTTTTTCAGTCATAAAACTAGTACCCATAACTCTTCTCTCTTCTATTTCCCTAAAATATTCAATGCACTTACTAAAAACCCGAAAACCGTTGTAAATTTCAGAATTTTCAAGCAAGAACTAAAAAAATGTGTAGAATGTAGCCCTGTAAAATTTCCAACATTTTTCTAATATTCCCAATTTTTCTACTTTTTATAATTTTTCCAAGTTCTAAGTCTTCCTCGGTATATATAGAAGAATATATATAATAGATATAGGTATGATATGTTCATCAATATAAATATACCAAAAAAACGTAAATAATATCCTGTCATTGCTTAAAAAATCTACCGTTTGTCCGTGAAACGGGTTCAAAAATGAGTGAAACAAATTGGATGAAATTTGACAAATTAGCATTTCTGAGGATAACCCTTCTTTCAGTAATCGAAGCAATGTGAAAGAATTTGTAGAATGGTTGAACCACCGTCACCCCCTGACATTTTTTTTCAGAACATTCTTAGGGGTTGTAATAGAGTTCTCAAATTTTTTTAGCAGGATAATTATCTTCATTTTGTTACTTTTGTGAAAATTTCGTATTCGGCATAGTTCCAAAGGAAATAGTTATTTGTTTAACTAGGCAGCAAAGTAGTAGATTGACTGCCGAGGCTGAATTCATGGCCGAGCGTAGCGAGGCTAGGAATCCAGCTAAGGCAGTCAATCTACTTTGCTGCCGAGTTGAACATATAATTTTTTCTCCGATTGTTCATAATGATATAGGTGGATATTGTAATTGCAAGTTATTACAATTCCCACAATCTCTTTATTTTTTCTGTAGTGTTCAATTAAAATGAAATTTGATAGAAATCGCAGATGTCCATGATGATTATATAGTTTGACAATTCATGAAAATTCTGACATATGTGCGAAAAAATATCGGTATATTTAAATTATTATACAATGGACAGTGATAGCGACCTGGAAGTACTTACACCTCCAGAAATAAGGGAGGTGGCAAAAAATATAGAGTTGAATTTGTTGCCGGAGAAGTCTCGAATGAAATATGAAGGAAATTATAAACGATTTATGAATAATTAATTTTGCTTATCATATCAATCAGCAAAGTAACCACTTTGCTGCCTAGGCAGGAAGAGTAATACTTTGCTGATTGATATGAGTCAGCAAAATTAATATTTGCTGCCAATCGGAGAAAAAAACGTTTTCTTGAATAATGCTAACAGATATTCCTAGTAAAAGTTTGATAAAATCGTAATACACTAGTTATTTATTATACAAGGGGAAAAAAGTAGTAGATTTTAGCTCCAGGTTCTGTTGTCACAGAAAACCGTGAGCTAAAATCTAATATTTTTCCCGTGTATAATATACTATTTTTTCCTATGACAGCAGAAAGGAGGAATCAATATTGAAGATATTACATTATTTTGAAATCTGAAAATTAAGTCCAAAAGAAGATAAAAGGACTTGCAGTTCTTTCTCAGAGACGGTATATTAATGTCTCATTTTTCGGAACAATAGCACAACAAAAGCCATCAACAGTGTGTATATATATATATATGTGATATATATCCGGGAAAAAAGTAATTTATGAAAAGTGATATTATATAACCTGCCAACAGAGATGAAATGTCAAACTTTTTTACCGTCACAGAAAAAAATAATTTGACGCTGGAAACAAAGGAATTGACATTTGTATTAATGAAGGTAGGCGTCATTTTCAACCAAATTTTCAACATCTATTTAAAAAAAACGTTCTGTCTTTGTTTCCACTATCAACTAAATTTTTCATTATAATCATATCAAACTTTTACTAGAAATATCTGTAAGCATCATTTGGGAAAAGATTTTTTTCCTTCGGAACTATGAGGAATACGACATTTCCCATCTGTGATATTTTTTGAAACCATGTCTCGCAATTTTTTCTTATCAGTTTTTCTCGGTTATTGTTCTCATAAGCTTACTGATTGTCACAATATTACACGTGAAAAAAAAACGAAATTTAAACGGCTCTTTTCTCTGCTTTTTATAATAACAGACATGAATTTTCGATATAAATTTTAGGATTTTTGGTAGATGTGCACATGCCAAAAATAGCAAGAGCAGTTGATAGGAATTAAGAATTAATATTCCCATTATTCTTCAGTTTCATTTCTTCTTTTCTTTTAGTCAGTGGAAAGCGGAGTCTTTTGGCAGAACGCGGGCGATGCCTCATATAAAGACTTATTGCCGGGTGTCTCCCTGCCTGAGCAAACTGGCATATTTTCTAATAACCAGTGCCAATCTATCGAAATCTGCCTGGGGAGGTCCTGTCGATACAAATAATGGCAGCTACGTTAGGTCCTATGAGGTCGGGGTACTGTTTTTACCAAAGTTCTTTGATGAAGAGTTTTTCCAGATAAAGAATACTTCCAATGGGACGAATCAGAAGCTGTTTCCGTTTATGTATGATTTGCCATTGACATCCTATAAAAAGGATGACTATCCCTGGTGTAATTAATATTTTATCACTTAGTTTGTATATGTATCATGTAATATTGGAATTTTGAATAAATTTATATTTAATTTTTATTACCTCCAAAAAATAATCACGCCTCACTCACGCCTCTGACGCGTATGCTTTTGTCCGGTATTGCCGGTGTTGAAGAAACAAATAGTGCAATGCTGACAACATAAAAGCGCAATATCTAATGAAAAAGCGCAATAGTAAGAAAATTTTGCTCATGAAGCTAGTTTACTACTGCCTAATGGATAATTTCGTCACACAAGTCAGAGATTTGTGAAATTTATTTCAAATGAGCGTGGCGTAATATATCAACAGCGTTAGCTACACAAGACATTTACTTGTTAGTCTTTATATTGCCGCTTATTTTCAGTTCCCAATTTTTGATTACGTGCAACTGATTGCTGCAATTAATTTTTCCGGCAATTATAATAATGATAATCAGGTTATTCTACACTGAATCGGAATGACTATCTAGCTTGCAATGTAATTTTTGTCAGAAAATCTGTGTTATAATTCTTATCAGGGCTTGTGTTTGGAAGAAAACAATGAGAACAGTAATAATATTCAATATGCATCAAATAATGCATAAATGTTGTAGGAAATACCGAAAATCCAACATTTAATCCCTATATTTCAAATAAAAATAGGTACGGACGTAATCGCATTTACTGCAATGCAACAAAAAATTGCGACAGTTGTTCAAAATGGCACAAGTGCGTTGGCACGCAATGAAAATTGCTGCTGGTTTTTTTCGGGAAATTGTGAACTGTAAAGCAGCTCTTACAAGTAATAAAAAGTGCAATTTTTTCCGAAAAATCGCAATGGCGCAAAACCAAGTTGAAAAGCGCAATTATTGGGCTTTTTGTGCCTCATTGGAACTCATTGGCAACACTAAAAACTTTTGTCACTCGTTTTCGTCTAGGAAATGTCGTTAAATTTCTATACATCTCTATGTCTAGGAAGGATTACAGATTAAATGGCTAGAGAACCTCTGATTCAAGAAATAGGACAGAAGAAGATTATAATATAATCGCAAAGTGAACGACTATTAAAAACAGAAGAAGAGTCCGTCTGTCATCTTTTTTCAAGTTCAAGTTGTTCCTAAAAAAAAACTTCTTTTTATTTGAATGCCATGGAGTTTTGCCTAGAATTTCCCTTGTTCTGATCTGATTTTTCATTTCACATTGTTCATCTAAAATGTCCGATGACCGTCGGAAAGCGAACAGACCGAGCACGGGTACAGTTCCAAAAATAAAACCATACAATGGAATTGCTTTGCCCACTGAACAAGAGAGATCAAGAAATCTGACTAATAATCTGGTACGTATCCAATCTGTATTTATAATAGACACAGTTCCGACTAAAAATAAGTTTACATATATAGAAATAGTTTTAGTTTGTTCCGCACTACCTTGTTTTCAGGTCAGGTTTAGAGGGCATCCTCAAGAATCCATCAATACCATCAATAATAGGAGGAGAAATCCTCAGAATAACTATTTCACTATGAATACTACTCTTGAAGAACCATCTCTGCCTCTAATGCAGAATGGAACAGTGAATTTCAATAGCAATGGTAAAGATTTTTCTTCCCTATGTAAGCACTACAAAAATAATTCTCATCTCCAGGTGGTACTGTATCAGGAAACACAAGCTCAACAGCTTCCAGAAGAAACTCATCTAGTTCAGCACTCAAGTGTGATAACATCATGAAATACCCAGACAAAAAACAAATAGAAAACAAACTGGAACAGATTAGGGAATACTTGAAAATAACAAATTCTCTCATGACTAGTATGAGGAACACTGATGAACAGGTAAAAATATAGCTAGATTCTTATCAAAATGTTTTGAATAATAGCCTTAAAGTTGCAAACTTTGTTCCATATACAGACTGATCAGTCTGAGTTAGACAGTTTGGGCAGAATGTTGAAAGATCTGATAGATAGTGAGAGGAAGTTGGTGAACATTTTGGAACAGTGGGATATTTATAAGGATGGAACTGAGCAGGTGATATCATATGTGACATCTTTATGAGAACCCAATTCAAACACCTAACCATTTCACAGTGTAGTGTGTGTTCTAATTCAATTCAAAATAAAAAATAAGCCTATGCTGCCTAGCAGTAGTTTTGATTTGTTATTTTTTTGTTGTGAATAGTTTGAAGGCATGGAATGACATTTTACTAAACCAAATTATACCTGCTTGGAAACATTTTTCAAATGTACTGAATTAATCTGTTTCATTTTTTTATGCATATTCAGGTTATGGAAAACAGTCATGATAGAGAATCAGTTCATAGTGGGGCATCTTTGAGTAGAAAAAATGATTTTGTTGTTAATGGTGTAGACAGTTCTGAAGAAATTGATGTGTTAAGGGGGCAACAACTGGCCCTATTGCAGCTGCAGCAGAATGCAGAAAATAAACTTCGCCAAGCCAGGCATATTCAGACCAACCTACTGTTACCACATGGTTAGTTTCAATTCAAATAATTATCTTTTCAAACAAAAAATCACAATGATGTTTTTTTATTTATGTATATGATGAAAATGCTTACAGGTTCTAATGATTGTAGCAGTAATACCAACTTTAAGGATTCCAAAAGTTTTCTGGATTTTGATATAGCTATTAGAGAATTGGAAGAAAGGTCTAAGGGGTTGCAGTCATCTAATTCATTTGTTAAAGTAGGTTGAAGTCAATTGTCATATTTACTTATCAATAGAAATTGTGTTTTCTTGGTGAGGCATTGATTTCACAGAAGATTGACTGATTCATTAAAATAAATTAAAAGTAAAAAAAACTTTTCAATAAAAAGCTTTCATGCTCTAAAAAGAAGAAAATAACATTTTTCTCAATAATTTTAACTATTATCATCAACTTATAACCTCATTATACACAATTTATGTGATCATAAAAGTTTGTCTCGCGATTCACTTGTGTGAATGAACTATTACTTATTTAATTATGTAAAATCTGCTGAGATAAAATCTTTAAAATTACAATCTTATCTAATATTGATCATTGCAACAAGCTTTTATGATCATATAAATTGTGTATAATGAGGTTATAAGTTGATAGTTAAAATTATTCGGAAAAATTTTATTTTCTTCTTTTTAGAGCATTTAAATAAAAGATTTTTATTGAGAAGTTTTTTTTTACTTTTAATTTATTTTTTAATTTTTGGTTATCACTAGCTGGATATTTTGATTTACTCTCAGCCTTTTCATTTGATACCCATATTGTAGAAGTATATTGAAAATGATCATTCCGCCATCTTGGATGGTCCGCCATAATGGATTTAGAATGACGTCACATCATTTTTCCAGTTACTCTCAACGAGCCTTTTCATTTGATACCCATATTGTAGAAGTATATTAAAAATACCTATTACGCCATCTTTGATGGTCCGCCATATTGGATTTAGAATAACATCAAATTATTTTTCGAATTACTCTCAACAAGCCCTTTCATTTGATACCCATATTGTAGAAGTAGATTAAAAATGACCGTTCCGCCATCTTGGATGGTCCGCCATATTCGATTTAGAATGACGTCACATAATTTTTCGAGTTACTCTCAACGAGCCTTTTCATTTGATACCCATATTGTAGAAGTATATTGAAAATAGCTATTCCGCCATCTTGGATGGTCCGCCATATTGGATTTAGAATAACGTCACATTATTTTTCGAGCCCTTTCATTCGATACCCATATTGTAGAAGTAGATTGAAAATGACCGTTCCTCCATCTTGGATGGTCCGCCATATTCGATTTAGAATGACGTCACATCATTTTTCGAGTTACTCTCAACGAGCCTTTTCGTTTGATACCAATATTGTAAAAGTATATCAAAAATAGCTATTCCGCCATCTTGGATAGTCCGCCATATTGGATTTAGAATAACGTGACACACCTTATCGTGCATTGTCATCCAAACTGAACGTGTATACAAAATTTCAGCTCAATCGGTTGATGATTTCTACTTCAAAATTGAGTTCAAAGATTCCACCCGAACATACATACATACAAACATACGATGCAAGTTAAATTAAAGCTTTTAATTAAAAAATCAGAAATAATATATTTCTTATTTTTATTTATAAAGTTTATCAAGTCAGAAACTTAAATTGCCTTTTTTTTATTTTTGTAATTTAGGCTGAGGACAATATTATGATCAAAGTGGAAGGCCTTCAAGAGGAAATAACACAAATGCACCATGCCAATGATGAAAGAGAAATGTTGATTCGAACCCTGGATAACCAGGATGCTGAGCTCAGGTCTCAGCATGCTGAGCTCCAGAGCAAGCTATCTGAATTGCAGAGCAAGAAAATGCAAGTGGACAGACTAGTTGAGCAGCTACAGAGTTTTGGAGAAGAAGATGATGAAGATGTTGGTAAGCAAAAAATCAATTAAATGGGGATTTATCCTCAATCATGCAAAAGGATATATGGTGAATAATTTGAAGAAAAGGGATAAATAGGTTTTGATAAAAATGCCAAATAGCCTAGAGGAAAGTGTATCATATCTTGTTTTATTCTCGGTTTTATTCATCATCTTCAGTCTTATTAAGGGGAGAATGAATATTGTGTTTTTCCTCATAGGTAACCAAGTTCGCAAAATTTGCACAATGAAAGATCAAATCACCAAACTGAAAGACATGTTGGAAATAGTGAAGACCAATGAAAACATCTTGGAAAACACAAAAGCGTCAGAAGAGGCCCAAGCAACCTGCCTAGACATTTGCTCAACAGCAGAAAACTTCCTCGAAAAAGACGTGAAAAAATGCCGATTGCCTGTCAAATACGAAAATGACACCGGCAGCGAAGGCAGGACTAAACAAGTCAACAAATACACCAGAGAACAGGGCAATAGGGTCGCCAAACACAATAGCTCCAATTTGAGTCAAAAGGTGGTACTACAAAATGAATTGGAATCTAAAAAACGTGAGTTGGAGGAGATCATGGGGAGACATAAAGGTGAGTTGAAAATCAGGTGTGGGATTCTTACCACACCTGACACCATAAAAATAATACCCTGTTTATATGTGACTTATTTCTTATTTTCGTTTTTATTTCAGCTAGCACTTCAAATTTGAATCATGATGTTGGTGTTGATACAAAATCAGAGTTCAGTTGTACAAGCAACACTAACAATGATGCTTGGATCCCGTTGATTCCACAGAATCATAGTGATTCTGATAGATTTTCAAGGTAAACTCATTCATTTTCTGAGTTTTTTCATCAGTAAAATGTGAAGCAACTTCATTATTTTGTTTTCAGTGATGAATGCCAGGATGAGTACACCCCGATAACCGACAATCACAACGTTCTCACCTTACCTTGTCTGAATTACTCGCCATCTAACTCTTCCAAGCAACGATTCGCGGAAAATTTTCGGCGTCCCGAATATGCGGGGACAGCAAGCTCAGCGAGGTCCCGCACTCCTGATCTGAATGTTGGCGGGACCCATTCTGTTCCTTATGTCAGGGAACAGCCTAGGTCCAATAGTGAGCAGGATAGGAGATCTCAGGTGAAACAGAACGCAAGAATTCATGATGCAATTGGCCTGTTCAAGAAAAAAATATTAATTTATTAATTGAAACTAAAAGTCATTTGGAAGGGATTCCCAAAATTTCAGACTTCTGTGAACGTTTAAACCCTCAAATTAATTAAATAAATTGGAATGAAAACGGGGCGTGGTTACTGTGACGTCACACTGTGTTGCCAACTCAGTAGATTTCACACTAGAACTGATGGTTTGAGTTTTTTTATTTTATGACAAAATGAGGCATCTAGTAGATGGTGATTTTTCTGAAATATGTGCCATCTGAAATTGAAATAGAGATTATCCCCTTTTTTTTCAATTCCAGTTGAATTTAAACAGAAAAAAATTTGCTCCATTTTTTTAAAATGAGCAATTATAGAAATAAAATGAGTTATATTAGGCCTGTTCTCATCTGATGAGTTGAAAAGTAACCAAGATACAGGAGGTGCTCAAAAAGTGAGAATTTTCAACTGACTGACTGTGAAAATTATGTTTGTGATATTATTCGTTTCACAAAAAAAGTAAGGCAGTAAGTAATGTGAAAACCGCAACACTCTATCTCCAAAGATAACTGAGATATCACACAAAAGATGGCAAAAGCATCAAAAACTGGGCACAAGGTACATACCAACTTGCCTTCGACCTCCATTGAGGTCCTACAGTCCAAAGTGTTCTGAGATGATGTGTTTTATGTAGGCTTCGTTACTAGCTCCATACGCTTCCTTAGAAGCAGCACTATTAATTGGAACGCAACAGTGAATCGTGCTGGACTATCCCCAGCTGATGCTCCGAAACTTTACAATATTCAATTTGTAAATTAACTATTAAATATAGATAGGAATCGAACCCACGATCTAGCGGTCATGAGTCTGGCGCTCGTCCACTGCGCCAATCCTGTCTCAATTGAATTTAGTTTACTTACCTTTGCAATTTTATTCCTAACTTCCACTTTTATGTAGTCTTTGTTTTTATCAAAATAGTCCATCACCATATAGTTATTGAAAATTGCAGAATCTATTAATGAAACCAGTATCTAGCTAGTTAATAGCAAAATCCACTTTCAAAAATTTAAGATGATGCAGCTGGAAACAACTTTTTCATGTGAAATGCAATGGTGTACTGCTGGATATCAGACCATAATATGCAAGGTGACGTCACATTCGGGTTTGCCGCTTTTTAATTGTAGAGTTCCTAAATATACTTGACACTGCTGATTCTGACGTTTTTGAAAACGTGAAAACAGCAGTGTCAAGTACATTCAGGAACTCTACTTAATACAGCTCCATTTTCAACTATTAATATCTAAGTACATGAGTAGTGGGGCAAGTTCTGAAAATTTCACTAGTTATTTTGACGATTGTGTCTTAAAAAATAACGTTACAAAAATCGAGAGAATATTTCATTGATAACAAGCCCATTTTGCACGGCTCGTTCCGTTTTCAGATCCAGAAGCAGCTGCAACTCATCAAGAGCGTGTGTGACTCGATGCTGGAACAGCAATCGGCCCCCTCCCACTCCAACGTCCACCAGTTGCGCAACAATCTCACCCCCTCTCCGCTGTACTCGGAGACGGGTAGGCGGGGCTCGAACACGGTCACGCCCTCCTGGCCGGAGATGGGCGGCTACCAGAATGTGCTGGCCACCAACGCCATACAGGCGCAATCCTTCATGCTGAACACGTTGAACCAGTGCTGCCAGATGCTGTGGATGCAACAGAAGGAGATCACCGGTCTGAAGAGTGTTGTATCGGCGGTGAGTCTTGAGGGGTTTCTGTGGGGAATGGTTATTGTGGGAGGGGCAACTGAGTTGACCACGCCCACGTCCAGGGCCTACTCTATCTCACCGGGCCGGAGCATCTCTCTCGTGACGTCACACTAGTAGGGACAAACTTGAGGCACTGAAACTTGTCTCTCCCAATTCATTGATGTACCACGGGAGAACGGTTACACAAAAAATATCAAGCAATCAAATATATACAGAGCAGAATTTTCTAAAAGATGAATCTACATTGGTATTGGTATTGGTAGGTTGGATGGTGACAGATGCGCTGGGACCTGATTAGATCTATTGTGCCCCATCTGCTTCTGCTATATCAAGGATTTCTTGTTCATAGCAGCCCCTCAAGATTCAATTCCTTCAGGAATTTGAGGATTTTGAGGGGGTCTAGTTGTGGTATTTCTTCCACAGTCAGCTGGTGTGTTCCCAGTATGTTCAATCTTTTGTGATGTACAGGGTTATCCATCGAGAAGGCCCACCCCCATATCTTCGTTATACTTTCACTTAGAAAAAAAAATAATATGCGGAAATTCAATGCCGCAATGAGACCTTCCTAAGGCATTCATCAGAGGTTATACAGGGTGATTCCTAAGAGCGTGGCAAACCACAAATCAATTTTTTTAAATGGAACACCCTGTTTTTTAAATTTTTTTCGAGATTTGTGATCTTTTGCGATTCAATCATGCCTCTCATAGCATCTAGATTCACTGTAATTTTTCTTCAAATTATCGAGGACCAGTAACAAACTGATATTTCAATTCCAGTGAAATGATCATTCAGATGTTTATTGCAGAATAGTTAAAATATTTCAGACGCCTCCCATGCTAAATCTATCTGCTGTGGATATATGTTGGCACTGACTTTTTTGTAGTCAATTTCATTGCATACAAATCGATATGATCTGTATCTCAAAGGGTATTAGGAGTGTTTATGTATAAAGATAATCTGGAAACACTTGAATGATGTTAGAAATTCTACTGGAGTAGTAGTTATTAGGCAAAAACGCTAATTGCCTACTAATTATGTTCGGCTGAGGAGTATACACATATTTTAGGAATAATCTCATATTAAAAAAAATGATTTGAAAATATTTTTAATATATAAAAATTGAAAAGAACAAAAAATGTGAAATTTGAATTGTCTCGGAAATCCAAAAATGTTTCAATATACAGTGTGTCTCATTAAAACATTCAAAACTAGTGGAAACTATGCTGAAACTCTCTTCTCCACACGCTATTTACCTTTACAAATTCTCATTTTGGTACATCAATTATTCAAGAAGTTATGCCTTGTGTAATAGATTCGCTGACACCCGGTAATATCGATAATATTATTGATCCACTTCTTTTTCAGCTGCAAGAAACGATAGAAACCAATAGGCAGCAACCGGCCGCCGTCAGCCATCTCCCCATCCCCACTCCCACCCAACCCCCTCTCCACCCCCAGTACCGCCCCTCCGCGCCCCACCACGCCCCCAAAACCAACCACGTGTCCGCCGCCTTCTCCCTGCCCAACCTCAACCAGTACAACGCCCCGCCCTCTAACGTAATCCCCGCCCCCTCCGGCTACATTAACGAATCGGCTGGCGCCAGCGACAGGCTGCCAGATCCGAGATCCAATAACAACGCTATCGAGCACGCTAACAACCTGTTGCATGCCAACAACTTGTTGCAGGCTAACAACCTGTTGCCCAATCAGATGTGGCACGGCCAGGCGCTGAACAATCAGGTGGCGCCCGGCATTAGAGCTAACAATTATTGGGACAATTTCAGGAGGTAATAACGTCTTTGGTAGTTTTTTTTTTCAATATTGTTTTCAGAATACACGGCGAAATTCATTCATGCACTACAGTCTGTATATACAGTGTGACCCACTTCTAATGGAAACACCCATGCATCTTACGTAATCGTTGGGTAAGGATCCTGAAATCTACTGAAGCGAGAGATATACCAATAATGCACTTTATGACCAAGTGGGGTCATCTTCAGTGATATACACTGCTCGCCAATAGCCATGGAACCACCCCAATTTCCGGAAAATGACATTAAGAGTCAAAATAGGTCGAACATCACTTCAGATTCGGAATCAGGACGCCCAATTCTCTAACAATTCATATTTTTCCTGGAAAATTTTCAGTTCTGAAAAATTAAATTTTTTCGCACTTTTTACGGAAGCACCCCCGTATCTTACGTAATTGACTTTATCTCTGGACTTTCCCTTTCTCCTGCAAATTTTAGAACCTGTGATGGTCTATTTTAAATAATCCGCCATAATGTCGTGTGGTGCGGAATGCGCATGTACTAATGGTGTGGTTCGCGAGTTTCGGTTCCGTACAGGGGTAGTTAGCCGAGGTCGGCGATAGAGGACAGAGGGTGCTAGGTCCTTCGTCATTTTTTATGTTGATACCGGCGGCATGTAACCCGGTCAATTATATCTTGTAACCAGTCATTGTTAATGTGTTATCGTCGATCCATAATAAATAGTATTTGTTGCCTGATTGAGCTGTATTTACCCACAAGAATAACCCACGACCTGTGATTCCTTGAGCTAGCCGAAGGAGTAGACCAGTGCAAACCCTACCTCAATAATTACGTGATATACGGGGATGCTTCTATAAGAAGTAAGACAAAATTTAATTTTTTTGAACTGAAAATTTTCTAGGAAAACTATGAATAGTTAGTGAATTGGGCGTCCTGATTCCGAATTCGAAGTGATTTTCAACCTATTTTGACATGGCTGTTGGCGAGCAGTGTATATCACTCAAGATAACCCCACTTGGCCATATAGTGTATTTTTCATATATCTCGCTCCAGCAAATTTCAGGATCCTTACCCAACGATTACGTAAGATACAGGGGTGTTTCCATTAGAAGTGGGTCACACTGTATACAAAAAAAAAATACTTGGGATATTGTTTGTCAAATGTCAGAGTGTTTTCAGTTAATTTATCATGTATTATTTTGTTTCCATTGCACATAGATAGTGAATTGCTACAAGCTACAAAAATGTAATATTTTCATCTAAAATATTCAAATTCTGATTTTTCAAATACTGCTATAACCTACTATCATATTTTCAGTATGTTGATGTAAATAAGATTATAGAATAAAACATTTTCCTATGATTCAGAAGTGCTTCTGATGATTGTGGGATGAAAAATATTCGCGGTCGGGAAGGTAATTAGATGACCTTGGCGACCGTGAATTATTTCTTCAAAGTGCAACTTATAATATACGAGGGGTTTGATCGGTCATGGTTATCTTAAAACTCTGAGAAATAATTCCTATGACCTATTCATACCATGATATGTGCTGTTGAACTTAATTTTATATTTTTTTAATTTTGCCTCTTCTCATAGGGAAATATTTATGACTCAAAGTTGTGGAGCCGACTTCGATCATATACCCTGTGTATTTTGAGATTTATTTTGAATTTATTCTAGTAAAACCACGATCGACGAAACATTTTTGATCATATGAATAATTGAAATTGTTTATTCACGTTTTTCTGTAAAAAGAACATTGCTTGGATCATCAAAAATGTTTTCATGTTCTGATGCAATAAATAAGATGCTATTGTGAATTTTTGAAAACATTGTCAGAGTGCAATAACTTTTCTGAAATATCACTATTTAAAGTTTTTGTTTTATTGACTTCATTTGGTCCTCAAAAGACTATTTCAAAACTTTTTTTTATCTCTTGGAGTGTAGTATAATAGACTATTTAGTGAACAAAAAATAATAGTTGGCGCCCTAGAAGTGGTTGGCCTTCTTCTATCAGCTATAGGTCCCGCTCTGCGATATGAAAATTTTACAATATTTTTTGTACATCTTTTGACTGATGCTCTCATCAGTAGAACTCTCAGGTAGAACCTTGAATACAGACTAAAATTTTCCATAAAACCATAAAATTGGAAAACTTTTTTTTATTATACAGGGTGTCCCTAAAAGGTCTGTACAAAATCCTTTATCCACGAAGATAATAGCAAACATTTTTTATTCAAAATAATTTAAATATTCCAATAAAAACCGAAATATTTCGTAAACGGCTTACTTTAGCGAATTTTCAGAATTGTACCTTCTTTGCTTGAAAATATTAAGTAGTAAATTATTTCATCAACAAAAAAGTGAAAAACCACACTGAAAAAAAGTTATGGTAATTCTAAACCATTCGCGATAGAAAATAACACATCGCTTCACCTGACGGCAACAACTTCAACACTTCTGAGCGGTTTGTTTTGATGATTTGACCAATAAACAAACAAAAAACAAATGTGAACCAATAAAAACAAAGTAAACATGCCGCTTTGACAGCATTCAAGAACTCCGATAGGTGGCGTACGCTTATTTTCTATCGCGAATAATAAGTGCATTGGTAAGTGCCCTCTAATGGTCATCGAAACCAAAATATTTCCACTTTATAGTGACTAAAAGATTCATTTTGTAATAATGTCTCAGTTGTTTGTGTGTGTAGGTCATATTGGATTATAAAAATGTTTCATTATCCTCTTTCCTTATAACTATCAAATACACTTCTTCGACGAATTGGATCAGTTGGTTAATTAGGCCTGCCCCCAGGTAGTGTTAGCCCATGGCCCCACAAACTCACGGTCCCACCTTGCAATCGCTTCACCCCTCCGATCTATTTTCCAGCTACTCCCGCCAAAACCTGCTCTCCACCAAAAACTTCGAGATGCTGCAAAACCTGCCGCCCCCTTTCCCAGCCCCTCTCCCTCAACAGCCGCCCCCTCCGAAAAGCAACGCCGACCACGCCCCGGAAACCGCCCCCAGGCGCAACCCCCCGCCCCACCAGCAGCCCCCCGACGTGCTGAACGTCAACCCCCACCCCGGGCCGAGGCTAGACGTCAACCCCCATCACGTCAACCCCGACTCCGGCTCCAGGCTGGACGTTAACCCCCACCCCGGGCCGAAGCTGGACGTCAACCCCCACCCCGGGCCGAGACTGGACGTCAACCCCCACCCCGGGTCGAGGCTGGACGTTAACCCCCAGCACGTCAACCCCGATTCCGGGTCTAGGCTGGACGTTAACCCCCACCCCGGGCCGAAGCTGGACGTCAACCCAGATTCCGGGTCGAGCCTGGACGTTAACCCCCACCCCGGGCCGAGACTGGACGTCGCCTCGGCAGGCGTCCCGACGCTGGGGACGGCGAACGGGGGCGGGATAGCGGAGCGTCCGAATGCGTCGGTGGAACGGGGGGCGGTTGAGGCGGAGCCTGAGAGAAGAAGGAACGAGTGGCGGGAAGAGGTGGTCGAAGAACAGGCTTCCAAGTACGTAGAAATTTCTTTTTCATTTCTTCAATCAACGGATTCACCTTTTCAATATGAATATCACAATTTATCAAGATAGCATAAGGAAAATAACATAACAGCATCGTCAAATAAATACTCGCTTGATGATCTGGAAAATTGCAAGAGTAAGTATAACCAGTTCCTAAAAAAAAGAAATAAGACCCTACCTAGCAACTACAGACCGATCTATCATTTCAAAGATCATGGAGAAAGCTATCAACATCGAGCTCATGGAATACCTGGAACACTTAGGTATCATCAACGATAGGCAATATGGCTTCCGTCATCAGAGATCAACTGGTGACCTGCTCGCTTACGTCTCACATATATGGCAGCAATTTATTGAAAAATATGGTGAAACCTTAGCCGTGGCACTTGATATCTCCAAGGCATTCCATCGAGTCTGGCACCACGGACTCCTCGCCAAGCTTCCATCTTATGGCTTGTCTCCCCAGCTATGTTCTCTGCTAGCTAGTTTTCTCTCAAACAGGTCTCTCCATGTAGTGGTCGACGGAGTTTCATCTGACTCTCTTATCATAAATGATGGTGTTCCACAAGGATCAATTCTAGCACCAACACTATTTCTACTCCAAATCAATGTTTTGTTGGAAGCAACTTCATGTCCAGTACACAGCTTTGCGGATGATAGTACCCTCCATACCGCCTTCTATTCCAGGGCTCCAATACCAGTCAGGCAAATCAGAAACGAACGTTGACAACATAAATATGGACTTGGCAACAATTCTCGAATGGGGATCCAATAACTTGGTAGATTTCAATGCAAACAAAACACAAGCATGCCTTTTTTCTAGAAAAGCCGATCTCACTGTGCCCAACATAAGCTTGTCAGGAGTAACCATACCTTTGAGGACATCCATTTCGATGCTTGGTATTACTATCAGCAATAACCTATCTTGGGAAAATCACGTGAGATCAATTGCTAAAAGTGCATCCCAAAAACTTGGTTTTTGTTTCGGGCCAGGAGCTATTTCACTTCCAGTCAGCTGCTTATGATATATAAGGCACAGATCCGACTTGTCCTGGAATATTGTTCCCATATTTGGAGTGCAGCACCCAAACATACCCCAAAACTGTTGGATTCTGTCCAAAAAAGAGCAATTCGTCTCGTGGGTGATGCCTCGCTCACAAACTCACTCACTTCTCTGGAACACCATAGACAAGTTGGCGGTCTGGCTTCATTTTATAGATATTTCCATGGACGATGCTCTTCTGAAATATCGACAATTGTTCCTCCCTTGGCAGTCCCCGCGAGATTAACCCGTCGAGTTGAGGCTCCGCACCCCTTCGTGGTCACTTTGGAGACCTGCAGAACATCTCTTTCCAAAGACTCGTTCATCCAACGAACAGCGAGGCTCTCGAACACATTGCCAAGGGAGGTGTTCCCCGAGCCATATAGAAATTCAAGAAGAACACCAATCCTACCTTATTTTCCGTGGTTCTCACGATGTTCTCTGAACATTACAGGATATCCCTTTTCGTGGGAAACACAACATAAAAAAAAAACTACACATGAGTATAATTTGACAATGATCTGTTACATATTCCAGATCTAAATTGTTCGAGGAACTTCGCGAAAACGTCTACAAAGAAGTGGCTTCTCTCATATCGGCCAACGAGACTAGGCCTCATTTTCTCATCCAGCTGTTCAGAGATCTGCAGATGATCGGCTCAGACTCGCTCAGATTGAAAATCCTGCAGTCCATCCAGGCGGTCGTGTCGCACTCTATTGTTTCTACTCAGAATTCCAACAGACCCGTGAGTATATCATTTCTAGAACAATCTTAACATTCTTGTTTTTACATTGGGGATAATTATTTTGGAATAATATTCCTGAAATATTTGAGAATAATTCTGAGCGTTCTTCAAAGTTAGAGACAAAGGACCCCGCAGCATTTACATTGAAATCTTGTCTACGGTGAAATTTCGTGAATTTCGCCCTGTATCTCAAGAACATGGAGAGCTGTGAGAATTCTGTTTGCGGCATTGTCCGTTTCACAAAAAAGTAAGACAGTAATGTGAAAACCGCAACTCTCTATCTCCAAAGACAACTGAGATATCGCACAAAAGCATTGAAAACTGGACACACTGTACATTATGAGATCGCTCTTCAAACATCAGCTGACAGATATCAAGACATCTTTTTTATCGGAATGAAATCAGACACTTTCAGAGCTACAAAGTCTGTTAAGTCTCTTAGAACGTTAGTCAATATCTTATCAGAATATTATTCACACACATCATCATAGGTGGGTGATGCTTGTTGGATTTTTTTTTCAATGATAGTTCATTTTTTTTAGTCATTGGATTCTCAGCCAACTTCAAGTGAAGCAGATGCATCTCACATATCTGATAATTTTTCGATGCAACCCACAGTATGGTCCAAGTCCATCAAGAATTTGCACACCTGGATAAGTAACAACGTAAATATAAATTTTAACTCTCTTTCAATTGTTTTGATTGTGGGATGTTTTGTAGGATTCCTCCGACTATCAAAATATCCTGAAAGGTGTCGTGCCTTTTTTGAATGAACGGGAATTCGAGGTCGTCCAAAGTCAGCTGCTTTCCTCTCTGAAAAAGACTCTGTTAGAATCGGGAGCTTTCAAGGAGGCTATCAGAGATACCGTATTCCAGAAACATTTTTCGAACGTGTTGGATGAAGTTTTAGAACAGTATTGTGGAAAAAAGTAAGGAAAACTTGATTTCCATCGAATTTCATTATAAATATCTGATCTGATTCCTAATGTTTTTTCTTATTATTATTCAGTTGGTCTCTACCAAAACCATTGAAACATGAGGGAAAATAAAATAATAAAGTGCATATTCAATTTATATTTCATAGAAACGACTGTAAATCCATAGGAACCTAAACTATCTATGAACTACTCATAATTTGTTGTTCTATTATTTTTGACAGAGAAGAATTGAAAACTTCAAATTTGAATTCCAATGAAGTTGATACAATTCATACCCATGAAACAAGACAATTAAATTTCTTGATACCAAATTATTAAAAGTCAAATTTTGGCAAACAATAACCGTGCCTAATGAGTTTAAAAATATACAATGAGCAGAAAGATTTGAAATTACTTTGAAAAATTTGCTCATTTTATTTACTATTATACTAATCCTTCACAAAATGGGTCATATTTTTTATCCATTTTTTTTAACAATTGTGCAATAACCATTTTTTTGATTTATTGTATATAAAGAGTGATTCAAATGCATTTTATTCAAAATACGAAATTTCATTTCTACATGTTTCTACTAAATACTTGAAGAGTATTTATTTCTCTCTTATTTACTCAAAATTTCAATACCTAATATCTATATGGGGAAGTACCAATATTTCACGTTTGAGTCCACTAATGAAATTACAAAATAAAACATTGAAGTGTATTTTCAATTTAAATTTTCTCCAACCAACCATGAATTTATACAAACCTAGAGATTTATTAGATCTAACATCATTATATAAACTTAAAATATGTTGTTTTATTCAATTTGTCCTATATAAATTGAAAATTTCGAATTTAAATTTCTATGAAATCAATTCATTACATAATCATGGAACAAGACAATCAAATTTACTAATAGCAAATACGTATAAGTCAAATATCGGCAAACAATCCATTTTTCACACAGGAATCGTTCTATACAACTCATTATCAAGTCAATTGAGGAATATACAGGAAGCAACTAGATTCAAAATTAACTTGAAAAAATATCTACTTCAGAGACCTTGATGAGACAAGGTTGGTATTGCATGATAATTTGCATTTTTTTTCTTACTTGTTATATCTTATTATAATTTCATAATAATTGTATGTATAACATTATGTATATTGTTTATGTATCCCTATTATAAACAACTATGTTTCTTGGGGTAATAAAGACAATCAATCAATCAAATTGATTGATTGATTGTCTTTATCAAATTCATCATCAAATTGATTGATTGATTGTCTTTATTACCCCAAGAAACATAGTTTATAATAGGGATACATAAACAATATACATAATGTTATACATACAATTATGAAATAATGATGAGATATAACAAGTAGAAAAAAAATGCAAATAATCATGCAATATCAACCTTGTCTTCTATAAGTCTCGGTCATTTGCCTCCTCGTGGCAAATGAATGCAGAATTCATTCCAATGATCAAATTGCAACTATCATATTAACATGTACTACAAACACTCTACTTAAAAATGACTGTTTCAAGTCTAACGATCAATTGGGTAAAAAATCCAACAACAGGAAATTGAAAACACTCACTGGCTAATTTTTTAGGTAATAGGAATTCTCCAAGATAAATATAGGTAATTATAACAAACGGCATGTCTATCAAAATAAAATAAATTTCCCCCAATTTTCTTTCGATCAATCTCTCCATAAGTTTATGTTCTGCGTGCCCTGTATAAGTAGGTGTGAAGTTTACCTCTAATGAGATTAAATCACTACAATTTTTGCGAATATATTCAATTCGAATGGGTTGCTGTAGGTGGGTATTTGTGTTTTATTCTGGCTTTTGCTTTGAAACTTCGTTTTTCCATAATAAAATCGAATGAGATGCGAAGAAGGGCTCAGTTGACGACTGGCATCCTCTTTTAACCGGAAGACCTTCAAAAAAACAGCAAAATCGGCTCAATAATCTAAAACTAAAATTGAAATACGCGGTCGCCTTATAGCGCCATATGCGCTTGTCGTTTCGAGCCGCTGGTTAGGCCTCTCTAAGGTGACGTCACCACGGAGCCTGCAGCCTTATAGTCTCGATGGTAACGACTGGATCAGTTATTATGATAATTTTTTTTTACCTAACTTACTGTGACTGTAGTTCGAAGGGGATGCGTTTCAGGACACATGTTTATACGAGGAAAAAGTTTTTTTATATCCCAACAAGACAATTTTCCATGTTATTTTTTTCAGGGTGAAAGATATCAAAACTCACCTGTTACAAACGCTCAATGAACTGTTGTGCGGAGAAATCGGATTCATCCAGTTCATTCAAGAAACTGAACCTGAGAATCTACTTTCCCAGGTTGTGAATGAAAATGCAGACTTTCTGCAAGATCCTCGATTTGAACAAACGAAAATCGTCTCCGGACAGGTGAACACATTTCTTTTCCCCAATTTTAATTATTTTCAGTAATATTGCTGAAAATGTATTTCCAAGTTTGAATATTATTTTCAAAAGAATCAATATTTTTACTATTATACCATCACCAAGTTGGAATTGATGGTTTCCACTTTTTTTTTTGTTTTCCACTGATTTTTCCTTTCCAGTTTTTCCTTTTTCTGTGAACTTTGAAAAAATCCATAACATTGAATCATTGACTATCTTAGAACTATTTCAACGAGGTTCTGTTGATTATTCCACTCATTTCCAAATTCACGTTTTTGATTGGTTGGAATTTCAGTGTGTGGGCGTCGAGAATATGCAAAATGGCGATTTAGCAGAGGCAGATCAGACTAGGATGAATGAAGAAGATATGGAAATGGAAGAAGAGGAAGAGGGAGCAGTAGGTGGCATTTTAGAACAGCCTTCCACTGCAGAATCTCACGGAATCTCACAGGTAATCAACATTTGATTGATTGTTTTTATTACCCCAAGAAACATATCTGTTTATAATAGGGATACATGAACACATAAAAAAATATACAGGGTGTCAATTTGAAAACTTCCCACCCTTAATATCTCCCTTCAAGTGAATGATATGCAAAAACGAGAGGTTAGGTCAATTTTATTTTCAGGGGGGACACTTTGAATGAACCTCATGGGTCAACCCCCTAGGCGTTCAATTCTCTTTTCAACGGTATCTTACTTTACTATTTTTTGATGAGCAGTTTCTGAAAAATACCGTTCTGAAATCACAGTAGTGATCAGAACTTGCTTCACTCAGATGCATTGTTTTCAGGACCAAAATTATTGTTTTGAATCTCCCATTGATAAAAATGGTTAGAAGGTTAGGTGGCATCGTTACAACAGAAATAAATCTAGTCTACATGTTTGATTTTTTGATTATTGGTTATATTACTTAAAAAGAAAACTAAGTGCGAGATAGGAATTACAAACATCTTATAAACTGTTTGAAATGTTGTCCATTTCGTTCTAAACAGTAATAAAGTCTGTTTTCAAACTCCTCTCTAACATTTTGGAAAACTTCACCACGAATTGAGCTGCATGCTGCTGTAATTCGTCCTTTGAGCTCATCAATATCCGTCGGTTGTGTTTTATAAATAACGGATTTAGGATGTCCCCAAAGGAAAAAATCTAAAGGAGTCAAATCCGATGATCTCGGAGGCCACTCAATTGCTCCCCTTCTGCCAATCCATCTATCCGGGAATCTATCATTTATAGACTGTTGGCCCGCGACACTGGGTTCATCGATGTTCTAAGTCGGTATGCCATTTAAGGGACCCACTCACTTAGTCCAAGTTAACAGGAAGGAGTGCCTCGGAGAGTCGCAACCCAGTCCTTGCCCCGGCTCTGACCTCACCTTTCGGTTGGAAAAAAGTTCAAAATTTTGTTTAAGAAGAAGCGGCAATGAAGTGCAATGATCTTATTTCACGAAAATTGAGGCGCTTGCCGGTTTGCATACGGCTAGGTCACTCCCCAAGGGCGGCATACGAACCGGAAGTGGAAATTTTTCAGTGTTATAGTCGATGATTTAAGAATATATGCCCTTTGGCGAAACAATGAATTCGGACCCATTAATCAGTTTCCCGACATTTGCACACGATTCCGGAGAGGGGAGCTCGACTTATTCGAACATCAATTGACTAGACATCTTTCAAATAATCGATGATTTAAGTTCGTATGCACATCTCTGGACCGATAAACTAGGATATTCTGTATAACTGGATGCTATTTGCATACGAATTCAATGTGAGCCTACGTTTTAATAATCGGGCAAACCCGCGCGTGCCTCGGTCCGGCGCGGCGCCCCGCACTGCTGGCCAGGGGTGCACCGAAAGCGACTAGATAATCTGGAAGTCTCATAATCTCACTTCACATGAAACCGGGGTCAAAGATTAACTTCCTGGGAATGATGGGGGTACTCGAAGACGCAAAAATTGCCACTTCCGGTTCGTGTGCCGCCCTTGGGGAGTGACCTAGGCGTATGCAAACCTGCAAGCGCCCCAATTTTCGAGATAAGATCATAGCACTTCATTTCCGAGCTTCTTCATAAACAAAGTTTTGAACTTTACTCAACCGAAAGGTGAGGTCAGGGCCGGGACAAGGACTGGGTTGCGACTCTTCGAGGCACTTCTTATTGTCAACTTCGACTAAGTGAGTGGGTCCCTTGAATGGCATACCGACTTGAAACATCGATAAACCCTGTGTCACGGGCCAACAATCTATTAACCACTGTCGGACGGGAAGAAAATGAGGTGGAGCACCGTCCTGCTGGAATTTGATTTTCTAGCTCGTGAGTTATAAGAGGATCTTCAAGCATATCTAGAGGTACAGATTCCCAGTCAAGTTTTCTTCAATAAATAAAGGACCAACAATGGCATTCCAAGAATACCAGCCCAAACATTAATTTTTTGTGGTTGTTATGTATGTCCTTATCGAAAACTGTGAGGGTTTTCGTCACTCCAATAGCGACAATTTTATCTATTAACATTTCATTATAACATAACATTATTAAAATCGACCTGTCTTTTCATTTTTCCACTTGGAGGGAGATATTGACAACCTGTATATCAATAATATTAATGATTCCCACCACGGGATACAGCCGGCGTCCTTTCTTAGTGGTACACCCGGTACATTTCATCACCACCAGTTATGTAATATTTTCCTTTCCGCAACTAGTTACATAAAGTAAGACGTTCAAAAACTTCCGTAAAATTTCAGGTCAAAATTAGAAAAAATGTTTTGCGTCTGTTCAGTAGGCTTGTATACAAGGTGTCTGTAAATGGTCAATGGAAAATGCTAACATTTTCTATCCTGCTTCCATCTAGTATCTACTGGTTGATATGTTATAAAGTACCAACCCCTGTATCTCTTTTATTTTCGACAGTAGAAAAAAATTTAGAACAGCATCATAAATTCTCACTATCTGAAAAAATATACAGAGAGCAGCAAAAATCACATTGATTTTAAATTGAACACCCGATATATTTTCTCAACATTGGAAAGACCTTCTTGAAGAGCTTTCCGAAAATATCCCATTCAATATAAATATTGGTCTTCTGTATTTCTCAGAATAAATGCTTTCAAAACTAACAGAGTTTAATCAATTTAGATTGCTCGTGATCACCGACAATGAGAATTATTGAATGTCAAAGGGAATATACCTTGATTGCAATCATTGCATTGACCTCTTGAAAATCGTTCGAAAATCGGTATAAAAAAAGTTGTGGATGTCCGTAAATTGAGAAATATGGAAGATAATCATATTGAATGGGATATTTTTGAAAATTCTTTGAATGGCCTTTCCAATTCTATTTATTTATTTTATTTTCAAAATAACATACGTGCCAGCCTATATGTACAGTGTGTCCCACTTACCATGCTCACCATGGGTATCTTTTTAACGGTGAGAGATACGAGGTCGGTTAAATGACACCAAATGTGGAGTTTGTCAAGGCCAACTATAATGTGAAAAAATATTTTGATAAAATCTATTCGTTTTTGTTTTATACGCAAAAAACAGATTTTGATCATTTCCATGTCACCTCCGTAACTTCTTTATTTATGAAAATATTCGAATAAGAATTCCACATTCTCATGGCAGTTTTTCAAAGTGATTTCGAAAAAAATATGAAATTTATACCAACTCTTCTAGAATTTGTGATATCAGCACTAACTTTAGTTTTTCAAATGTAGGTCATAGCTCACTGTGACTTAGTTACAAATAACCTTTTTTTCTCTTACAGATGATATGTCGCAGTAATAGTTTTGTGTTGATAACAACGAAGTTATCGTCATTTTTACAAAAACCAAAAATTATTCGGAAGCCGCCATCTTGAATTCATGAATTTTAACAAAAAAATCATGATCTCCGACCTCAAAAACCCCCACTTACCCATTTTGAATGGAATCGGACCAAATCTTGTCCGCCATCTTGGAGCAGCCATTTTTTCCAATTTCAACAAAAATTCCATAATGTATTGTCACCGAAATTATGGTGGGGGTTTGTGAGGTTGGAGATCATGATTTTTTTTGTTAAAATGTATAAATTCAAGATGGCTTCCAAATAATTTTTTGTTTTTGTATAAATGACGATAACTCCGTTGTTATCAACACAAAACTATTACTGCGACATATCATCTGTAAGAGAAAAAAAAGTTATTTGTAACTAAGTCATAGTGAGCTATGACCTAGATTTGAAAAACTAGAGTTGGTGCTGATATCTCAAATTCTAGAAGAGTTGGTATAAATTTCATATTTTTTTCGAAATCACTTCGAAAAACTCCCATGAGAATGTGAAATTCCTATTTGAATATTTTCATAAATAAAGAAGTTACGGAGGAGACATGAAAATGATCAAAATCTGTTTTTTGCGTATAAAACAAAAACGAATAGATTTTATAAAAATATTTTTTCACATTATAGTTGGCCTTGACAAACTCCACATTTGGTGTCATTTAACCGACCTCGTATCTCTCACCGTTAAAAAGATACCCATGGTGAGCATGGTAAGTGGGACACACTGTATATACAGTGTGTCTCACTTCTAATGGAAACACCACTGTATCTTACTTTATCGTTGGTGAAGGATCCTGAAATTTTTTGCAACGCGAGATATACCAACAATGCACTTTATGGCCAAGTGGGGTCATCTTCAGTGATTTACACTGCTCGCCAACAATTTCCGGAAAATGATATTAGGAGTCAAAATAGGTTGGAAATCACTCCGGATTCGGAATCAGGACGCCCAATTGACTAACTATTCATATTTTTCCTGAAAAAAATGTCAGTTCCGAAAAATTAATTTCTGTCTCACTTTTTATGGAAACGCCCCCGTAGTACTATGAACTAAATTGTTACCGATAATAATGCGTCAAAAAATGGGAGGTTAGTGAAGTGGACGTCCTGTTTTCGGACCTGAAGTGATTTTCAACCTATCTCCTG